AAATTCTATGCTTTATTGAAGATGAAATATATGCGATGACAAATTGTATGGGGCGAGGAATAAAGCATTGTAAAGGGGGCTTTTTAGAAGTGGCTCTGTACATGATTGTTTGAATAAGTAAAGGGACTTTGAATAACTATGTAACCCATTTCAGTGCAATTTTGGTCAAATTTTGTAGTGACTGGGGGATGACCCTGATACTTTAGTGGAATTTTTTTTCCACTAGATGGGAGACATAACACACATGACCATATATGGCAGCACGCTTTTAGAAGTAGAGCAGTGAGCTGTTACGTGGGGTTTTAGTCCTTTGAGATATAGCACAAGTGAGCATTTTCAAAGAAGTCACAATATGGTCACAACTGTATAATTCATGGCAAGCAATGACTAATTATGGAATGGCTTCAATCAGGACATGAACATGTTTTTTTTTAATGACAGAGGTCATAAGGTATAATGTGGGAGCAGATTATTCAATAATTCTGGATAAGTTGAATTACCAATTTTTGAGCTCATTTGGTAAACATGCTTTTTTTGTCTGGGTGACGGCTTGTTGAAGGAAGATCTAAAAGGAAAGATGTTAGGAAGAAAGTCAAGAGGTAGATAGGAACTGATTGACAACTTGAGGCGTGGATGGCTCTTTGACAAAACAAATAAGAAAACATGATATAAGATACGGTGGAGGAAATGTAAGCTAAGAACTGGTCCTTGAATAAATAACTCAAAGAAGAAGACTCTGGGGAAATTATGGATGCGATCAAATGTTCTCTAAAAGAAAACAAATGTCTCTGTATTGAAACATCATTGTATTACCCATGTGAATTATTCGTTCACTTTTATTGAGCTACGACCAGGAATCAGCATGATCAAGAAAACAATTCATGAGCTTCGAAGCACACTGGACATACACTCTGTACCAGTCATTGTTAGAAATGTAAAAAGTCAGTGGTGATATTATATAACTGCTGAGAAGGAATTTATTGTTTAACTAAAGGCTTTGCGAATTTAACAAAACAACATCTATGGGAGATTATGCCTCAGAAGACAACGTAGAACTATTGGACTAAATGTATTTTTAAGTGAAGAGATTAAAGTAGTTATTTATCATCTATAATGCCCCAAAACAGTGGATAACAAATTTGTATATCATGTGTTGATATTGCTCACAGAGATGTTGAGTAAGAAACAATGTATTGGCACTTTACAAAGTTTTTTTTACATCACATTTTTAATTAAAACATTCCATTTTCTTGTTTACAACTATTCATGAGTTCAGTAGTCACCTTTGTAATAATATCAACTAAGTAGGAACCTTGAAAGGGGCCACTGCCTGGAATGTGACCACACTGTAATGTTTGAACGCTCATGACTGTGTTGCCCGCATTGTAGCTCACGTGTTTACATTCTAACCATGACAAATGGCTTCCTTTTTAGTTATATCCTGCGAGAACTAGAAAAATATATAGCTTTGTCATGTAGTGAGTATGTGGTACATGCATTTTGGCTGCTTTGAAATAATTCAGCTTTTGGTTAATGTCCAGAAATAAGTGACCGTGTTTAAACGCAGTGGAAATAGGTGATTTAATAATGCAGGATATATATAAATTTCCAAAACACTTTGTGAACATGCTTTTAAATCTAAGTTTTTTTAATATTTTAAATGACAATGTTATGACAATGTTATCTACAGGCAGCAGAGTTTGACTGATGTTTAAGTTTATACCTGTTTGGGCTTCCCGTGTAAAACGATACGTTTCAACATTTATTGCCGTGGTGTTTGACATGAACGTACAAAAAATAAATATTAAATCAAGATCAGGGTCAGCGGATGATGTCTCTGCAGTGTGCGTGTGGATGTTTCCGTACCGACGATTATTCTGGCTTAAAAAACACAAAGCGGCTAAAATTGCAGCACCTTCCGCTGCGAAGGAAGCGTCACTCGAGAATCATTGTTTTCAGAGGTCGCAAATAAACCCTCCTGGATTTTACCTGCAGCTCGGTGATGTTTCACAAGAGCTGCAGAGAACAGGATGAGATTATCTTTGTCCACATAAAACTGCCGTCTAACCACACAGGGTGTGGAATTTCGCTATTCATTGTTTGTTCCTTTGCAAAGCCAACGTTTAGCCAGTTTATTTCATCGTGGCGTCTACTTAAGCTGCAGATATACTTCAGCCAATTGGATGTCTCAATGTGTGAATTAATGTTGCATGGAGAATACACGTCCTATTGCCTTGTGTCATCATACTAAAAATAGATTTGCCTACTCTGAACAGCTCTTTCATAGTGAGATATAACAATTAAATACCGCACTGTATACAGGGAGTCATAAATGTACCCAATTCAACTTAAGATACATTTACTATTTTACATAATTTACGATAACATTTACTCCAATAAGTGCAACGTTTTTATATAGCAGAACATATACAAAATATTTATCAATTAATTTATATATATTATCTACTTTTGGATACATTTATATCCGCAGGAACAAGTAACGTCAGTATTTTAATGATAATATGAATAGTGACGGCATGTTAGACGAAGTTATTGCACGAGGCAGCGGTTGAAACGTTGGGGATTTTTTTGTATCCCACAACCTCTGTTCACCCAGCATTACAACTATGTACACCACATAATTGTAATGCTGGGTCTTTCGGCAAAGTGTGTGTGGCAGGGTAAAGGGTGAGTTATTCCCACCTCTTTCAAGACATCTGGCCAGCATGGAAGAGTAAGCCAAAATATAGTCAAAAGCGAACTTATATAGAGCTTTCTCTAGTGGAGGCCCTTCCTCCAGCAATGGTGGGGAGCAAATAATTGCAGGGCTCCGCCTTTACCTTTTTTACCATATACTGTTCTAATAAGAGTATGAACGATAAATATTAAAGCTCCAATGAACATGAGCCGTTCGTTAACCTACTATATAGTTAGTGTTTATGTTGTAACATGATATAACGTGCACTTTTTTACACAACCAAGCTAAAGCTGATTCTAGTCACTTTGTTCTTTCTTCAGAGCCTAATGACACACAAAAAATCCAGCAGGCACAGACTCAGAACCATCACAAAGAAGAATGCAATAACGTGTTGAAAACTACGGGATGCATTTTTGTGTAATACTTCAATAAACTTGAGGGAATTTTTAAATGAAACAGCGTGATTTTGAGATTGTGTAAGCAAGTACCCAAGCACGATCATGCCTGTAAGTACAATGGCACATTTATCGTGAGGTTGTAATATGCTGTGCCGTAGTTTAATATATATAGCAAATGATAAGAAGATTGCTGTAAAGATGGGCCAATTTGAAGATATTCTGTTGCTGTGGAATCCAGTTCAGTCCCTTGAGAGACAATAGGCCACAATAATAAGTCAAGGCCTACTTGCACCTGTGAAGGAAGTGAGCCAAGGCAGTTGTCTTCATGCTTGCAATAGTTGAACTCTTGCTCTCTGCCTATAATGATAGGGTGAGCTCACCATGGGATTACCCGTGGATTCTGAAGGTGTAGTAATAAAAAAAAGCACAGTATATCACCGACCACACCAGGTGCAAGCCCGTGAGAAATATACTGTCAAGCGATTTTTTTTTACGTCATGCAGTACGGTAAAAATGTTTTCTTATTTTTTTAAACTCTGCAGTTATTGTGTCATAGAGTGAACATTTATATCTGTATACGTACTGTATATGATGTGTAATTTCTCAAACGTAAATGAACAACACATTGGGATTGCTGGAAAACAATGCAAGATTTCCCAAAGTTTTACAAGACAATGAGTGTTTTTGTGATTTGCTTTATGGCTCTGTTGTTGTTTGTGGTGACCGTGTTTGAATAGAGGGCCGGAGCGGTGGCGCAGTGGTTAGCGCCACTGCAGTATGAAACTTATTCTTGGTTCTTTCGGTAAAGTCACGTAGAAGGGAAATAATAAAATAATATTAATATAAAACAATAAAAATTCTCACGACGTTTCGACTGCAGCACAAGCAATCATCATCAGGTGTGAAATCCACAGAAACGTCGTGACAATTTGTATTGTTTTATATTTATATTATTTTATTATTTCCCTTCTACGTTACTTTACCGAAAGAACCAAGAATATGAATCCCTGCAGTCACGAAAGCTTTAAATCAAAAGTATGAAACTTGTTACGAGGTAGATCCCTGGTTGTGGCTCACATCAGTGGAGCGTGCTCTCTGATTTGGTCTTGGGTATCCCTGCACTGACCAGACTAAATTATGGTTAAACAACCCCGTTGTTCGACACGGTGTGTGGAGGCCTGCTTTCAGTAGTGAATTGACAGATATATGTAAATTATTGTTATTATTTGTGTTAAACATGAATAGGATATATATAGGGAATACGTTTAACGTACGATACTTTATTCAATGCGGTGCACTTACATGTAGTGTTATAAAAACACAAGAAACGCTGTTTTATGATTTGCAGTCTTGGTCCATGCATATAAGTATAGGTGTTGTCCTTTCTGACAAGATAATAAGTGTGAATATGTCAAAACACCAAACTGAAACCTTTTGCAAGGAATCATGTCTACATTAACCAAATATACTCGTGGTGAACATGCAAACAAAAAACATCCTCTGGTAGTATATGCATTGTCTTTGAAACGGATTGGTCCACACAGACAGCTTTCTTTAGAGCCTCGTCTCAAACAGATTTAGACTCGAGGACGCCAAAAGGCAAACAGCACAAAGACAATGCCACTATCAAGATGTTGAGAGCTCGGGGTGAGCAGCTACATCATGGGACCTCCCTTGGTCCATGCAATGATTGGTACATGCAGTACAACAGCGCCATCTGGTGCCTAATAATTGCAGTATTTACATTTTCACACGATGACATCAGTTGCACACTGCAAAGTGGCTGTTTCTAATTATGAGAGATCTGTACAAGCTAATTCAGGTAAACGCTGCATAGGTATTCTTCTGCGTTTTGTGCATGTCATTGTGAGAAGCAGATTTAAACAGCAAGACTGCAGACAAAACGTGGTTGAGTATTTATTATATTATACCAGAGCCAAAACATGCATTTAAAAACACTCTGCAATGAACTAGTTATAAGGAAACAATACAACAACAAAAACATAACATGCTGTATATTACTCGTGTACATGATGTTATCAATATAATTTTACTGAATTAAGATACATTTGTATTACCTCAACATTACCCTTTTCACAACACCAATGGTCTTTTAACTTAAGGTGTGGCACATTCTCCAAATTGGGCGGTCGAAATACCACAAGACCAAGACCCATACACAAACAATAATAGTTACGGAATGGTATTTCAATGTTTTTTCGTATGAATCTAGGAAAGCCCCACGATTCTTGGGACCTTTTTTTGGAGGGTGGTTGCCAGGTAACTTCGGTTAGAGCTCGCAGCTGGCACCATTGTGGTATTCAACCTGTGATTGAATATGGGCAGCTGCTCACGTTTAAAACCGGATTTTCAAGTGAGGCGAGTTGATGAGTCTAGGCAAAGTCACTAATGGCTCCGCCAAACAAACCCCCCAATCTAATTACATCAGTTTTTGCACTTGATGTGGCTAAATTATATCTCCGAAAATAAAACTAATTAACATTGTCTCTCAAATGTATTTCTGTGAGTTGTTCTCGAACACAAAGGGTGCAACTGCTCTGTTAGATTTCTGAATCAGTTTTTTGCAGATCATGACTTGATACGATTAGCTCAACTTGGAATACATTTGGGGAAAAAGACCAACACATCCCAATGCAGGACCCTCCTGCATTGAGACGTTTGGTCAGCTCTTTATCAAATGACGAATTGTTAAAATGTAGAGTTTATGTGTATACATTTGTTAATCCTATATGTAAAATGAATATTGCAGCGTGTCCATTGACCTATAACACGTATTATTGTATAAAGTAACCACTAACTTTGAGAGTATATATCATGTATTACTGTGCAGGGCACCTCATGCAATCTGGGCTCCATAAAATAAGTGTTTAAGACTGTAGCTGGAATAAAAACTCACAGCAAAGAGTGGCAGGAGATGTGGTGAGCATGGAAACTATCCCTGCGTTATTTTGGGACAGTACTGACATAGAGCTAAAATTGTATCTGCGTATGCCTGCAGCAAGCCCCACGACACGACATCCTCTAAGCACAGTCAGTCCATGCAAACGTATTTAATAAAACACTTAAAAAAATAACCTAGAGTTCTAAAATGTCAATCAGTTGTCTAACAACTGATATTGTTATAGCAGAGTTTGTGTCATGGAAAGTTTCTGTTGTCCTTTTTAAGTACTGTAATTGTTATTTTATGATCAGCAATGGTCAAACCCACTACTGGATGAAAGCCTCCCCAAGCTGTTGGCTGCCATCTCTCATGAGTCTGCATTGTAATACTCCACCTAACACTTGCACATGAGCTTAGTTCATCAGTTCATCTCCCAGTGCACATCCTCAGCCTATTTGGAAACAATTTCCTGGTTTAACATGTGAGGCTTCCTTGACTGTAAAGCAACCACCAATGAAATAATCCTTTAACAAGATACATATTTTGTGTGTGTATCCAGTATGTACAAACCCCCCCCAAAAAACATAACTTGACGTTACACTGTATTCGTGTACAGGTTTTAGCCAACACCAACTACATCCATTAATAGTCCAGCATTTTAAGCACATTAAACATACATTTCACTCTCAAGATGGACTAATATATATTCACACTGCACGACACCCACTTGCACAATTTTCCCTGTGTGAATAATACACTGGTGTGAAAAACAACTTGAGCAACATTGTTTCATTTGTAAGTCACCAGAGTGAACGCATTCACTGCTGCTGATCAGGCACCGGCGGCTGGCGATCTGTGGTGTCTGCACTCAAGTTGGGTGCTGCTTCACTGCAGCACTCCTCCAGTTGGGCTTTTCCTTTGAGGTCTTGGCTATCATTTCCGGTGGCCTCTCCATTGCTGCTGGTGAACTTTTCGGAAATGGTTTTTATCTTTTCTGCAGCGTCCAGACACTGCTCTTTCTCTCCAAACACAATAATGGACTCTGGCAGCTTGTGAAGCACCACTCTCAAGCCGGTCATGTTGACGGCATCAACGAAGTACCGTAGAGTTTTCTCATCCTGAGTAAGTTCCAGTACATTTCCAGAAATATTTTCGCGATGCATTTCCTTGCACTCTTGCACCGTCTCATTCATGATGTTTGTTACAGCACGAACGTTTTCGTGAGCCGTGCCAGAGATGATCACTTCAATTACAGAAACCTCTTTTACCACTTTAATGTTCACGTTTTGCTTGCTGGCAGACTCCTCAATGCGACTGAGCAGAAACTTTTGAATGTACTTCCAAATAATGGTATCCATTCTTACATGTTCAGATATGGGGTGTGAATCTTCAGATGGCTCAGGATTTTCATCTTCAGAGGGCGTGACTAGTGTTGATGAGTCTTCTGGATGTCTGGACTCTTTGTGCCTGTGCATTTCTGAGAGGTCTTGAGACTGCCCCCTTCCACCAACATTGGGAGGTGCAGTTTTACTTTCTTCATTGATGACATTAAAATCTTGCACATTCACAGCAGGAACCTGGACATTGTATTCTACATTTACTTGTGGATGTGCATCTATGTGCAATTCGGGAGAGCCTAAAGAAGCCTGTGCACCATCAGTTTGTGGGTGTGGCTTTATTTTGGATTCATCTGTTGCAGATTTCAGATCTTGGTCATCTTGAAGAGAAAGTTGCACATCTTTTGCACTTTTAGCATCTTTTAAACCTACCTCTGAATATTCAGAGCATGTATCAAGTTCAGAGGGGCCTGACAACGGCTGTGCATCAGCAATGCCAGGAGCCGAATTGTCTTGGCCGTCATCGCCTGCGATACTCCAGCCCTGGCCGTACGTGACAGGGTCTTGAAGATTACTTTCCACACTCTGCACTTCATTTCCCTTCAACATTTTCTCTTGCTTTTTACCAAAGAGTGCTTTCAGCTCTTGAATGACGGAAAGACAATCTACTTCTAGCCCCAGTAGTGTAATTCCATTCACATCCTCTGAAATCGACACACGCTGATGTTTGTCTTCCAACGACTTTAACATCAATTTAGTCTCATCGCTCATAGGAGATACATTACAATTCTCGTATCTAAATATTTCTTTGTGCAGATGTTTACATTGAGAAATTATTGCTGTCAGTTCTTCTTTTGCACTCAATATACCCCTATTTCCAGATGTCAAGGTTACCATTGTTTTGTTGTTTTTTACATCTCGTGTCTTAATGCTTGCTTTATATTTCTCACAAACAAAACTTACTGCGGTGCTGTATAAGTGAGAGATATACCTCCACACGTCACCATCAACTTGAATGAGGCATTCATGCTCTTCTTGAAACAATTCACTAAAGGTTGACCAATCAGACTTAGCATCTACGTTTGTCGACTCTTCCCTTGTTGCCACACTTGTATTAATACCGCCTTCTGTCAGGTGACTTGGCCTGATGAATTGAGCTGGAGGGTGGTCAGTGTCATTGTTAGGACCCTGTTCTGGCTCTCGATAAGGAAGATCTGTCCCACTATGTTTTACGAATTCACGTAACGCCAATGAAGCTTGAAAAATATCACTTGGTGTTCCAATAAAATCCACTTCACATTCATCCTTTCTGAATGTGATAAGCATAGTTGGGAAGCGCTCCTTCATGACCCGAAGCAAACAGCTTACTTTCTCAAAATCCTTTGCAAATGCGGAATTAATACGAACGGTGTCCTTTCGTAATCTGCTCTGCAGATTAGCATACAATTCAGCCAATTCCTCCGATGCATTTTGTATTTGCTGTCCGGTGAATGGAAGGCCTAGTATGGATTTTACATTCAACACTGTGAGATCACCTAAACCTTCATCATTGATGATCACTTCCACATTATATTTTGCCAAGATGTTATCATAGGCCATCTTACAGAAATTAAGCAAGAAATTAAACACATCTGATTCCACTAACATTTCAATCGTGCCTTCCTTATTGTTACCAATTTCACCAAAATCAAACGGATCCTTGCTCACGTTTTCTGAGCCGCTTTCTGCCTTCACTTCTGCATCAATCTCTGTTTGTGCTTCAGTTTTTATTTCGGAGGATTCATCATTCTTGTGGGAGACATTTTTCTTTTCATTTCTAAATTCTACAGTAGAAACAAATGTATTGATGTGAGTGTGGATTTCCTCCATGAGGGAAAACGGTCCTTCTACAGTGCATTGCCTCTGACTCTGATTAAGTGACACAGTGACTGGGAATCTTCTGAGACTTTCCAGGAAGCCGTCCTGTTGCTGTTTTGGAATTTTGAACAAGTTTATAACCATGATAACCTTTTCTATAACCTAATGAAATGAACAGAAAAAAGTACATATTATTAGATATACTTTGGAATATGGTACATTATTTTATCCATTTTATGCTATTGTATTTTAAGTGAAAGGCCAGTAATTGCTATTGATTCATACCTCTCCAGAATCTTGCTCCTCCAGAGGCACGACTTGCAGAGAATGCGAGTGCCCTTTGATATTCAGCACGTGATGTTTTATCTGCAAAACCCTTTTTGCAACTGAAAAACACAAATGTTTGAGATCAACCAAAAAATTACGCTCCATTTTTTTAATCAATATTTTTAGGACTGTGACTAAAATGTAGATTGTTTGAAGCACACAATTTGCATTTTTTTATATCCTGCTCTGCTTGCAATACCTGATGTGTTCTCCAGTTGTGTTCCTTTTATAGATACTGTATCTTACATTTGATTACCGAACCTGTTGCCCGTGACTGTTTCTTTACTCATTCATGTCGAGCCCAACTTTGCAGCTGTCTTTAAAATTGTTTTTCAAAACATTTATTGTAGTTCATTCCCATCGGACGTTACCGTGACTATGTCGTCAGCAAATATGGGATGATTAAGGCTTTCTCAACTTTTGTTCACGAATTTGTTTTTCGAATCCAACGTACACGACCGTAGAGTAAAATGTTCATGGTACTTTCTTTCTGTAAACTCATTTTAACTGTTCAATTTTTTTAAAATAAGTTTGTTATTATTTGTAACATGTTTTCTTTATCCAATTTCATAGTCGACAGAGGCAAGGAACAATGGTATTTGAACACATTGCCATTACTTGAGCTAGAAGAGTAATAGATATTGCATTGACAGTGAGGAGAAAGGTTCGACAGAAAGAACAGCGTCTGAAATAGCAAAAGACATGCTGATAAAGAGGATAGTTATAAAATGGGACAGATGCTAAACGAAAGATCGATGACACAGAACTCTATAAAACCATTAATTTGAGAATACAACACATGACTGAAGATGTCATAGCAAGCAATGAGAGCATCAAAACAGAAAATAGGTTTGTAAATTGGCAATTAAAAAAATGTGTAGCCCTTATGGAAAAAGATGCAAACATAATGCATGATATAGACTTAAAATGAGTGGAAGAATTTTATACAAAAAATATATCATAGCAAAACAAATATATCGCAGAAATAAAAACTTTTATCAGATTAATGGAAGGATGTTCCAATCGCACGCGAATAATTAAACTCTGCCCTTCACAGAATCAAGCAAGGAAAAGTTCCAAGACCGGACGGTATTCCTGTAGACATCATTGTGGGCCCAATTCTTGGAACAAATTTAGATAACCTTTTAACTAAACGTTTACATTAAAATTAAATACGTAAACCATTTGTCGATTAAAAAATGAAAATAACATTATCTTGAAGAACTACAGACCCATCAGCCTCTTATCGAATGTATACAAATTGTTCATGAGCATTATTGGAAACAGATTAATTCAAGATTTAGAGGCCAACCAATGAACTGAGCAATCAGGTTTGAGTAAAGGTTTCCCTACCATCAACCGCATATGCACTTAAAATCTAAATATGCAAAATACTAACAACAATTATCATGTGATTTGATGCACCGTAACAGTTACCAGCAGGGTCCTCAAACGTGACGATGGCCTCAGTCGGGGTGTCCGTGCAATAGGAGACATCTGTCAGCTCCCCACCCCCATTGCTCTTTCTCAGGAAGTGGATGGTGAGTTTGTCGAGCAAGTCCACGTTGTGGAGACGGGGCACGTTCAGTACCCGCACTTTGCACTCCGCCATCTTACATGGGTGAGAGGGACATTTCAAGACAATTTATTACCACACACAGGGGCAGCCCGTCCATATACGCGAACTAGGCAGTCGCCAAGGGCGCCAAGTTAAGTGGGGTGCCAAATTCGAGGAAAAGAATACAAATAAAAAAGATACAAATAAAATAACGAAAATGTCAACATTTCAATTCCTGTGCGTGTACAGAGGGAATATGAATTATAATGTATCAACATTTTTGAGAATGCATTGGTTGGACAGACGGATGGACAACCCGAATAACTATGCCTCTGTTTAAAAAAGAATACGATTAAAACATTAAACGGAAAATAGGGGCAAAATGTTTCCCAGTTTACCAAAAAGCTCAGCCTGGATCTGCCCTTGGGATTTAGGGCGCCGACTGCATGGTTCGCCTAGGGCGCCAGTTGCTGGCAGCTAGTCTAGGTCCGCCCCTGACCACACAATAACAAAATGCGATAGTTAGTACGTTAATGCAACTTAGATGACATTAACGTATTCTGTTCCATGTGTACAATATTTAACTGTGTTCAATATAGTAGGCTGAATGCACAAGACATATAACATGACTACACTTATTACAAATGCATGACAGGTCTTTGGCAATCTTAACATTGTATTGGTCAACATACGAATGGGGACTTGTTTATATTTATAGTATGGTACTGCTGACGTTAGGCTGATGTGCCTTGTTCTTCATAATTTCGAGTCTCTTTTTATGGGAATACTTTTAATGAGTGTGCTTAATGACTCCTAATCACCAAGATAATCTGAACAATGGTTCAGCTCACAGATTGTTTCAATGGGGTGAAGAAGACAGCTTGTGGGTTTATTGTGTTGATACCTTCAGTGTTATCCTCTTGTCTAATAGGTTTTCTCTGTGCACTCCAGTTTCCTTCCACATTTCACTCATTCATGGATGATGACATAAATAGGCCTACACTCATGTCTCAAAATAATATATTTTAGTCTATCCACTAAAGAAATTCGGCATTCTAATTCCAGACCCTCCGAAAATAGTATTTTCTTGGGTAGGGCCTTAATCTTATTCGAAAAACTAAACCAATAATTTAGTTGCAACCTAAGTCTAAAGTCTCCAACAAAGGTAAGACCATCTCATTCGTCTCTCACCTAGTTTGATGTCTACGAATACTCTCAGCCTAAAGTCCAAGCACATTTGTCAACAAAGTTGCAAGCTGGTGCAGGGCTCTCAGCGTGAGTCCATGTGTCTCTGCAAGTCTATGGGTCTCTGTGAGAAATCGCTGAGAATAAAGCCGTTCCAGTTCCTGGGTTACTCCACCTGCACACGTGCCATCTTACACCTGAGAAACCCAGCGGCGGATTTCGCCATCTCCTCAACCCGGTCTATTCTACTGCGTAAGACAACAATATGTTCAGGAGCTAAAAAACAATATTGAGATGCATACTATTTGGTTCTTTTGGTAAAGTCCACCTGATGACGGTCGCTTGTGTTGTGATCGAAACTTCGTGATTTAATTTATTTTATTTTATACCTACGTGACCTTACCGAAAGGACCAAAGAGTATGGATCCCTGCAGTCACGAAAACTTCAGATCGAGATTGAACCAATATTGAGGTCTGCCGGGCACGACGAGAGAGGGCTTCAGGAGAGAGATTTCGTGACATTAAAAGCCACGAACCAGCCACTGGCATTGATGGAGGCGTTTTCATTGTGCATTTTCATTGGCGTTATATGCACGTCATTGACGTACACATTTTGTTGGTACTTTTCTTGTGTATCTGGTGCTCCGCGTGAAAGCCGCGTGTAAAAAGCATTCGCTGAATAAATAGGCGTCTGTGGAATGAGCGAGATTTTTACATTTTGACTTAAAACTTTGGTGACTGCAGGAATTCATATTCTGTGGTTATTTTGTTGAAGTCACGTAGATAGAAAAAAGAATAATAAAAAGAAAGTGATAAAAAAAAATATCACGACGTTTCGATCGCAACACAAGCGGTCGTCATCAGGAACAGGTAGGTTAGCATCTGAGGGCAAGCTGTTTATTTTTATGTTATTATCTATTTTATTATTATTTTTCTATCTACGTGACTTTACCGAACCATAGAATTACGAGATTTTTAAGTTTCATCTTTAGTTGTAGCGCCGCCTGCCGCCAATGTTGAAACGTGCACAAGGAAGTAACAGTGCTTTCACTTGGCGTCGTCAGAGTTCGCCTCCCCACGTCTCAACATCCGACTAAAAATACTGAAACCTGACGAAGAGAGACGGAGGAGACGCACACGCACGCGTCTGCCATCACGGCCACTCTCAACAAGGGCACGAGAGGCACCTGCAGTCGACACGACAGCCCCAGCGATGCCTCACCGAGAGAGACGCCACTTGGCCAGGGATGGTTGATGGAACGTGTTCTGGGTACAACAACAACAGAAACCCACACGCGTCCCCTTCACTGTGCGACATCTGATCGCCTCTTCTTGACATACACACACACGCGCGCGCGTTAATTAGATCGAGATGTGCTACGCGTATTCAATGGCTAATGCTCAATTCTAGTCTACTTAACACTAGGTGCGTTGGCTTCCTTTCAATTCAGTTGTCAATCCGCAGCTGGATGAAGTCTTCCCTCCTCCCCCGTACGGCCGTGTCACGTCTACGGGGGCTTCGTGGCCATAACTTCCACTGCCGCTTGTGTCAGCAGTGAAGTTATGGCCAAGAAATCGAACCGGTTGCCTGGACGTGTTGCTAACGCAGCGCGCAAAAACCACCGCGAGTTTTTTGTTTGTTTCTTTTAATATCGCGCACCACTTTGCGGAGGCTCTGATAAACCTTTTTTCGGCGAGTTTGCAAATCGCCGTCGAGCGCGTCCACGAGCGCAGGAAGAAAGTGGTCCCAGAGGTTCGCCTGCCACTTACCGCGCACCGTGCCAAGTGGTGCCCTCCTCCTCGTGCGCCGTGCGTCCGAAGGTGTCGCCGCCGCTGCGCGCGTCGCTCCGCCGTGCCGGGTGATGAGGGCACCGGGAGGAGGTCCTCTCGGTGCGTCGCGCTTGGGTGGAGTCGATGGGGTTGGGGGTTGGAGCAGCGGTGAACATGCGAAACCCCCCCGAGCAAATCCACAACATTTGCGATGGGAATACGTAGAGCAACGCCGGTGTGTGCTGGAGAGATTTTCTGCGCTGCGAAACCCAGAAAATCCACAAGATTTGCAATTTTTCGATTTAAAGCTTTCGTGGCTGGATTCATCTTCTTGGTTCTTTCGGTAAAGTCACGTAGAAGGGAAATAATAAAATAATAATAAAATTACAAAAAATACATTTATTTATTTATTTATCATTTCCTTCTACGTGACTTTACCGAAAGAACCAAGAAGATGAACATTTGCAATGTGAATAGTACAACAACGCCGGTGTGCTGGAGAGATTTGCTCTCCAACACACACCAGTGTGCGGTACTCGTAACGAATTGGCACGTTCTGTTTACGTGACAAACCTTCCTCATTGGCTGTGTCGGGTGGTGGCGGGTTTAACGACACATTTTATATTTACGCGATCGAACCCCACCAAAAAACCCTGTATTATGGAGGTTGGTATCGGCTAAGTGGGGTGCTTGTGATATGAACCCGGCGACCCGAGTTCGATGCCCGCCCACGGCCACCAACACCGGTGACGATTATCTGAACCGGTCCTGGGCCTCCCCTAGGTCGACTCGGCCTCAAATGAGAACCTGGTGTGGAGTAAACATCGCCACTCGGGAGACAAAGACGGCCTGGCGTGGTGCTGGCCACCCACACCCACGTGTGCCGTGCCGGTCTTAATAGGTGCTCGCTAACAGCACTTGGCCCAACAGTCTGTTAAGGCTACACGGGGGGATCTTTGTCTTTGGAGTCAATGTTGTGTCCGTGTTGTCTCCGCCTACAACCCACCAAACCCGCTTCTCGTCGCCACCTTCCTCCGTAGTTTCTGGGAATCGACGCGCGTCAGAGCAGGGCTTGGAGGGATGGGAAGTGAAACCAAAGTCCAGTGGATCTGATGTGTCCACCACGTGGGGGCAGTGTTGGCCCGTGGTTGTGTCTTAGTATTAAACCATCAACCAACATCACTAGCACCAACAAACCACTGTTGGGTTATTGAAAAGTGTTTCTCATTATGCTTGTAACTCGTGAACAGCATCAACATTCGCTATTGGTTTCCTTTGAATTTAGGTCGTGTAACCCAAAGTGAAATAAGGGTGCCACGGTGGCGAGATGTTAACTACCTCGCATGGTATACAGGAGGTCGTGGGTTTGATCCTGACCCGAACGTTTGTATGTTTGGTCGTGTGGATTTTTCTCTGGGCCCTCCGGTTTATCCTTCCACACTATCCGTATATAGAAACATGCGTTTATTTCCACGTACATTTCCACATGATAAGCCACTTTTTTGAGCAATATATAATTTGTGACCCAGGTCGCTTCTGAAAAAGAGATATGTAGCTCAGTGGGTCTTAGCTGGTAAAATAAAGATGTTTTTGTTTAAACCAATTATCAATCATAATATTGGTCGTGAAAGCCAATGTATAAAATTAACACGAAAATTACCAATGTTATGCTTTTTTTAAATACTCAACTTATGTTTTGAACGTCTGTGACCTGACGTGGCGAGCGACCACGTGTAATGACAGATTGTGCGATTGCGTGCTAGACAACTAATGACATTGTTATGAATACATTGCTGAAATGCATTGTTATGAAATCAGCCTTCATTAGTCTCTGGATTTCCAATTAAAATGAAGAGAAAATACTCTTCATACTTTTTTTTATTTTCACCATCCACTACGAGCATTCTTTTCATTGTACATACACATTTGTCCCGGTTTTGTGTGATATCTTGCTAATTCAGATGCAATACTGTATTTTAATTTCCTATATTACTCAAACAGCACTGATTAGAACAAGTCTAATGGGGAAATAAAGTGTGTCACACGGGTTTTGTTAAAGCACACACCCCAGAGAATTCCAGCCGCTCACTATCAATGCACGTGACTGGTGAAAGTTGTCGATGACTGCCCCTCTTGAATTAGGTGACCAGACATGAGCAGAGGGGAACATGTCAGTTATGAAACTATACTACGGTGTGATCAGTGTCCAGTAAACAATGTAGCCGCATGTTTAAACTGTAAATATTAGTTTATATATAATACATGTGTGTACTAACCATACTGTTCGTAAACAGCTCGATGCTATTTTTCGATTTAAAGCTTTCGTGACTGCAGGGATTCATCTTCTTGGTTCTTTCGGTAAAGTCACGTAGACCTGTTCTCCACCTGAGGACGGCTGCTTGCGTTGTGGCCGAAACGTCGTGAGAATTATGTTATGTTTTATTTTTATTATTTTATTATTTCCATTCTACGTGACTTACCGAAAGAACCAAGAAGATGAGCTCGATGCTAATTCAAATGTAGCACATTAGCCTGTCTAACGAGTGCGTATCCACATGTACAATATATTGCTCCTAGTGTAGAGCCACTTGAGTTGGTATTTGTTGTGTTCATGATCTCGAAAGTAAATGCGCAGCCCTGCAATGCCTTGCTCACGCCCCTGCTTGGCAGGAGAGCCTCTAAGAGTGCGAACTCTAAGAGGGTGTTTGGTTTAAACTCTCACGTTGGCCAGACGTCCAGGAAAAAGTGGGATCAGCACCCACACTTAACCCCACCATACGCGACCCTCCTGTCGGCTGTGGTGTCCCCATGCATATGCTGGGTGGGAGGATGTCTGGGGAGACAGGGCAGGATTTAAGAAGCGTCGATTCGTCTGCATCTGGATAACCAGTCAAGTTTGCTTTCATACCACGGCAGAAATTTCTAACATAGCTCAGTGAATGTGGGGGGGGGGGGGGAGCTTCACTCCACCGAACACCACCTCTTATCGCCATCCAGCGTAGTTTCTGGTAAATGATGTGCGTCAGAGGAGGGCGGGGGTGATGCGAAGTTGAAATAGGCCTGGGGTTCGGATGTGTTTATCCTTCTTGGGGGCAGTGCTCGACTGTTGTTCTTAGTACTGTAGAGAACAACAATAAATTATGATACTGCTGGTGTATTGAAAGATGTTTGTCCTTCCGATTGTAACTCAAGAACCAACAGTAGTTGAGTACGAGGATGAGAAATACAACAAAATGATCGAAGGAATTTCTGAAACCAAAATATTAATGTTTTTGAGAGAAGTGTGATCTGACCTCGAGTGGCCAAAACACATTTAATTACATGATTATTGGATGGATGCAATAGCTCCCGATAGACCCTTATTGACGGACGCCTGAATTACGTGATACAGTATTCACTTTCTTTTTCATCGTTATCATACAACACCATATGCACACAGTAACATCCGACCAGATGCCTGCTTTGATAGCCTCGTCGCTTGAAACGTTTATCTCGTGAAGGTACAACAGTTGTAATCAAAGAGAGACGAGGTCTAAACTGTGTCGTATGTTCCAGAACATTCCATCAATGTACGTGCAGAGTGTGGCCATGTATTATACTAAAACACTCCCTTTCCCAAAAGATCAATCGCCTTTTTAAACACTCTCAGGCTTCAATTTGCTTTCAGACAAGTCACACAATTTAATAATGGCCTAGTCTCGGTTTTCTTTGAAGGAAAATGTTACCGTATATAATATACATATACCCAAAATACACCACGGCAATGCATAGTTTAATTTAACACCTAGGTTTTCATAGCCAACGTGATTCATATTTGAGGTTATGCCACGAAATGATCACACCAAACGTGTCATGAACCCTCCTCCACCAAACACATGCAAATAAATGATCGCGTGTACAAGCGTTTAAACTCGCCAATTAATATCATTTCAGCTCACCCATTAGTTGAAATAAATTTTCACAACTAAATTTGTGTCGATGGGTTTGAGGCTGGTCAAATAAATACGTGGCCTCACCCAAAAATCTATTATGGATCATGCTTTTGTTTCGTGTTATTGAATACACATCTACCGTGTGAATTATAGTGTTTAAGTATAGATTGGAGTACAGTAATGGGTGACCACTTCCTGACAACCTTTGATCAAGACTACATACAAATGCTAAAGGGAATTATAACTTGGCAATTCCTACATGAAGTTAGATCTCGTATCTTTGTAGATTCCAAACTGTTCAAACACGATGGGTGGTGGAGTGGGGTCGTGTGCTGCATGTTGTTCTATGCAGCCTCAAACCTCATAAAATGGTTTTAGAATAGAGTAGTTGCAAACATTTAAAGGTAAAAAAAAGTAATTATTTACGTCATGACGTCTTTGAAAATGACACAGCCAATATAACCAGCTCGTGTGAAATGTGTTCACAAGACAACCAGGTTAACATGTTATTCATTTGACTACCATGTTGTGTGTAATGTGGCTGCAGAGTAATGCATTTTGGGGAAACAAGCAATGTGTTCAGTGAGCATGTGTCATCGAGATCAATAAGTGTGCCACTACGACAACAGCTTTGGGAACGTAGCCGTTTCCAAAAATGGGTTCTCGTTTATGAGCATTGGGGCGATACTCATCTCCTGTTTACAGCCCTGAGCTAGTGGTGGAATTGTACATTCCTATGGCCGGGGTCCGTCCATAGGTCAACCACTGTTGACTTCCCCCACCGAGTGATACTCATTTCACCGACCCCAAAGGATGATCGGCTGTGTCGACCTCCCGACGTGAGCTTTGAACTCCCAACTCTTTCCGATTGTGAGATACACGCTCTCACCGCGGAGCAAACTTGTTTGCTTTGTTTAATCAGCAAATGTGCTGCTGCTGCTTCTGCTGCCGCCGCTAGCATTGCCCGTGGGGGTGGACTTGGCATAGTTGTTACACGTATTAATTTAGAACACGGGGATTTCCAGCGTGCTTGCGCACAGCAATGTCATGAACCTTTGACTACATTGCTCAAGTCAGTTTTTATTGCTGAAAAGGTCGCCTGTCGATGCCAGTTTCATTTCTTACAACACACATACACGAGTATACAATACGATTCTCAAAACACAGTTAAGTAATTGTTTATTCAGAACCACGTAAAGAATTTAACATCCAGAGGTATCCATGTTAATACAACTGCCTTGTGATGTGTTTTGCGACCACGACACGTGTGCACAGTATGATATGAACACAAATGCAGCATAATTGCACTTTTCTTGTTCCACGTCATGGCTTCAAGTGTGAACCGATTTCATTTCCCTAATCTCTGCCTCATTGCATATTACATACTGCAATAGTAAGCATCCCGCCATGTTACATGATTGGGGTACAGTGATCGATTGATCAATACACCTAAGCTCACTGTCATAAGATTTGTATGCTGAAATGGATGGGTTCACATTCCGTGCAGACAGTAGAACTGCTATCATTAACTGCACTGTTCACAGAACAAAGTTGTTTCATACTCATCAGGCCCCATGGTGTAGTGTAGTCTAGAACTCTTATCCCAATTTTAACTTTCTAGCCTGCCTATGTTCTTTGAAGAAGGGCAATTGCCCAAAACATCACCCATTATATATTTTCCCTACAAGGCCACTGTGTCATTGACAAACGTGTTCAGTTTTCGTAAAAAAAAAATCAAGGATAGACTCATGAATTGAATCGCTATTGTGAATGCCAAATAATCCCGATTACAAAGCGACAAAACATCGTCCGTGTTGAAGTATAACAATAAGTCACTTGTGTGGAGATTACAGTACCTACAGTGTTACGAGACCAAACCAGTTACACAGCAAACATACAACCTATTCCACCCGAAAATATCTTGTTGACAACATCTGTAAAGAGGAAGTTCACTCCAATTGAGTTTCGTTTGTACTGTCTCGTGTTTAACATTTGCCAAAGGTTAACGCTACATGTTTAAACTGCCAATGCTGCATTATTTGTATTTTATCATTGCTACAATTGTGTTAAGTGGTTTGCATTGTTATTCAATCATGGGGACATCTAATTACGTGTTTACTGTATTCATCTTGGCGTCCATGAAAAATGTACAGAAATGTGAAGTAGTTTTTATATACTGTATGTAAATTGCTGTACTGTACTGTAATTGACATATCGAATTAAACTATATTCAAAACCAAACCAATGTGGAACTTCAAACCTCTTAGACTCTTCAAAAGTTCACAGCAAAAAAAATTCAAGATAATTAAATGATTAGGTTATTTTCGTTAACATAAGTAAACTAAATAGATTCCTTTATTGATAACATCTATATCCTGAATGCATGCCATATGCCATATAGTGGGCTGATTAACGTATCTATTATTGTGATGTCTCCAGCCTGCATACGCATCTCACGTGTTATCGCAGACTGTGCTTTACCCTATATTATATATTATAATGCGATTTTTTTCATAACGCGATGTTCTTCATGTCTTCAGGAATGAAACTACCGCGTTATAGGAGAGCAGACTGTATATGTGTGTGAGCTCCGTCACTTGTCAGCTATAAAGCCCACCAAGGCGCACTTGCTCTTGGGTATGTACACGATGTCCTCCACCTCACCGCCACCATTGCTAGGCTTCTGGAAGTGGATCTCAAGTTGGTCCTCCATCTCCTCTTGGGTCAACACCTCCTGTATGCCCGTCAATAATACGGTCCGCCTGCTCACCGCTGTGAATGTCTGTTGGAGAGTGCAGGTATGGGTGTTTGTGCACACAAAATCATATATTTCTTGAACACGTTTTCAGTGTAAAAGCATTCAGTTAGGCCCACAGCCTGTGCAAACCAATACCATGGCCCAACGCTAACGTGTTCACGGCTTGTTACAGAGGTTCACGATTCAAGGCTGGTGGCCACTCTGGTTGTTATTGCGGGTTTATTAACCACGTACGATAAGTCCTCGCTTAACACATGTTCACACGACGCATTTTTCACTATTACGCGATTCTTCCATTAGGGAACACATTCCACACAGCATGTTATAACAGTTTGAGCGGTCGACGACGAAATACTTTCTTGAGCTTTGCAGCTGAGTGGTATGATTCAGTACGTGGAATGATACGGTATGATATAGTATGTGGTGGTGTACCCTCATCTCAATTCTTTGTCCCACCATGGGATTACTGCAGGCTGATTTTTTTGTGCAAATGAGTAATTCCCTGCTTAACGCATTTTTGCGTAACGTGGCACTTTCAGGAACACAACTACCGCGTTAAACGAGGAATTACTGTTTACTCAGCATCTGCTGCACAGTGGACGTAGATCCCATGACATCATTCAACACAAGTAAGCCACCGTGTGCCAGGGTCATGGTCTAAATTTGACAAATTTGAAAAATTACCCACAAATTACTCAAATTGGATTACACAGCAATCATCGCCCCTACTGCCAGACTAATGTCCGTTTTTAGGCCAGGTGCTAAGTCACTTTGTGCCCGAAGGGATAACTGCCACTGGAGGTGCCCTGTCAAATGTTTTAGATGAGATGCCATGCAAGTCGCCTGTCATGTGTAAAGCGCTCTAAGAAGCCCTGGCATAACCAGTGCTCTATCAAAAACAAATTATCATTATAGATCACTTTGTACGACCTGCCAGACTTCTAGGGCAGCCTTCATATTGAGCTGCTACAGAGCCTATTACGGTAAGTGCCAAGCCCCAGGACAAACATAACCAAGACCAAATCATCTTTCAGTGGTCCTGTATCTAGCTCTGTACAATTCAAAGAATACCCATTGCATACCATACCTTGAAATTCATAAGGTCTCCATTTAAAACAGGAGATACCTTGACGCGTATGTCCTCCCTTCCAATGCTAATATATTGCTTCTTTTGCCGGACAGCTGAACCTGCAACTGAAGAATAGCATAGACACGGTGAACACATGACAATGTAACAGGAAAAACCTGAATAACCTGGTACATTTAAAATAATCTGTTCATTCACTTTTACGTCAATTCAATTACATTTTCTTTACCTACCATTAGGGCCTTTTGTAGTTATTTTTTTTGTGAGAGACATCTGCATTTTAGTACAAACGCAGTTATTGAAAAATGTGGTTTTCTTTTTTACAATTGTCAGGAATTTTCTAATGTGGGATTTAGTTTACTCGAGAGTATATACAAACTTATTGTAAGTGATGTCAAAGTTCACTTTACTGAAAATGGTATTTTTAAATGCTATTGCTTCATAGCACTAAGACATGCACAATTTACATCTGCCAAATATTTAAGTACCAAGTACTTAGTTATACATTCGAAGTTATGTCTGCACAGAAGAATGACATACATAAAAGTCCCAAAAGTGTCACGTGATCTATTGAGGCACCCCTCTTTGGAGCAGCCAAAAGGTCATCTCAACATGACCTTAGGCAGCAGGGTGGTGCAATGATAACATTTGTGACTTGCAGCAATCATCATCTGGGATCGATTCCTAATTTGGGTGCCTTTCTGCATGGACTTTGTACGTTCTCCCCTTGTACTACATGAGGTGTTTCTAGATTATATAGTTTCCTCTTATAGCTAAAAAATACAAATACTGTAACTTGTATTGCTCAAACATTCCAATGCTGAAAATTACCTATAATTTACTTAATTGGGATTACGCATTGCTACATCACCACCTACTGGGAGAAATTAGGACTCTCCTGAAAAAGACTTGCAACTCGGTACAATGTATGTTGAACCTCTTTCTCACACCATACGTAACCAACCGTGCTAATCAGAAGTGCGGGGAGAGGACAACAAACTAAACACAAAAAGCAGTTGTAAATAAATTAATTTTCAATATAGATTTAAAAGTGCATAGCTCCAGTGGCTTCATAATATCGGAAGAAAGAGTGTTCCAGATAGCCGCAGAAGCACATATGAAAGCGCGCGATACAATAACCATCTTTGTTCGATGGCTAGCCAGTAGCCGCTGTGAAGATGAAAGCCTCAGTGAGGCTTTCTTCGGTAAACAATAATAAAACGTGAAGCAGTGACAATGGACCTGTGCACTTACCACTGGATTTCACAAACGTAATAATAGCTGTCCGTTCCTTCTTATTGTACTCCACTTTCTCTATATCACCCCCACCATTCTTGGCTTTGTAGAAATGCAACTCCAACTTATCCTTCATCTGTTCTTCGTCGAGGATGTCTGGAATTTCTGACACAATAATCTGCTGTCTACTGACTTCAGTTGAAATCTGAAGAATACACGCAGTGAATGTTTCAGATTCTGTAGTGCCCAGTTGTGTACTTGTATTTAATGTGCCAGTATTTTCTGGACAAAATAATACAAAGTTAGAGAATGAAACACAATTATTCAATGGTACACATTTTATTCATGGCGTGCAGTTAGTTGTGAACCTCTCACCTTGAACTCCTGAATGGCTTCGAGCACAGGCGACTGAGCCTTCATTTCTATTTTGAAACCGTCGAACGCTACATTGTGACATTTTGCAGAGAGTACACTTTGAGCAACTGTAGATAAACAGAAAACATTCCTGAAGTTGCTTAAAGATTAAGATGTCAGTTTACAGTACAATTGTTGCATTGGAGATACTCATGAGAATGCTCAACTATCGTTTTTAGTTTGCATAAATTGCTTTGCCAAGTGAGATCCGAGTATTGGAATAGTGTGGTGGCATATTGGTTAGCACACTGCACTATGACTCTGGCAAAATGTTCGATTCCTGACTCGAGCTAACACCATGGGTGAGTGGTCTCTGCAATAGTGCTGGGCTCCACCCCACTTCAACAACTCACACTGGCCAGCTTGGTGAAGTATGTTTATGCAACTCCGATTTTACTAAAAGTGCATAAAGAGGCCTTTACCCAGCACTGGATTTACAAAGAGTTGTACAAATGTACTCGTAATGTAGGATCAATAGTAGGTAGAGACCTGGCTTTTTTTACATTTTCAAGAGAACTAGCAACCCCGATGTACTTTGGACATGACTGCCTGTTCCTCCCTCCCTGCCAGCCGGCCAAACTTGTATAGAGCCCTATCTTCCTCAACCTTTCTCTCGTCTTCTCATACTATATATTGCAGTTTAGCTCCAATGTCTCGCTTTGTCTTTGATTCTATTTCTAAATTATTTTTGTCCCCTCTCCTCCCTCCGCTGTATCTCACTCACTTCCCTTCCCCTATCTCTCCATGTTTCTCTCACATCTCACTCTCGCCCTCCTTGTTCCCACCTCTCCTCCCGTCTAAATCTCGCTTGCCTCTCCTTGAGCCTCTCTCCCACTGCTTGTCACATTCCCTTGCTGTCCTCATTCCGTTTTGCTTTCTCCTCTTCATTTCATGCCCTTTCAAGCTCTCCCATCCCTCCTCTTCGTCTCTTCTTTCCTCCTCTATCTCCCACCCTCACCTCTCTCTTCTATCCCCCACCCTCACCTCCCTCCTCTATTCCCCTCCCTGACCTCCCTCCTTTGTTCTTATATAGTACGCCAGCATGAGCATGATAGCACATCCGGGGTGGAGGTCAGGTGGGATGCTGGTGAAGCAATCACGTACATGAAGTCACCACCACGCACGACCACTTGGGACCGTGGCACCCAGCCATACAGGAATCCACCCAGGTTATCCAGCCAGAAAAATGTTTTCTCATATAGTATAAAAATTTATGTAATATGTTAATATCATAAGCCATATGGGATAATAGTGTCCGATTTACGACGATTACCTGTTATATTTAACACTTCAGAAAATATTAATCATATGTTACGTTAAAAATACTTCCGGTTTCATGTTTGGATGAATGTAGGGTAACATAGAAAAAGAATGAGGTGCTGTATAACGAATCGTTAACCAAATCCTATTTTTCCCATATACCTTTGAGTTTGCAGACAGCGGATTTGCCGATTGTGGCTATTTTCAAGAACGTATGGTCAAGGTCTTGGTGTACAGGATATCGTGGATTGTTAGATCGCAATTTATTGGAGTTCTCCTGTATATGTGAAAATGTTAATTATTTTAGCAGGAAGATGAAGTATAACAATGAAAAAACGTGCAAATCCTTGCCAATGAATAAGAAAACATACCTTCTTCACTCTCAAACGTGATGAGCGCTTGCGGTCCTTTCAGAGGGTAGATGATGCGTGGAACAAATTCATATTCAACTATAATTGGTATTTTTGAGTCCCTTTCAATCAACTTCATGGGCACACTCTTGGAAAAGCTCATCGACTTCTCTGGCAGTGATGCTGAAATCTGAAATAATTAACATTTTCACATATACAGGAGAACTCCAATAAAATGAATACTTTCATTATTAATTCATATTACCGTATTGATGAAACATGAACAGTGGTATGTATTGCATGTTACAAATATTACGCAAAACATGATTCCATTCTGTTTAGGCTTTATTTAGCGCCCTTTCCAGGGCACATTACAATACAAGCCGACGGCGGTACACAAAGGGGCAAAAGGGGAGCAACGGGTGGGGTGGAGCGGCTGTCAGTGAGGGAGGTGACGGAAGGAATGGAGCGACAGGGGCTGGGAATGGAGCTGATATTGCAGCAGGGGTAGGGAAGGAGGAATGAGGTGGAGTGTGATGGTGAATGAGGGCGACAGATGGGTGCAACGTGGATGAGAGGCAGCGAGGTATGGGGCACATGCGTGAAGTGGTAAGATAGATAGGTGCTTTGGCTGGGCATGGATGAGGGTAGGTGAAGGGTGGTAGCGGCAGAGATCTGGTGGCCGGATAGTTGAGCTGATTGAGGAGCACAGAGGAGGGCTGGGGGAGAGATGTGGTTAGGTACACACAGAGAAAGCGAGATGTGGCAGCCGGGTCAGGAATTATGGTCGTAGGAGGAAGAGGACCGGGGGACTGGGAGTGGGTTAGAGGCGGGGGAAGGAACCGGTAGAGGTGGAGGCAGTGGAAGAGAAAAGCAATAGAAAATAGAAAGGACCTGAGGGCAGAGGGAAAGAAGGAAAGCGAGGGGGAGAGTCTAATGTGGCGACGTAGTTTGTTGCAGTGCAACGGGGGCAAGAATAAAGAAAGAACGAAAGCGAGACTGGGTGCAAGGAAGTGAAGGAACAATGAGAAAAAGGGAATATGAAGATGGGAGGGAGCATGAAGGGATGTATAAATAAATGAAAGAGAAGAGAAGTTGGGGAGGGGACAATAACGTGCAAAGCTTTGAATACTAGGGTGAGGAATTAAAAAAGACAGCGGTGATAGACAGGAAGCCAGTGAAGTTGTTGGAGAGGAAAGCAGTGAGATGCGTAGGGAAGGTTGAGTACAGTGTGTGCAGCTACGTTTGCATGTGTTGGAGAGGGATAAAGGCGTAAGCAGGGAGACCGACCAGGAGTGAGTTGCAGTAATCTAGACGAGTGAAGACAAGGGGAGTGTACGATGAGTTTGGCAGCAGTGGTAGTGATAAGGGGCGGAGTTTCCTGATGTTGTACAGATGGTAACGGCGTGTGCGAGTGGTGTTGGCAATGTGGGAAGTGAAGGAAAGAGTGAAATCAAAGATAACACCAAGAGTGAGGGTGGAAGAGTTTTGGTAGAGGCTAGGGGGGGGGGAGAAGTGGAGGGTGCAGAAGGGGGGTGAGCGAGAGGATGGAAAGAAAAGCACCGAGGTTTTGGAAGGATTTAGGGAAAGGAAGGTTTGGGTCATCCAGGCTGGTATGGCTGTCAGACAGGACGAGATGCGGAGGGAAAGATCGGAGGTGAATGATTTGATGGAGAAGAAAATTTGAGTGTCATCGGCAAAGTGGTGATAGGAGATATCAAAGGAAGAAAGAATAGACTCTAGGGGAGATGTGTAAACAGATAACAGAAGGGGACCAAGTGCCGAGCCCTGGGGGACACCAACCGTGACAAGGGTGGTGGAGGAAGAGCAGTGATTGAAAGAGAGAGTCTTTAAACAGGAAGTTAGGAAGGAACAGATCCAAGAAAGATGGGTGTCAGAGATGCCGAAGTTGGAGGGAGTGGATAGGAGGATGGAGTGGTCGAGGCAGAAGACAGATCGAGAGAGATGAGGGCGGAGGATAGACCGGAGTGACGCGAGTTGGTCAAGTGGTTGTGGATGTGAAGGAGGGCGGTTTCAGTGGAGTGGAGAGGGCGGAACCCAGACTGGTGGAGGGGATACAGCGAGTGGGAAGAGATGTAGGATGAGAGGCAGCAGTGCACTAAGAATTCATAGAGTTTGGAGAAATAAGAAAGCAAGGAAATATGGTGATTCGTGTGCAGGGACAGAAAAATCTAGAAGGTTTTTTGAGAAGCGGTATGCTGATGGCAATTTTGTAACGGTTGGGGAAGGTGCCGGAAAAGAGGGAAGAGTTAAAGAGAGCCAAGAGAAATGGAATAATGGTGGGGAGAATGGATGGAAGAAGGGAAGGCGGAAGGGGATCGACGGAGGAAAAGGTAGGGTGGGGTTTGGAGATGACGGTAGACAGCTCCAGAAGGGAAACAGGGGAGAAAGCATTTCAGGAAATAGTAGTAGGGTGGAGCGGAGAGGGGTTGGTAGGTGCAGGGATGTCAGGTGGTTGCGCAGTGAGCAAGGAGGAGCAGATGTGGTCGATCTTGGTCGTGAAGTAGTTGGAGCGGACCACAGGAGTGGGGGCGGAAAAGGAAGTGACAGGTGTTGCAGAAGATGGATGGAGCAGAGAGTTTAGGGTATTGAAGAGTAGGGTGTGGAAATATGGAGGAAATGAGGGAAAGAAAGTATGATTGGTGAGAAACCTCCAGGACCGAATTGTAATTTGATAATAGGGAAGTATATGAGGAACGTGATTCATTAATTGGTGAGGTCCTCCAGATGCGCTTCGCTTTGCGCACGAGCCGGCGCTGTGACTTGAGCATTGGTGACAACGAAGGGCACGGGGGGGGGGGGCGTTGCAGAGGGTTGAAGGAGAGCAGAGGTGCAAGCGCATCTCGAGAGGATAAAAGTACTGAACTTATGACAGAAGAAGCAGTGTTGGGGTGCAGGGAGCAGAAATCAGAGATGGGGGGAAGAGATGAGGAACCAAGGAAAGAATTGCGCAGTGTTCAAGAGAGCGTAGGTTGCGGCGGAGGTGTGGAGGTGCGGGGGAAGGTGGGGGGCCGGGAACTAGGAGTGTCACGGTCATTAGTGAGTGATCGGACGGAGGGCAAGGGTCAACTAAAGGATTGGAGACTGAGCACATATGCTCAGTGTCTGAAAATGACCCACGTAAAAGGTCAGCTTTAATATAAGCTTAACAATTGAGCAGTGAAATGCACGTTTAAAATTGGAATATGAAATAACCATTAATGTTTGGCTGTCAAAATAATAAATTGGTCTAGGCTTAGTTTGTTGGTGCATCACTGCAATCAGCACTTTAAAGACATGGGTTGGTTGATCAAAATAATGTTTTTAACTCTTGAACCCAGTGTTCTGAGAGAGGACAATACAGAAATTGAGTTATTGCGGGCATCTGTGCAGACCAATTGCTTAAAATATGTGATAATCACCTCATGAAGTGTGACACCAAAGCTGACAAAAATCAGAAGCCCATTACTAGTTTCGAGTACCGTAATAGAATTAAAAGTATTGTGAATAGGATGATGAGATGTGGTAATATGCCAATTTATGCCCACCTGTTGTTTCTCCTCCAGCTTTTGACACTTGGATGTAGCGTTTTCCAACTCTTCCTTCAAGACTTCCATCTCCTGGTCATGCTGGCTTATTTCTGCCAGTTTTTTCTGCAACTCCGCCTGTGGGAGACATCAGAAGTTACAACAACAGCACGAACAGTGATGATTCATATTCAACTCAAATTTATCTATTGACTAAGGATGCACGGAACACTTCTTTTTACCCTTTGTCTGAATACCTAATTAAATATTTAGCTATATTTGAATACTGACGATGCGCTCCCCAAATTTCACCAGGCTCACTGTTCATGAACTCTTGGAAGTGCTTGCACAAAGGATAGTAACATCTCATCCTGTGTTCTTGGAATCTGAGTAGTACCTCTCTGTCTCACCACATCTGCTCAGGGCCACACTGGTTTCTGAAGCAGCACTGAGCAAGGTGCCCAAACAAAACTTTCCAGGGACTGCATGGGACTCTGCTCCCTGCCCTCCCTCTTCCCACTAACTGCTTTCTCACTCCTTGTGTTGTCACCTTACTCACGTTCTTGTCTGCCCTCTCTCATTGCCCCATATCACCCTTCTCTGTGCCCTCTCTCACCTCTCTCATTGCCCTACCTCACCTCTCTCAGTGCTCTAACATCTCACTGCCTCTCACATTTCTCACTCCCATACTCTAACCTCTCTCTCACTGCCCCACACTCACCTTCCTCACTGCCATCTATCACACCGCCCCTCTCTCCCACTGCCCTCGCATCTGTCTCACTGCACCCCCTCACCTCATGCCTCCATCTCAGAGTGCGTGCGAATGCGAGACTCAAAAATGCACGTCTCCACCAACGTAAGCCAAGGCTAAGAGTCTCGTGCAGGTCACAAGTCCCCACCCCCAACAATCGCAGAATAACACGATATGCGTCATGTCATACGATGTAAAGACAGTACGGAGCGATAGCGGGACAGTATTGTTCCCCGGGACCATGGTTACTAATGGCCGTGCTCATGATGATTGATGAGACAAACGTTGACAGGGTCACGTGAGGGGGAGCACGGGATACAATGGGGGGGTAAGTGTAATTAGAGCGGTGAGTGACAAGAGCAGGTGCGGCGAGGAGGATTCGAGAATAGGGGCGTCCATCGTCTGCGAGTTGTCTTGAGGCTAGAAGCTACGTTGTCTCTGAATAGACTCGTCTAACTACCCAAGTGTATATTGTCACCCGCGGTTACTCGTTGTCAGTGGACTTTATTCATAATACATTTTCAGAAGACAAGACGGCGTCTCTGAGAGCTACATTACACAATCCTAATCACAGAGTTACTCTGTGATTAGGATTGCCGTCTGTCCTAGTTTTCCCAGGATCATCCTCTCGTACCGATTTTCCATGGCATTAAAAGGCCAGTTTTTGTTAGTTGCATAATAACACTGAACTCAAGACGATGAATATAAAATTGCACATTTAGTTCTCTCCTCTTCTGGTTTTGTGCGATATTATTTCTGTGATATGTCCCGGTTTTTTGTGTACCTCAGAGGTGACGACCCTAGCTTGGGAGGGTAAAAAAATATATACTATCCCAAGTATTAGTTTGCTTTTATCGATATATTCAGCTGAATTAGAATAACGTACTTTTTTTTACTAAATTTTATAGCGAATGGGAAATTCAGTGTATTCCTAGTATTTACGTTGTCTTCCTGACACACGTGAGTAGAATTTACACTATAGAAATGTAATCTACTTTGAAAATGTGTCTTGCTTAGTTATCATACAGATGCACTGTGAGATGCGAGATGCAATGAAGCCAAATCCTCCGGCACGACCTGTCAATGACCTGCACGTGAACGTGACAACTCCAAAGTCTCCGAAGTTGTTGTTGAAAACCAACAACAGGACTAAAATAATGACTTAGACATGGTATGGTAAGCCTTGTTTTCAGGTCTCATTCTAAGATACTGTATAATTGAAAATGAAACCGTTAATAATGATTTGTGTAGCTTACGTGTTCATTATCGATAGCCTTTTGCAGATCCCGAATCTTCTTATCATAATCCCTCTGCATTTGCTCCATTTCATGCTCCTTTTTCTTTAAGGCTTTCTGAGCCTCCAGCCTAATTTTCCTTATTTCATTGTTTTCATCTTCGGCAGCAGCAGTCGTCACCTGCACCAGACACAATTAAATCAGTTTAACTTTCCTGTGTGAAGGTTTGTGCAGATAAAAAAAAGAATTCATCGCCATTACAAGTCTTATGGTGGTGGAGAAAGTGGCTTTTTGTGGGACCTATTATCTGCACATTACCACCCAGATAAAAGCTTACAAACCATAGATAAACGCAGATGATAGGATTTTCTCAATGCACAACATATCCACTGGGATAACAGGACTGTTACTTTACTCATGTTCACTTTGAGATTATAATTGCAATTCAGTGTGAATTCACACTACAATAGTAATGTTTTATCAACTTTTGGTGAAGACATGCTTTTAATACATTTTTACACTTACATTGAAGTCAGGAGTGTCATCCATTGCTGTCTGATCAGCCTGTAAAATGCAAATTTAAGACATTATTCACATCATTGCTGTCACTGTCACAAGAGTGCCCACAAGGTCCCATATGGCATCGTTTAACTTAGACTAACATTTTCCAAGGTTTAAAAGGTGGAGATGATCAATATCCCCACCTCTACTCTACCTTTCAGCAAGAGTTAAAATGTCCATCCTCATTACAATCATCTTATTGTGGTGGAGACTCGTTGTCAATGGGTTCTATTATTTGCACTTTACCGCTCACATAAAAGGAGTACAATGTGTGGATGAACGCAGATAATAATGCGTCCATTTGGATAACAGGAGTTTTACTTACGTTCACTTTGAGATGTGGTTGCAGATAAGCACTAGGTGCGACAGCCAATTCTGGCTATCGCCTGATGAGGCTGGTTGTAATAGCTGATGAAACGACGTACTCAAATTGTCAATGGTGTGGGTTTACTGTCCAACACACTAGTGTGTTGAACTAGTAACTAATTGACATGTTTTGTTTATGTGACAAACCTAATTGGCTGTGTCGGGCCGTGGTGGGTTTTTACGACACATTTATATTTACCCCATCTAACCCAAAAAAACCCTATATTATGCATATTCATACCATTATATTTATGCCAATTATATTTATGCCAATTCCAATGACCAAATCACCTGGAGTGTCCCTGACCGAGCTTGTCAGAAATCGGTAACTGCAGGTTCGAGCCTGAATAGTGCTTGCATAGGTCACCACCATGCATAGGTTATTGGCTAATACGGGGCTATGTGGTGGGCCACAGAGGGCAGTGCCGTAAAATCCATTGTTGTACTGTTCTTATAGGATCCCGAGTGTATGCTCCCCACCTTCACCAACTCACACTGACCAGCGTACATGGTAAAGTATGATAAAATAACCCCCATGATGGTCACACATCCAAAAACAAGGTCTGCATAGTAGACCACTGCCTGCTTCTATCATTTGCCAACAGAATTTCAGATGCTCACCTGTTGTTGTTTTTTGGAATGTTTTATCACCAGAAGTCTCGGTAATAAAAAAAAACAGGAAGGGATTCACATACGCTAAGAAATCACGTAGTGAGAAACGAAAAGTTCCTGGGCCTACATTGCTCACTGAATATTTTCTAAGTGGCTGGAAGACTGGAGTAGTAGGCACGTTGACTTGTCATAGTCACAGCCATGGCGAGAGGTATGATCAGGGGTCGGCAACCAAAATAATAAGAGGAGATATATTTTTTTCGAATAATGTAAAAACACTCAACATTTCCAGAGGCGCAATGCATGTGAATACTAGACTCTGGACCTTGATAAATTACGTCACGAAGCTGTCCTTAAAGATCCACCTGCTGCTCTGGAGCCGCACGTTGCAGCCTCTTGCCCAAGGTAAACGGGACTCCCATGGTAAACTGGACTCCCATGGTAAACTGGACTCCCATGGTAAACTGGGCTCCCATGGTAAACTGGGCTGCCATGGTAAACTGGACTCTCATGGTAAACTGGATTCCCATGGTCAGGGGCCGCAAAGCAAAATAACAAGAGCCTTTTTTTTTCTAATTCGGTTAAAAGCCCCCCCAATATTTCAAGAGCTGCCATACAGTCCTTAGAAGAGCTGCAGGTTGACGACCCCTGTGTTATGATGGATGCGGTATGCCGGGGTGCAGAAATACATTTTAGGTCCTAGACCAGGACAGACCCGACTGAATGGAAACAAGTTAACTCGTGATACTGCATTTGGCAGTCGTGCACAAGCACGAATACGATGTACATACTATGAAGAAGGGCCCATCGGTAAAAGTTGCCTATAATTTACATTTTATTTTCCTTTTGAGGCCACATACAGCGTTGTCAGTGAATTTATTGAGTTTTGTCGCTATTCAGGATAAATTAATCCCCATCGCTGACCAAATAGCAGCACACGGTGTTTACAATTAATGTTTAATATGCTATCGACCCCCCCCCTCTCCCCACCACAATATATTTATAGATTGAAAACGAAATATAGGATAATTTAACTGAACGTATATCGAATTCGTGCTCACATGTATAAAGATACGTCGTTATAGAGAAATTCCGTACCCTGAGTCGCCGTATAAAGTTAACTATTTCATATTGTTTTCATTAAACGCAGTACGCAACTATGATGACCATATATGTGAAGAGTATTATGAATCCACCAACAAATGATAGTTCAATGTGGCTTTGCATTCAATTATCTATATTTCCCCAAACACAAACCAAGCCGAATGAACCTACTTTCAAATCCCCGTTCAGTTTATTGTAAATGTCCTTGCTGGGTCAAATAGTTCCTTGAACAGGTAAAATATTACCATCCAGTATATACACAAATAATAATGGAATTTATAATATGCACAACAATTCACAGACATAAATCACCGAAACGAAGGCACAGAGTCAACACTCTCAGTGTTGCTCGAAAGCCAGGCATAAGTATGTGACAACATTGTACTCAATACTTATTTAAAGTGGTGCACGTTTCACATATAGACACTAATATTCACGCTGCAGTATTCATTGCATACACTTACGGTGAAGCGATTATTTTCCCCATTGTCTACACTCGTCGTGTGGATCGGCTCACCCTCCTTTGCTGCAGAAATGCAATTTTACCCACAATTGTTGTCATTGTCACAAAGGTGCCCGCAAAGTTCCTTCTGCTATTGTGTAACACTGCCCAACCATTTCAAAGGTGTAAAGGGGGGGGGGTTGGGGGGGAGTGGTAAATTTCCCCACCTCTCTCCATCTTTCAGGAAGAGTTCACTACAGTGTTTAAATGTCCATTCTCATTACAAGTCTTATGTCTTATGGTGGTGGAGAAAGTTGCTTTTGGTGGGTCCTATTATCTGCACTTTATCACGCAGATAAAACCTTACAAACCGTAGATGAACGCAGATGCTAGGATTATCTCAATGTGCCACCATATCCATTGGGATAACAAGAATGTAACTATACTCATGTTCACTTTGAGATGATAATTGCATGTAAGTGCGAATTCACGCGACAGAATTAATTGTATCTACATTTGGTGAAGACATGCTTTTAATACATTTTTTCACTTACATCGAAGTCAAGAGCATCATCCATTGCTGTCTGATCGGCCTGTAAAATGCAAATTTAAGACATTATTGACATTGCTATCACTGTAACAAACGTGCCCACAAGGTCCCATAAAGTATCGTTTAACTTCGACTAACATTTTCCGAGGTTTAAAAGGTGGAGATGATCAATATCCCCACCTCTACTCCACATTTCAGCAAGAGTTAAAATATCCATCCTCATTACAATCATCTTATTGTGGTGGAGAGTCGCTGTCGATGGGTTCGATTATTTGCACTTTACCACTCAGATAAAAGGAGTTAATTGTGTGGATGAACGCAGATAATAATATCTGGTCAATGCGTCCATTTGGATAACAGGAGTTTTACTTACGTTCACTTTGAGATGTGGTTGCATTTAAGCACTAGGTGCAATAGCCAATTCTGGCTATCGCCTGATGAGGCTGGTTGTAATTACTGACGAAACGTCATACTCAAAATGTATATGTTGTGGATTTACTCTCCAACACACTTGTGTGCTGAACTAGTAACTAATTGGCATGTTTTGTTTACGTGACAAACCTTACTAATTGGCTGTATCGGGTGGTGGCGGGTTTTTACGACGCATTTATATTTACCCCATCTAACCCTCCTGTATTATACAATTTCGTAGCATTATATTTAGACATGCCAATGACCAAATCACTTTTAGCGTGACTGACCGAGCTTGTCAGAAATCAGTAACTGCAGGTTCGAGCCTGAATAGTGCTTGCATGGGTCACCACCATGCACAGGTTATTGGCTAATACGGGGCTATGTGGTGGGCCACAGAGGGCAGTGCCGTAAAATCCATTGTTGTACTGTTCTTATAGGATCCCGAGTGTATGCTCCCCACCTTCACCAACTCACACTGACCAGCGTACATAGTAAAGTATGAATAAATAACCCCCATGAGTTACACATCCAAAAACAAGGTCTGTATAATAGACCACTGCCTGCTTCTACTATCATTCGCCAGCAGAATTTCAGATTCTCACCTGTTGTTCTTAGTTGGAATGTTTTATCACCAGAAGTCTGAGTAATGAAAAAAAACAGGAAGCGATTCACGTATGCTAAGATATAGCGAAGTGAGAAATCCAAAGTTCCTGGGCCTACATTGCTCCCCGACTATTTCCAGAGTCGCTGGAAGACTGGAGTAGTAGGCACGTTGACCTGTCGTAACCACAGCCATGGCGAGAGGTATGATTAGGGGGGGATAAGCAACCAAAATAACAAGGACACATTTTCTTTTTGAATTCGGTAAAAATCCTCAACATTTCAAGAGGTGCAATGCATGTGAATACGAGACTCTGGACCTTGATGAATAACGTCACGAAGCTGTCCTTGAAGATCCGCCTGCTGCGGATCTTCAAGGACAGCTCCTGCCCAAGATAAACGGGACTTCCATGGTAAACTGGACTTCGATGGTAAACTGGACTCCCATGTTGATTTGAAGCTTTCGTGACTGCAGGAATCCATACTCTTTGGTTCTTTCGGTAAAGTCACGTAGGTAGAAAAGAAAATAAACCAAAGAGTATGGATTCCTGCAGTCACGAAAGCTTCAAATCAACATGGGAGTCCAGTTTACCATCGAAGTCTAGTTTTTATTTTATACCTACGTGACTTTGCCGAAAGAACCAAAGAGAACCAAAGAGTATGGACTCCCATCATAAACTGGACTCTTATGGTAAACTGGACTCTAATGGTAAACTGGGCTGGCATGGTATACTGGACTCTAATGGTAAACTGGGCTGCCATGGTAAACTGGACTCTCAATGTGAACTGGGCTGCCATGGTGAACTGGACTCTAATGGTAAACTGGGCTGCCATGGTGAACTGGACTCTCAATGTGAACTGGACTCTAATGGTAAACTGGGCTGCCATGATAAACTGGGCTGCCATGGTGAACTGGAGTCCCATGGTAAACTGGGCTGCCATGGTAAACTGGACTCTCAATGTGAACTGGGCTGCCATGATAAACTGGATTCCCGTGGTCAGGGGCCGGAAAGCAAAATATCAAGATATTTTTTTCTCTAATTCGGTAATCCCCCCCCTCCCTCAATATTTAAAGAGCTGCAATGCAGTCCTTAAAAGAGCCGCAGGTTGATGGATGCAGTATGCCGGGGTGCGGAAATCTGTGTTAGGTCCCAGACCAGGACAAACCCGACTAAATAAAAACAAGTTAACTCGTGATACTTGCATTTGGCAGTCGTGCACACGCACGAATACGATGTACGTGCTAGGAAGAAGGGTCCATCGGCCAAAACGTTGCCTATTACTTACATTTTATTTTCATTTTGAGGCCACGTACAGCGTTGCCGGTGAACGTGTTGAGTTGTGTCGCTAATCAGGTGACATTAATCCCCATCACTGACCAAATAGCCGCGCACGGTGTTTGCAATTCATGTTTATTGAGTTGCGTGCTCAAATAACTCACAACGCACATGTGAATATGCTATCCTCCTGCCCCCGCTGCCACAAAACATGTACAGATTCAAAACGAAATACTGTATGGGCTAATTTAACTCAACGTATATCGAATTCGCGCTAGAATGTGTAAGATACGTCGTTAAAGCGAAATTCCGCCGTATAACGTGAACAGTTTTATATCGTTCTAACAGTCCACAACTATGATGACCGAATTTGTCGGATTGTAAGACGGTCAGGAGAGTTTAAGACGCACTACGCCAGGCGTGTGCGCGGTTGTTTATTAAAGTTCAACAACAAAAAAGCACACACATACCCACGGATTATAAGACGCAAAAACCCTTTGTGTCTTTGGGGGGTGGTAAACGCGTCTTATTAATACGTTGAGTACGGATGTGATGCTGCTGCTGCTGCTGTTCCTGGTGGCGCTGTGGTCAACGCGCTGCGACTCTTATTATTGACACGGGTGCAAAATCGCGGTGGTGGTGGTGCTCGACCCAACAATCACCCGCCATAGTAACGTGGAACGTCCACCACTTTCTCAAGAGTCTCCCACAGAAATGGGCTGCCATCTCATCAAAGCTCGTTACGATTCGAGAGACAGCAGCAAGTCGTGGTGCATGCGTCTGTCGTACAAAACCTACCCCGTGTGTGTGTGTATATATAAAAGTATAACACACGAATAGGTGCATGCGTCTGTAGTACAACTCACTGCGTGTGTATAAAAGTAGCATTTACGAATAGGCAGAAAAGGGGGGGGCAAGTGTCACTCTGTACTCACTTCTCACTGCGCTTGCTTCCTTGTTCTGAGCCGAGATGCCCACGAGCCGTGCGCCTACTGCGGGGAATTGGCGTCACGTCTCGTGTTTTATCGCCGAATTGCCACCGTCCTGGCCGGCAGGGAGCGCCCTCTCGCCTTTCGCGACGCTCACCTCGAGCGCTCTTTTGGCAAACGGCGTGAACGCGAACTTTAAAAAAAAAAGTAATGTTTAAAAAAGTTTTTTTAAAGTTGTTTTTAAACACGCTTTTATGAAATGTACTCGTAATGGAAGAACTCCACGACTCCAGGAGTGGCCCCGAAGCTTGTAAGGGACCGTGGGTCATTACAGCCAACGTCAGTTGAGCAGTGGACAATTAGACCCAAGCCGAAACATCACATCTAAAGAATAATGTTAAAAAATATATATTTTTTTATATGATAGAATATAGTATTGTGATCAGTATGGCATAAGTACACCAAGTTTGCAGTCGATTACCACATTGGAAGTGGGTTAAAATTGAGTTACAAGATTTGAGGATACAACAACGACAACAACAGACACAGAGTGAGTTAAATGAAAGCGTGTGATAATAATAAAAATAGTGGAAATGTTTACTGCCTCGGAGCTGTCTGGAGGAGGGTGAAAGCTTTAAAGTCAAAGTGTGCCCCGGTAGTGCAGGGCGGGTTGGAGCACGCGGTGGTGCAGCCACGCACGTTGCACCCTGAAGCTGGCGACTAGGAATTGGATTGCCGGCCACCGCTAACTAATATCAGCGCAGACTTGTTGGTATTAATTCTAGATTTGAAGCTTTCGTGACTGCAAGGATTCATACTCTTAGGTTTTTCGGTAAAGTCACGTAGGTAAAAACATTCTAATAATAAATAATATAAGTAATAATTAATATATTATTTCTATTATTATTGATATTATTTTTATTATTTATTGTTGATATTATCTGTGAACAGACCGTGTCCTTCCTCCCCCTTTCGCTAATCTGCACTGTCCAGCGTGAAGTATGGTAAAAACTAAATATCCCAATGACGGATATGGCATAGGGAGGCCTTAGTTTATCGGTTTAAAACCCAAAAAAACGCTGACTTGCAATGGTATAGCTGCTTATTGGGTCCACATTGTTCCTCTTAAGTTCTTTGCCGAGAGATCCATGGCTCAAGCTTCCTCCATCGCACGCCGTTGCTCTCTTCTCATGGTTGACGTGGCTTCTCCATGCCTTTCTCCAGTTTTTTTGTGAAATCACTTGATATTTTAACATCAGTGCTAGGATATGTATTTTTGAGTATTTGGCTGCGAAAAGTGTCCACATACGCCACTTTGTTGAGCTATCATTTGTGGCCATGTCGCTTTTTAAAAAGAGCTACGTAACTCAGTGGGACTTACCTGCTAAAATAATAGAGTGGTAGTAAGCAGACATTTTTTGTGCACATATATACTTTAGTCATTATGCATGAACTGTTATTTTTTTCTGGCTCCACTAAAAGCCTAGTTGGTAATATTTTATGGAGGAAAGTTATGATCAGTCACCATCATGTACTGTCTATTTTTTTGTCTGAAATAAGAATAAGAAACAGAGGCCTGATACATCTGTAGCTGCGTTTCTAGTGGTGAAGTTGGTTTGTATTGGAGTGTCAGTCGATGTCGAAAAGTACCGTGTGGAAAAAGAGGAAGCAGCTTATTTTCGATTTTGTATTTGTTCCGTCAGGCGATACATGTTCATGCATGAGTGACAACACAGGATAATGCTCACACCACTGCTACTACAAATAAGTACAATTTTCATCCACTGCTTGATAAGGACCGCCCTCATGTTGTGTGTCTCAATGGAGTTATTTGACCATACTTTACCTTAATCAGTGCAAGTTGGTGGGAGCATTGAGGTATAATACAATAATGGACTTTGCCAAACTCTCATCTGCTGCCCATTACGTGGCTCCATTGATACGGGGAAACAACAATGTATAGGCAAAATAAAACTAGCAATGTATGGTTTGCGCCAGTTTGCAGTTTCAAAGAGAAGCCAGAAAATATATTGTGCGAATATTGTGCAACACAAAACAGTGTTTCTGGTAGGACGACATACCAATGATTCTAAGCGCTATTGCTATCATGGCTGCGTGTTCTAAATCTCAATTACTGTATGTTGTACAGTATTGAAGATTCCATACAAAATCTTAATGGTCTAGTTGTTTAATTGTTACATATTTTTCCCGTCGACAGTCTGCTACTTTTAATACTGGAGAGTGGGGACACAATGGTTAATATAGTATGCACATTTTATTTTTAGCTATTACATACCTTGAAGTTCCACCAAAGGTTACTTTTATTGTTGTCTGCACAAACTGCAATGGCAACCGATTATCATACGGTTGGCAGTGCGTACAACAATTAACATATATTAAGAAATAAAATGGTAACCAGAGTTGGTTCCCGGTCATGGTATTATGACTAGTTTTGACCTACTCTTCCCCACCAAGCACTGACCAGTGTTGAGAAGCTGTCCTTTTGATAACCTTAATATTTCAGCTGGGTGGCGCTACAGATTGACTAAAATCTTAAGGTTGCACAAGTTCAAATTCATTCGGAGGTCGCCTTAGCCATTTATCCCTTTCGGGTCAATAAAATAAGTATTATTTTTGTAGGAAATACTTGTCATCTGCAAAGAATGGCCCCACTGAAATTTTTGATTATTTCAGAACTTAGGGCTGTCACTAGAGGTTAGTTCTGCAACACATTTATGTTTAAAAGAGGCACTTGTTAAAATGTTAAGCAATAAAATAAATCAAACAAAAATACTGTAATCACAAAATTATTGCATATCCCATTTTCAGTAGATGCCATTGGCCTTCAGCTCTTCTTTGACTCGGTGCAGGTAATCAGGGTCAGGATATCCATAACTAAAAAGAGAAACATTTTTTGACCATTCAGAAAGTTGGAATACATATTCACATGACTGGCATGCATTATATTTAAGAGATAACTATTGAGTGTATTTTTAATTACTGTACTATAACTATAAGCATATTTTTTGAGACAAAGCTTCATTAGATATACATTTGAGTTAAAATCAAATGTTTTCTGAATCACTAGAAAGAATAGAACATTCAGTAATTATGCCTTACCTTTCAGGTCCACCATGTTTACTGGTTTTATGGTGAATATCGTTCCAGGTCACGCAGTTCTGTAATCCCGTGGTTGTGGACGTCCCTACAGTGAAGATGAGCCGCTGAGTAAAAGCTTTCTCCAGGAGGGAAAGCACGTGCCGTCCCTCTGGCGAGTCGGGCAAGTACGCCGTCCTTCTTGCCCCGTAAAATTTGACTCCAGGGTTTGAATGCTCGGCCTGCATTACAAGAGGAAGATGTACAACTGTGTAGAAACCACACATAGTATGCACACTTTATTTTTAGCTATTACATACTTTGAAGTTCCACCAAAGGTTACTTTTATTGTTGTCTGCATAAACTGCAATGGCGACCGATTATCATACGGTTGGCAGTGCGTACAATAATTGACATATATTAAGACATATATGAAGTTGTAGTCATATATCTTACCTTCTGCACACCATGAGGAAAGTTATATTTTATAATGATAGTGCCATATTCTTCATGGCCGGGCAGATGGCTCTTCGAGTCTACTGATGAGGACATGGTTCCGTTCTTAGGCTGGTTGCCTTCAATTTTTCCATAAAATGTGATACATACTGGACACACTGGTTTGATTTTCATTGCTTGCTCTATGCACGCCTTGCAGAAAGAGTGTTTGCATTTGTCCAGGGTGACCATCTTTGTGAAGCCGTCCATGCAAATTGAACAGCTGTCATCATCTTCCCGTCTTGGATCGTGATGAGTGCTCTCATCATTCATTACAATCGTCCTCTGTGCTCCCACCCCCATGGATATTTGATCTGCCACAGAACACATGCATTACATTGCACACAGTCACGTACGTACTATTGTAAAGTCACGTGAAATTGTTGAGCCACTGTTACTCAGTGTCCTGAAATAATTATCAATCAAGTGCCATAATACATTACAGTAACTGCAAAGTAGCGCTGTAATAAAAACTTACAGCAAAAAAGAACGCGTTTTTTTTCGCTACTGATTAAAGTAATTTGGTGTTTGTGATTGTTGCTTTAAGCAACTAGGTTAACTTGTAGCTTTAGCAGCCAAGTGCTTGTACATTGTGCAGATGCAACTTGTACAACATTTCTTGTGGTGCTTCTTCCAGTTTTTTAGTGTGAACAGAAGCGAAACCGTGGACAGGGGGGACTTTCCGTGGGTAGGAGGTGGGGATGGGGTGATGTGGACTCCTGATGTGAGGTGAAGGGGGTTTGTATGTGAAGATTTAATAAAAAGGTGCCTTTATTTCCTCGGCGTTGTGGCATGTACAATGCCACCTGTATAAGCACTGGCAACTTTGTAAAACTGCGTGGGCACGGGCAAACGTGAAAGCTGATGCTCATCTCGTGTTACTCTCCCCACCCAAACACAAATCATGGAGGTGAGCCATCTGCTGGGGCCACTGACATTAATAAATCTGGGTCCCATGGCTACTTGTCTCCCCAACTTCAACACTGCTCCTATGCACCAGTCAATCTACTTCAAATCAAGATTACACACAGTAGTTTAAATCCAAATGCTATACATTAATGTATATTTTATAATAAGCTAAACTATTTATCAGGTAAGCTATTTTCAGAGGCGACCTTGCCCTGCACGATAGCTCAACAAAGTGGCTTATCATATGTGGGTACGTATAGTCCAGGTGACCACAGGGAAAATACGCAAATTCCAAATATCCAGCAAGCGTCAGAGTTGGGATCGAACCCACGACACCTCCTGCATACCAGGCAATGGAGGTAACATCTCGCCATCCTGGTGGCAAGACGAGATTCCTCAACTGGCAACTCCAAATAATCCAGAATGCTGCCACAAGACTCCCCCATGTACACCTGGAAGAAAAAAAACTACCTCGATACTCTGATCACATCACCCCAAACCAGTAACTCTGACTTATCCACCAGCTCCCAAGGGCTCCAAAATCACCCACACAGTCAACCCCGTTTCCAAAATGCGCCATGGACCCGTCACTGCCTACTTCCACTTCCATCTCCCATCTTGATCTCTCACTTTATACATCTCCCACTATATTCACTCTCCTCTTCATTAACTAAATGCTCACATCAAAGATCCCAGTCTATTTCTGCCCAATGTGACACCGCTTCTTTTCTCCGTCTCCGCTAAGCATGGAATTCCCTCCCCCTGGCCATCCCTACTGCTGCATCTTTCTACGTTCAAGTCCAGGCTTAAGAGTTTCCTCTTCTCTTCTGGCTCACCGCCTCTCTATTCCGTGAAGCGTTCTTCATTCACACATTTGATCACACTCTCATTTACATCTCCCCCCCCCCTCCCACGTTGTATTTCACACCTCACACCCTGATTTTTTTACAGCAACATACTGTATTTTCGCTATCGTTGACTCTCAATGCGCATCAATTCCCTGATTTTGACAGCAACATATTTCAGCACTCAGTACATCACATCCAGTATGCCATGTTCAATGGTAAATTAATTCCTCATTTTATTTCGATGCTTTATTCGTGTTGTAATTGCAATCCATGTCCAGTTAGATCACCACTAGTGCCAGTACATTTTTCTATTTTAACTGACGGAAAAAAACACAGAAATGTTGACGATTTAACAAAATTGCATGCGTCATCGTCGGTGTGAATACTGCACAGAAACTGCAAGTCACGTTTAAGAAAGCGATACACCTCTGCTGATGCAAGTGACGGTAATCGAGGACTTGCCGTCATCGCCTGGCATTTAAATAGACTTCCGAAACCCTTGCCGATCTCGGTAATTCTAAGAGCGTAGCGATATCGCGTTCATCTACGTCGCTCAAAGGTGCCGGCTACCACCGACTGTCCACACCGACATCAACAAAACTTCGCGGCTGTTAAATAGCCACTGCCTTTCAAACGTAGCGTGATCACTTGCAGCCAATGATGGCCAAGCCAGGACGTGTCATCACGAATCACACGAGTCGGGTGTGTGTCTTCACCTCCGCCGAACCCCTGAGACTGACTCACCGAACCCCTGCGGTTCGATCGAACCCAGGTTAAGAACCACTGCTTTAAATAAATAAAACCCCCGACACACGCACTTAACATTCATCACCGACACTCGCAAATGGCACGAACTTAACTGGAATGACCCACCGAGATCCATGGCCATGCACGTTCGCACTGGAGCGTGGAGACAACGCAGGCGAACGGCGCTTAAAGTTGGCGTCTTATTCACTTTCATGCATCCGCCGATTCGCGGCCCAGTGGATAATAAATATACCTCGCCATGTGGATAATATTCCCTAGCCAGGTGGATAATATACCACGTCGGATTAAATAACTTATTGAAGGTATTTCAATGGTAAAAACATTTTGCTGTGCGCCACTTATCTCCCCTCTCGGAGTAGCCAATAGAATATGGCCCCAGCTCAAACGTGCACAATTTGGTGCCAAACTCGGCACATGTGTGTGCATTGATTCAAACAGAATAAGTTAAATAAAAAAAATGGTCATCAGATTTTTTTTTCAAAGGATGAATTCTCACCAGAGTAACGTCACCTATTATGTATCCCCACCCCCCCCTTATAAGATCCCAGTGTTTTAAAGAATGTGTTGAGTTTTGTTTGTGTTCATTGTGCTTGTTGCACAACTGCCAACGCAGTAGTATCAGTGTCAATAAATCATTTTAATAAGATTCTGGGTGATTGAATACGATCCCAGTGTCCTATTAAACTAAACAATGTGTTATTCTACCAGGTGAAGCCCACTGAACTATATAGCTATTTTTAGAAGCGACCTGGCCACAAATAATAGCTCAACAAAGTGGCTTATCATGCGGAAATGTACAGCAGCCAAATACTTTAAACGCACATGTATTCTAAATGTGGATAGAAAAATCGGAGGACCCGCAGAAAATCCACGACCACGGGAAGAACGTGCAAACTCCAAATGTACTGCAAGCGTTAGGATCTGGATCGAACCGATAGTTGCAGCTAACATGTTACACCGCGGTGCCTCAACAACTTACTCAGCACATGCAGTAGATTAGCAATTGACCATACAAATTACAATGCAGTACACGTACTATTATTTGCTGTATACACTATACAGTACTGTAATATATTCTTGAGCAACACAAATATGCTATGGATGCTAAATACAGAATTATAAAGTCAGCTCTTGTATTTTTATATATATACATCCAAACAGCAAACATAATTGGACCAATGTTGACTGGTTTGGTCTGTGTTTTGCTAACATTAAGCTAACGTTGATTTACGAACACAAACCTGGGTGATAGTTTGCAGTGCACCGTATATGACAACAATGGGACATTGGCTGGCAATCACAGTGCCAATGTATGTATTGGCGCTCAGGGGTTAAGGGACATCCTGAATGTACATGTTTTTTTACTTCCCATTCCAACGTAAACTGTTTTATTACATGTGTGAGGTCACAATTATGCTTAATATAACTGGACAACGCAAAGACACTTGCGTTTTGATCTTGCCTGGTTTCACCTATCAAGTGTTTACCTGTGTCAAATATTGAGGTGCTGTATACTTACATATATTACAAAATATACTTACATAGTGTGTTTGTTTAATTGTAATGCTTTTACATGTACAACAGTGATTCGCTGTAAAGTACTTACATTATCAGCACTGCTGCCACTGGCACCTCAAGCCACGCCACCACAGGGATCAGGAACGGAGAAAGATGATGCCTTACAGAGCAGGCTGTACCTCAGCCTCCTTTACGAACTGTTAACTTCACTTTAACTATTATATACGTTGCTAATTTTAGGAAACTCCCTCTGTGTTTGCCACTTGTGTGTGTACCGCAGTTGATTTACAAGGCTGGACTTTTGTGTGCTTGCCCAAGAAGCAGTGCATATGGAACAAAGATAGAGATTGGGGGGTTTCCAGCAGTTATAATGGTCTGTCTCGTCTGTGTGACTGTCGTCATCTTACATTCTAAAGGTTTCCTGGTATCAGTTTTTATGAGATAGGCAGAATTGAACTATGGATATTGACTAAAGATGAAATAATGCTAGCAAAGGCAGGCGGAATAATCCACTATAAAAAAAGTGGACAACATGCAGACGAAGATGAGAGCAGATGCTCACTTGATGTGTTTACAATTAAAATTAAATTGGGAATCATCATCAGCCATGGGCAATCCCCTTTGGAAGAAAGCTTCTACAAGCCACCACCACCTTTCACGAATCTGTGATGATATTTGACGATTCTTCACCATACTGGTAGTGGGGGTTGGCGAAGGCAGGGAGCACAGACATGGACACAGAATTACAACGTTTAACTGCACTGCCCCTCGCTGACTACCAAATCACACGGCCCCACTCTGCCTATGACAAACTGGCATACATGGCGGTCACCCATCCAAGCATTATCCAGGCTCAAAACTGCTCAGCTTCCCAGATCTAATTAGATTGGGTGCATTTCAGGTGATTTAGGCATATAATTTACACTTACCTGTGAGAATATTAGCCTATGAGTTATTTTTCCACAATTTCGTACACTTAATATACAGCACTATATATAACAAATACTTACACCTTGCATACCACTTGGAATGTCATAGTCTATTCTACGTGTTCCATACTTATCATGTCCTGGCAAATGAGTTACGTAGCAAATTGTTTCTGCAAATAATGTAATATTTAATGTATCATTTAAAATAACTTACTTACCCCTTGAGTACCACTTGGAATGGCATAGCCTATTGTAATGATTTCACATGTCTCATGACCAGGTAAACAACTTGTCGAAGTTGTTGTTCTTCTTTTTGCATCCTTTGGCTGATCACCTACTATTTTGCCATAAACTGTGTGGCAGATTGGACATACTGGCTTCACCTTCATTGACTGGTCAAGGCATTTCTTGTAGAAGGAGTGGTTGTATTTACTCAGTGATGTTTTATCTTTGAATTCCTCCAAACAAATTGCGCAGGTATCTTTTTTCTCGTTTTCTTGGTTTGGGATTTTTGTGGAGCTCATGGCAGAATTCAGGGTCGTGTTAGTCAGAGGCTTATTCTTTTTTGATAAGGGACCTTGACTATAATCAAGTAATATTTCACACAACTGATCCCGTGCTATATCAACTGTTTTCTTTTCCTACAATATTCACTTTCATAATAGAGGTTTTTTTGGGTTAGATCGCGATCTAACGCAAAAAAAAACTCTATTATGGATATTGGTCGCAAAAGCCTACTTGTTAATATTAACTTTCATCAGTCTTTTATCTGTTTTTAATATAATGCTTTGAACACAATTTTGTACAGCTAAAATGGCATTATGGACTTGTATTTCAGTTAAGCCATCTGGAATGTTAGCTGTAATCTGTCGAATAGATTTTTTTTTAATTGTCAAAGCATCTTGAGCGTCAGTGTACACAAATGCACTATTCCCATTTGTCTTCAACATTATATCCACTATATCACCGTCATCATATTTTGTATTCACAGATATTTTAAAATGAAATATTTTTTTCAGATTCTATAATTAACCTTTATATATTTCTAGAACAAAGTCACAGCTTGCTTTTGTTGCAGCCAAACCTCCTGTGTATGGCTGTGGAGGATCTGTACCATAGTAAGACCCGTGTTGCGACTTCGCAGATGAGGATGCTGCTCCGTTTTCATGGCTTGTGGTACTCTTAGCTTTCCATTTCAAATGATTGAGGAGTGCATCTCTAGCATTATCAACTTCTTTGTAGCTGCCTTTTAAAATAACACAATTTTGTAATTTCTTTATCACAACACTGCAGAAATGCTGTTTAGTTTTCTTGATTAATTTCTCAAACTCATCTGAATGTAGTGCACGAGCTTCACCTGGAATCAGTATTTTACACTGCTTGACATTTGAAGATACGTCTTGGTACAGGTCAAGAAGATTCTCGACTGCTATAGCTGTTGTTTGATCTTTTTCATATCCTTTAACGTTGAGGCAATATTTTTGCGGATCAGTGATATCTGTTGTCATTATAGTGACATTGCAGTTACTTTTCAGCTTATCAAGATCCGCTTTGTGAACTTCAGAAATATATTCGACAATATATATTTCTCTCTCTAAAATTTACCAGGCTTGTTTCAGTCCATTTGCTCTTTCTGTCCCCTGGCCGCTACGGGGTGGATGTCCACACAACTCTCTCATTGACATGCTAATTTCTCTACCCCCCCTCTCTCTCTCTGAGCCCCCCTCTCTCTCTATTTAAGGCCTCGACACAGAGGCGTTGTTTCTCTGTGTGTCTATGTGTGTGTCTTTCTCTCTCTGTGTCTCTGTGTTATCTCTCTGCTTATGTGTCTGTCTATGTGTCTCCGTGTCTGTGTTTTGTCTCTCTCTCAAATTTAGCAATCTTTGGAAAAACGTAATCAACCAGGTAGGGTGTTGACTGTTTTGTTAGCCGACTCTCTGTGTTGTATTGCATTCTATTCTTAAGTTTACTAGGTGTGTTTTCTACCTGATGACAATTGCTTGTGTTGCCATCGAAACGTCGTATTCTATTATTACATTTATTTTCTTTCTACGTGACTTTACCGAAATAACCAAAGAGTAAATAAATGTGTTTGCCATCTGCCTTCTACCTGATATGTTTGTGTACAAGTAGCTCTGCCTGTGATGCGGCTTTCGACATTTTTTCGTCAAAGACAAAATTAAACAATACATTTGTGATTTTATTTATTAACTCATATAGATTTCACCTGTGTATTTTATCGTTGTGCTTGATTACCTTACTCTCAACATATATCTATTCACTTTATGGCATCCTACTCCATATTATCTTAATTTAAAAGTCAGATGGCAAAGTTTAACCTACTTTTAAAAAGGGGGTACACAAATTGAGCAATCATTGGAAGGATGTTATTAACCAGGTAAAACCCTAACTGCTTTGTAAGGGTTGTCGTTTATCATATCTGCCAGGTACCACGACACCACGCAGCGCTCCCCCTATCCCACACCCCCTGCTCCTCCCCCTTTCTCACCTATATAACCTCTTACCACGGCAACTCTCTCTCCCACTTCAGCAAAACATGTTCTTGCTGTGGTTTTCCCACCTGATGATTGCTTGTGTTGCAATCGAAACGTCGTGAGTTAATTTATTTTATTTTCTACCCACGTGACTTCACCGAAAGAACCAAAGAGTATGGATCCCTGCAGTCACGAAACCTTCAAATCTACACTCTACAGTAGTTAATTGTCTCGCCATATGCTTTGGTCTGTGATGAATAGTGCTAGTCATCTTCATTATCAACTGAAATAAATCATCACTTCTTTGACAAATATTTTTAACACTGTTCACAATCAGGAGATTCAGCCCTACTTACCAGCCATTAAAATTAGATATCTCTGTAGACCCCTACTGCTGTCTTCATTTGTGAATTATCTTTGCAAGCCAATGCTAAATGCATTCACACATGAAATGTAACTGAGCTTAAAAACACTATATTAAATGTATCAGTCTGACACTTCAAAGAAATTGTGACAGACATCAATTCATTTTGTTTATTCAGCATGCACGTGTCCATAATTCTAATAAAATCACCAATAATATTACACAGTCTAATGCAGTAATAATATAAGCAACTGAATACCAAGCCTTTGAGCTAAATTTAGTTTTTAAATTAAAACTATTGTCAATGACAGTTTGAAAAAAAAGTTTAGTACTCATAGTTGTGACATTAATTCATACCACCCGATTGTCAAGACTTTCAATTTGACATAATTTGAAAGTTTGTAATATATCCCAAAGAAAAATGTACACACAATAATATAATCAGACACTATCTATAAAGCATAATAGAGTGAATAGAAAATTAACATTCTTAAGTATGCCCAGACTGGTCCTAAAGTCCTGTCATGTTACACTGTCCACACAAGGTGCAGTCATTCGAGGTGAGTGAATACAAGATTAAACCAGCTGCTTACAGCTGTTTTAAAATAAGTCGGGATGCAGAATACAGGACACTGTTGAATCGCCGTACTTGTGTGCAATTTAGTAGCAGTTGACCATTGAAAGTTTAATTGCTTCATAATCCAAAAACAAATACGGTAAGTTATTGTAATACGTGACGGGAAAAAGTTAACCCATAAGATGATACATCATGTGGTTATAACCACATTTGTGTGGTTGTAACACATTAAGTATTTCGACAAACTGGATTTGGGTTCAATTATGGGCAGCCACCTGTTGTGAGTTAATCGTCTCAGCCTGGTCACCAATGACTGCATGAAAACCCATCATAAACATTATTTGTTTGACATTGTGAGACATTTCTGACTGAGAATGAGATATTTAACTTTGACTGGCATGTAATGAACATTTCTAAAGTTGGTTGAATGGGATATTTCTGCATTCGTCGTGAAAATTAAAGGTCACTTGATGGAATCAAGTAAGTAGTTCTGTGATGTCAACTTTCATGGGCTATTCTCCTGTATATCGTGATGCACTGTTCTGTGCGGGTTCCCATAGGATATTTTTTCATCTCATCACATAACACCAGTAGCACATGTTTTGTTAATTAGAAAAATAACATGTAAGCTTGATAGAATCAGTTTAAACACAAATGCTTGGCTACAATTCTTACATGTTGACATGTATTGTTTACTCTTTAATGTCTTTATGGAATCACTTTGGAGTTTTCTTGCATTTTTCGAAATTCAAAAAATTCCCTTAGCTTTCAGCTCCTCCTGTACACGCTTGAGGTAATCACGATCTGGATATCCATAGCTGAAATGGCAAGAAACAGGAAACAGACTTCAATATGAACATGTGTTTAATATAATCTGTTTAATTAATTTGCATGGTATCCAATGTCCTATAACATGTTAGCCTGAATATCCTTCTAGAGATATAGTAAAGTACACTAAACAGTACATTACACTTTGTAATCAATAAGTTATTTGCTCCCTATTGCAAAAGTAAAGTAATTAATTAATGGAAAACTACAATGAGAAAAAAAATGCATATAGATGAAACTCGCAAAACTTTAAAAATATTTATTTGAATGCAAACCCAGTATGGTGAAGAGATCCTAGGCTGCTATGTTATAAACGTTGTCATTGTTATGCATTGTTTCACAAGCATGCCTTTTAAAACAATATTACATTGAGATTCATTACAGCTAAATGTGGCAATGTTGGAGAAAACGTAAATAAATAATTGATGTTTTAATAATTCCTACTGAAAAGGAAGCAAACACACGTTTAAATCCGTACAAAACGAGAACATATCAGTCCTTGCCTGTTAGGTCCTCCATGTGTGCTGGTTTTATGGTGGATGTCATTCCACGTGACACTGTCCTGCAGCCCGGTGGTTGACGATGTCCCAATAGTGAAGATCAGCCTCTGATCAAATGCCCGCCGGAGGAGGCTGAGTACATGCTTCCCCTCGGGCGAATCAGGTAAATATGCTGTCCTTGTTGTTCCATGATAAAGCTTCCCAGGATGTGGGTGCTCTGGCTACATGGCAAAATAAGCGAAAAGAATAATAAGGCAGACAAAATCAGACAAGCGATATAACAAATTTCGTTTATTCACAAAACTGTGACAATATTAGCACATGAGTTGTCTTTGCACCTCATTTTAGTGCACTTAATATACATAACTATTTATAACAAGTACTTACCCCTTGTCTGCCACTTGGAACGTCATAGTATATTGTAATGGTTCCATACTTCTCATATCCTGGCAAAGTAGTGTAGTAATTCGTTACCTTCATTGAGGCATCCTTTGGTTGATCACCTTCTAGTTTGCCATAAACTGTCTGGCAAATTGGACATACTGACTTTGACTTCATTGCCTGATCAATGCATTCCTTGCAGAAAGAGTGCTTACATCTTTTCAGGGATGTTTTATTTGTGAAATCATCCATACATATTGGGCAGGTGTCTTGATTGTTTTTTTGTATTGGGTTTGCAATGGAGGTTGTGCCAGAATTCATGGTCACGTGAGCATTAGGAGTATTTCTTGTTGATGAGGAACCATGACTAACACCATTTAATGTTTCGCACAGCAGATCCCGTGCCTTCTCAACCTGGTCTACATTTCCTGCAACCTTTGCTACATTTCCTACAATAGTCACTTCGGTCAGGCTTTCATTCCTTTGAAAGAAAATTTTTGGATATGTTTTTTTCGCAGTCGAAATGGCATCATCAAGTTGTCTTTCAGACAAGCCTTCCGTGATCTTAACTATGCTGTGTCGAATGTTTTTATTTTTTCTCAGATAAAAATTTGTAAAAACTTCAATAGCTTCATTAAACACAAATGTGTTCTTGTTATTTGGATGCAACATTATACCCACTGTATTAATTTGATCAGGTATATTTTTGACAATTATATCAAAGTGATATTTTTTTCAGCTGCTCTAATTCATCTTGAAATATTTCCATAACAAATTCAGAGTTAATTTTTGAAGCGTGTAAAAGTTCAGTGTTTGACTGTCTTGAGTCTTTAACATCGCCAGACGTTTGACGTAACTTCGAAAATGATGCTGTGTCCTCATTGCTCGTGCTACTTTTTGTTTTACTTTGCAAATCTTTGAAAAGTTCATCTTGAGCCTCATCAACTTCTTTGTAGTTGCCTGTAAAAATAATATGAGGTGGTGATTTCCTTATCACAACACTTGGGAAATGCTATTCGGTTTTATTGAATAATTTCTCCAACACTACTAGATCCATTCCACTAGCTTCATCTAGAATCAGTGTTTTAAACTCATGGACATTTGTAGCTACATTTTGGTACAAATCAACAATGTGCTGATCATTTCCATACTCCTGAATCTCAAATAAATCGTGACAATCATGATCAATACATTTTAATAATTTAAACAATATATCCCATACTCAATCTACATTTCCTGAACTATATAGGTCAGTCCTCGGCTTACGATCACAATTACTAGTTCCATATATCTGTTCGTAAGTCGAACGGTTGGTAAGTCGGAACACAATAATGCACTGTACGGCACACGAGGGAGTGGCCAACACAACGCCCAGCCGCCTTTGTCTCCCCATTAGTGGTGTTTTCGTAGTGCACCGAGCTAACGGCTACACTACCGCACCCCACACACTCACTTACACACACAACAACCACCATTCGCCACTAAGTGGCGGTGACGTCACCACGACGCTTGTGTCAGGCTATGTGCACGTTGAGGCCACGTGAAGAGTCGAACGCCCGCTGGCAGGTCACGGAACAGACCCAGGTGCCATGGGTCGACTAACTGAGATGAGTGGCTGATGCACCACCTGTGCCCCCTACTGTGCCAACTTGCTGTGCTTTAGCCACCCGGCGCTCCGCTCGTTGTGAGCGTCGTTCCTCTGCCCTCCGTTGTTGTTGGAGGGCGACTGCCTCCAACTGCCCAGTAGCGTCCTTCACGAGCCTCCTCCACAGAGGCCGATCTTGACACCGCTGGTACCAGTCATCGGCAAGTCCACTCAGCTCCAAGTCCTCCTGTACCACACCACTCCATCTCTTCTCTAGCCCGTGCCGTGCCCGTTTAGCCCCCTCGATCCGGCCGAACAAAAGCTGTTTAGGCATGCGGTGGCTGGGCATGCGGGCTACATGACCCAGCCAACGCAGCCTTACCTGCCGGAGGAGCTCACCGATGGATCATAGGCAGACCAGCCTAAATGTTTCTAACCGGCAAAGATGTTCCATTAGGGGGGTCCACGTTTCGCAAGCGTAGAAGGGAGGGAATGACAGTGGCCGAGCAGACCTGAAGCTTCTTGCAGAGCGACAGACCAGGTAGCTTCCACACAGCGTTACGCAACCGATGAAAAGATAATGCCGCTCAACTGATTCGGAGTGAGACCTCTGCTGTCAAGCTGGAGCTGGTCATAAGCACACTGCCCAGGTATAAAAACTCTCCACTCTCTCCACAACTGCCCCATCACCAATGGGGAGTTGAGGGGGTGGAGTGTTTGATGAGACAAAATATCCAGGAAGGTGCTTGGTTTTAGTGGGGCTGATGGTAAGAGCTGACCTCTTAGTAGCACGTGCCAGATTCAGCAGCATCGCTTTGAACTCCTCCTCTGAGTCAGCAGCAATCACAAGATAATCAGCATACATACATGGTTGACCAATAGGAAGCCATCCCTCGACCGCACCCGGGCATCGATCAGCCTCCCATTGTATCTGTACCATATGGAAATTCCTACGGTACAGCCGTGGAAAGCTACTGGAACTATGTGGTCAAAGATGATGTTAAATAATGTGGGAGCCAGAGGACATCCCTGTCACACCACAAAGTGAACAGGGTATGGCTCTGACTCCTGGCCATGTAGCTTTACCTGGGCCTGCCCACTATAATGAAGGCCCTTAATTATTGTGAGCAGAGAGTCAGGGACTTCGAAAGCACAAAGAACAGCCCAGAGCCCTTGCCTGTTGATGATACTATAGGCCTTGACCAGGTCAATGAAGCAGAGATGTAAGTCTTATTAGAATTACCTACACCTCTGCTGTAGCAGGACAGAGAATATGGCATCTGTGCAGGACTGCCCTGGTCTGAAATTACATTGGAGCTCCGCAAGCCTCTTCTCAGCGTGCCTGGCGAGGCGATGTTGAATAACCCTCATGCACACACACATATTCCCAGTGCAAGGCTGACTCATTACATTTCGCAATAAATAACTCCGCTGAACAAAACAGTTACATAGTTCAGCTTGCAAGTGCAAGTTTGCGTTTTAAGTCGTAAAAAATCATGGAAGCTGGTTCATAAATTGTTGGTGTTCGTAAGTCGGTTGTTCGTAAATCGAGGACTGTCGATGCTACCATTTGGCTTTCATCCATTTAGAAAAGAATTAATAAAAAAAATCAATAATCTTAACTTGATTGTATCTAACATCAAATTTTTAATCATTGCTATGCAAAAAACCTAAAATGATTTCTACTGATCAGTGACATACATTGTATTTATACTGTATTTGTACTTGCTCTCGAGATTATCAAAGTCTGCTATTTGAACTTCAGAAAAGTATTTCGAAATATGTTTATCCAGTGTTACCACGTGATGCTGACTCTTTTTGGTTGTCGCTATATTCCGGATGACTTTGTGGATGTTCCTAAAAGAGAGAATGTAAAACACATTTCAGAATTTGATTAAAATAGACTAAATTGACAGTGGTGTGCAGGCCCAACTCTAAAAATAGTTTCCCAAAACATCCTTTATTATGTATTAATAGTGAGTGGGTGGGAGACCGTAGCCTTCTCACGGCTCACCTGTTATATATTTTAATGTCATTTTAAACATAATACCGTCATCTAAGCGAAATCGACGACGTTCATTCAAATCCAGATATGATCAGTCGAGCTAAATGCCGAAATAAGACCCATTTAAGGGACAAAACACAATTGGACGAGGTATTCGAGTGAAACAACTACACATTTAAATATTATCAAGACTTAAATGTGAGTTCCTGTGCAGAAACCTAAAAGAAAACAACATTGTCGTACAGGAGACGCACGTTGATGACAGCACGCAGATGGAAAGGTACAGATTAAATGGTTATATCCTAGTCACTGCCATCTATCACCATAAACATGTTCTCGCCACGTTCATCAGGCAAGGCCTAAAGGACTATTCTCTCAAGTCTATGACAATAAGTGACGGAACATTGACAATAAATGTCACAGTTCGTCATGTGACGGTCATACAAGCCCCCGGAGAAGGACTGCCCATCATCACCTCTGCCAGGAGCCACTCAACCTGCTTTATATATGTCGATTACTTCAATATCAGATTCTATATTTGGATAAGAGGGATCCAATGAGCTATGAGGCTCGTTTTCACAGATGTCCAGTAGGGATGGGTCAGCAAGATACAACAGCGAACAATACGAAAACACGATAGGAGTGCAAAATAGAGAAAAGGTAAACAAGTTACTAAAATAAGTAAATATGAAGAAAATAAAGTCCTGTATATAAGTATAAATTGCATAAGTAAATAAATACCTGAAGGTTTTTTAACACTAAAAGCAAGCTTGGGAAAGGCAGCAAAAACTGCAACAAAAACAATCCAAGACTACATCAAGACAACACAGAGTCCGAAAATAAAATTGCACGTTGAAATTTAAGGATTATGGATAAGGATCAAAGTTACAAATTATATTGGAATATATTGTTGTATCCAGCACTAATCTTCTGCTTCGGGATATATTTTGAAGGAAGATTTACGATGTGAAGGGAGGAAACAAGGTTGTTCCAAAGCATTGATGCTTCCACGGCAAAGGCTTTGTCACCTATTTTAATTCTTGTTCTAAGGATGGTTGAAAGGAAATTAGATGGACGTCATAGGTTTCTTCAGTTTGACAATGGGGTACCGTAATAAGATGTTGTGTTAGTTGTAATCGATATTATTTATTTTCACCCAAATTTGTTTTTGCATAAGCCATAATGTATTTATTTTTGTTTTAGGTGAAAAAAGTTATTATATATTACAATATTCGAGTTAGGTTCATGAAAGAGATTGTTAGTTGATAATTGTTTTTTTACCCTTCTATCTAGCAACAAAACTGACACCTTTTTTACAAGGAGTCATGTTTGCATAGACCACAATACCTGCAGTCATAATGCAAACATAAAACATAACTCTGATAATGTATGCACTGTCCTTGAAGTTGATTGGTCCACACCCGAGACAGCTTTCCTTAGAGTCTAGTCTCACATGGGTTGGACCAGATGACGTCAAAAGGCACACAACTCAAAGACAATGTACCATCAGAGTATGAGAGCTCGGGGTAAGCATTTACACCATTGGAACCTCATTTGCCAGTAAAAAATATAATTGGTTTTTTACCCTTCTATATAAACGGAGTTATTTGAAGTTATTAAGTTTCTAGTTATATTTGATAAAATTGCTTCAATTAGCATCAAAGATATATATTTGTAAAACAATCAGGAAGCAGTCTATAGCTATTGGCACGGTTAAAATAGTTTTGGGGTTTCTCAATTTCAACTGATTCCCAAATTAATCTTTACCCATTATAGTTGTTTTTATATAAAACTTTAACCTTATCAAACTCTATTGTGTGCCTTTCCTGACAAGCGTGTTCTGTCACCTTCTACAACTGTCTGCGAGTATTTTAGATTCGTTTGATTTCCTTTAAGTGGTGTGCTAATATTCTTGGGTCTTTCGATAACGTCACGTAGATAGCTTCAAAGAAAATAACAAAAAATAACAAAAAACTACGTTTCGATCGCAACACTGAAGACGACCGCTTGTGTTGCGATGAAAACGTCCAGTTTTATTTCTTTTTTGTTATTTTCTTTGAACCTATCTACGTGACTTTACCGAAAGACCCAAGAACATGAATTCCTGCAGTCACGAAAGCTTTAAGTCAATGGTGTGCTAATGTTGCGACCTGCCTGGCCGATGTAACATTCCGCAAGTACGAATATTCTGGTGTAGCCTTTTTGACAAAAGCATTAATATTATATTTTTGAAGGTAGGATTTTTAAAGGATAGACCAGTCGTCGAGACTAATAACAGTGGCAGTCAATGGCTTTTAAAGTTTATACCAGGACAGACAGTACTGTTCTTTTATTTATACGATGTAACATACCTTTACGTTTGCATTGTATCTTCTTGTGTGGTAAATTCTTGTTATTTCCACAAGGTCATCAATTCCTAAAAACAAAGATTAACAAACATTTCCTTTCTACAACTTTACCAACATGCACTGTTGGCTGACATAGGGTAAATGGGATTTTAAAAACAACAATAAACACCAAGCGGTTTAAATGTTGTGGTCTTGTTTGGAAGGTGGTAGGGGACAGATTGGGAGTGGTGGTTGTTCATTAATCCAAAAAAGAAATCCACAGTTAACCAAGTATAATACTCTACAGTATTCAATAGTTTATGTATAAAATACTTTGACAAAATGTGTTTAAACACCATTTTAATACAAATTAGGGTGTAATGCAGAATAGCTCCTGCAACTTGGGAAAGGGAATTATATAGTTTTATGATTTAATTATGAGTCCTAAAAGCTCAAAGAGATTATAATACCATCCTAGCATCGATGTGAAAGTTCATCCAAGTATTTCTCACAATATTGTATCTTTATGAGCATTTTCAAGTTAAACAAACTCATTAAGGTGACACGCATTCTTTCAAATGTCTGAAATGTACATCTAAAATTGTGTAAATGTCCTGCTGTAGCTTTTTTCTTATTCATTTATTTTACACATTGGTATACGGATGGATTAACCCCATGTGCAGTGAGTGACGTCATTTGCCTTGATTATTGTCATAAACAATGAGTGCCTCATCCTTGTTGCGGTTGTGGGGGTAAAGTATTCCCAATATTTTTCCAAATTTTCCATAAAGGTACTCCAGTCTTCCTTTTATTTTATCCTCCGTGAGACTTGATAGAAGTTTCTCGATGCCGCTGATCACGACTGCATCCTGCAGCCAGGATTCCTTGGCTGTTGTTGGTGGTGATTCCTTTCTTCGGGTCGCCATGGCACTCTTACAAACATACATCTCAATTGTCTGTTGACGGGAACATTATTAGTTGTTAATATGATATTTCCAAATTAGTTTATTTATTGTTTAAATAGTTGTTATACTAAAACTCATATAAGGGACATGGCTGATCACACCAAGTGCTCTATCACTTGAGTGTTGCTTCCCCGAGATAGCTCAACAACTTTGAGGCATGGTCACATTAACATTACTCAGATATCAGAGTATGTTTTTGTTTGCATGCTGACCACAAGCATTGTTGTTAATGCAGACATGATTCTTGTAAAAGGTTCCAGTTTGGTGTTTTAACATCTTAACACCTGTTTTGTTGCCCGAAAAAAGGGGAAAACCTATTATCATTACTCAGATACAACAAAATACACTTATGCTACAGTGCCTATGACCAAATCAGCTGGAATGCACCTGATATCGTCATATCTCGGAGGAAAAGCAGAGTTTAGCCAGGATGGTACAGTACTTGGTGAGGGCGACCACCATGTATGAAACAACCGACACAAACTACTACAGGGCTATGTTGTCGGCATCAGAGGGCAGTACAGCAAAAGGCTTTGCTCCACTGGACTATGTTACAATATCTATGCGCCCTCTCTTTAACGCACACCGACCAGCGTGAAGAATGGTCATATAACTCCCACGACCCACGTGGCTTGGGGGAGGCCCTCATCCAGCAGTGGATTGACAGAAGGACTGGCCATGACCATTGTACTACAGTAGTGGCGTCTGATAGCATAGCTAAGCGATATACACTGTGCAAAGCCGTCACTGGTGTTAAAACACATTGAAATGTGTACAAGTACATTAAATTATTTCTGGGTAGTCTCGTCTAATCTAATCAGCAAGTCAACATGAAGTCAACAGCACAAACCCTGCAGCCACTAGGCTGTGTTTGCAACATGTTACCACAAGCAAATGTGACATTACGAGCTTGCGATGTAGTTGACATGATTCACATGTTGTGTTTCCGCGCTATAGCCCAAACCCCAATTAAAACTAATATTAAATATTCACAGCCCTCTGTCAATGCACATCGAGACGAATGCCTCTCCACACCGTGCCTGCCATGGGGATGTTTTCACCATACTTCACCACGCCGTCAGTGTGCTAATTACCTGTGACCTCTGGTGAGTAAATGTCAAATCCCTTCCTCTTGGTTCTTTCGGTAAAGTCACGTAGAAGGGAAGTAATAAAATAATAAAAATAAAACATAAAACAATTTTCACGACGTTTCGGCCACAACGCAAGCAGCCGTCCTCAGGTTGCGTTGTGGCCGAAACGTCGTGAGAATTGTTTTATTATGTTTTATTTTTATTATTTTATTACTTCCCTTCTACGTGACTTTACCGAAAGATCTGAGGACGGCTGCTTGCGTTGTGGCCGAAACGTGAGAATTATTTTATTATGTTTTATTTTTATTCATTTATTACTTCCCTTCTACGTGACTTTACCGAAAGAACCAAGAAGATGAATCCCTGCTGTCACGAAAGCTTTAAATCGAAATTTTACCGAAAGAACCAAGAGGATGAATCCCTGCAGTCACGAAAGCTTTAAATCGAAATATCAAGTCCCTTGTCCCCCGATGTGTATACCGCCGTACGATCGTCTCGCAGTGGATTTTCACCGGATGGTGTCTATTCATGTGTTATACGTATAACTTTTTTTTTAAATTACCGCATGAACATTTCATTTTCAACAGTAGCACAGATATAGGCGGAGGACTTTTGTAGTTCAGTCCAAGGCTAAAAACACGCAGTGGTCGAACATGCAAGCATCTGTACATTTTGCCACGATGGTAAACTACAGTGCTCAGTAAACTCAGAAATGCCCCAATGATACTGGCTCCCTCTAGCAGTCGAGTATATATGTCATACGCATTGCATCAGGCAGACATCTAACCCCAAGTTGCAGCTCAACTTTTGTTTTAATGTAAAGTAAATGGTTTTAAAATGTCGCGTTGACAATGTGTCAGACGCCACGGCGAGCGTCTTCTCACCTGTGCCACGACCGAGGGCTGCCGGAGTCGCCAACAACCGAGAGGCGTTTGGGGGAAACTTCGTGAAGAAGATTAAAGGAGGGCGAACGAGGAAGTTAAAGTGCAACATAACATGACGATGACGTGTTCGGAGAGACACACGCGGCTGTTTTTGAATCTTTGCTGGAAGCAAATCTATTTGTGGCTCTGCTAAGTTACCGGCCCGAATAGTTGTCACAACGAGGTGACGAGATGTTAATTCCCTCGCCTGGTGTGCAAGAGGTCGTGGGTTCGATGCCGACCTCGACCCCGACGCCTGCTGCTGTGTATTTGGAGTTTTCGTGTCTCTCTTCTTCCCGTGGCAGTGTTGATTGTTCTCCGGGTCCTCCATTGTGGCCCTCCACATGTAGACTCAACAAGTTTTTCGAGTATTTGGCTGAGGTGTGGACTCGAGTCATGTGACTTGGACTCGAGTCAGACTCGAGTCATGAATTTGATGACTTCAGACTCGACTTGGACTTGCATAACAATGACTTTGTCCCACCTCTGGTATTTGGCTACCATAAATGATCAAGTCGCTTCTAAACGAGAGCTATATACATTAGTGGACCTTACCTAGTAAATAAAAGTTAATTGTAATTAGTCAATAAATAATGTTACACCATGTAAACGCCTTATTTAGAGACACCTTAATTTGCAATTATCATGATCACCCATGATGAATCCACTCACGACTGGATTAATTGAATACCTTCTCATTAGCATTAAACGCTGCTAATTCATTGCTTTTGGGCACAAGCGTTGGGTTGTGTGAAACTCGAGACAAACAATTCACCTCTTTGCCCTTGAAATACCCTGGGACCATCTCTTCAAACACTCTGAACAATGGCCGAAAATCATGTCATCAACTTGACCGTCAATGATGTGAGGGCAGTTCGTCTCGTCCAGGGGTCTGCAATCTGAGGCTCCATAGCCGCATGCGGCTCTTTGGCTGCCCTCCTCCCACGAACAGCTGTTTTATATTTTTTGTTACTAAATTTACTTTATTCGGTTCTGTACACTCTCAAGTGGAGTACAGGCGGTCCCCGCTTTACGACGTTACAATGCGTTCTTGGAAAACAGGTTGTAAATCAGATCGTCGAAAAATCGGACCCTACTTTGTCATAGACGCAGTGTTGCTTGTCTTGGTGACAACAAACTGTACAAACCGTAGAATAACTCGGGGGTGTGGATGAAGAATAACTCGGAAAAATTACGATGAGTTTTGACCACTTTGTTATTCAATAGTTTACCTGTCCGCAAGTTAATTCTTCGGGCCGGTCAGTTCAATCGTTGATCTCAGGGTAGTCTGTTACCCTCATGACCTTCTGTCATCCCCCCACATCTCCCATCACTACTCCATCACCCACTAGCACTCCAATCCATCACTCATCCCCTTCCACCCCCATCCACTATCACCTCTCCTTTCTATACATCAGCACGTACGCATTAATAAAATGTGGTACACTTCTTACAGTTTACTGCCTAAGTTATCTTAAGTCTGTCTCTATTTATACCACTGTACAGTAGTTGTCTCACCATATGCTTTGGTCTGTGGTGAATAGTGCTCGTCATCTGAAATAAATAAACACTTATTTGACAAATATTTTAACACTGTTCACAATCAGGAGATTCAGCCGGTCAATAGCCAGGGTCAACGGCGGCGTGGTGTATTCCGCAAATATGCCCGACTGTGAGGGCGGGCACAAGCCGGCGTGATTAGGTTAAACGTTGAGTTTTATAAGGGCACCACGGGGTGACCAGCCCCTCCCCACCCAGCCCCACCCTGCACGACGGACGGACACAATAATCCCCTGTGGGCTGGTGGAACCAGTGGGTTCCTACCAGTATTAGATATCTCTGTAGACCCCTACTGCAGTCATTTGTGAATTAGCTTTGCAAGTCAATGCTAAATGCATTCACACATAAAATGTAATTAACTGAGCTTAAAACACACCATATGAAATGTATCAGTCTGACACTTCAAATTAATTGTGTAAAACTAAAAACTCGGTAAGACAGACATCGATTCATTTTGTTTATTCAGCATGCACGTGTCCATAATTAGAATAAAATCACCAGTAATATTACAGTCTAATGCAGTAATAATAGAAGTAACTGAATACCAAGCCTTTGAGCTAAATACATTTTTAGAATTAAAACTATTGTCAATGACAGTTTGAAAAAAAATGTAGTACTGTATAGTTGTGACATTAATTCATACCACCCGATTGTCAAAACTTTCAATTTTACATAATTTGAAAGTTTGTAATATATCCCAAAGAAAAAGTGTACACACAATAATATAATCAGACACTATCTGTAAACCAAAATAGAGTGAAAAGCAAATTAACATTCTTAAGTATGCCCAGACTGGTCCTAAAGTCCTGTCATGTTACACTGTCCACACAAGATGCAATCATTCGAGGTGAGTGAATACAGGATTAAACCAGCTGCTTACAGCTGTTTTAAAATAAGTCGGGATGCAGAATACAGGACACTGTTGAATCACCGTACTTGTGTGCAATTTAGTAGCAGTTTGTTGACCATTGAAAGTTTAATTGCTTCATAATCCAAAAACAAATACGGTAAGTTATTGTAATACGTGACGGGAAAAAGTGAACCCATAAGATGATACATCATGTGGTTATAACCACATTTGTGTGGTTGTTACACATTCAGTATTTCGACAAACTGGATTTGGGTTAAATTATGGGCAGCCACCTGTTATAATACTAGTTTCTAAAGTGTTGTGAGTTAATGGTCTCAGCCTGGTCACCAATGACTGCATGAAAACCCATCACAAAATAATTTTTCTGACATTGTGAGACATTTCTGACCGAGAATTAGATATTTCACTTTGACTGCCATGTAATGAACATTTCTAAAGTTGGTTGAATGGGATATTTCTGCATTCGTCGTGCAAATGAAAGGTCATTCGATGGATCAAGTAAGTAGTTCTCCTCTGTGTGGGTTCCCAAAGGACCTTTATTCATCTCATCACATAACACCAGACGCAGATTATTTGTTAATTAGAAAAATTACATGTAAGGTTGATAGAATCAGTTTAAACACAAATGCTTGGCTACAATTCTTACATGTTGACATGTATTGTTTACTCTTGAATGTCTTCATGGAATCACTTTGGAGTTTTCGAGATAAGAATCTTGCATTTTTCGAAATTCAAAAAATGCCCTTGGCTTTCAGCTCCTCCTGTACACGCTTGAGGTAATCACGATCTGGATATCCATAGCTGAAATGACAAGAAACAGAAAACACACTTAAATATGAACATGTGTTTAATATGTTTAATTAATTTGCATGGTATCCAATGTCCTATAACATGTTAGCCTGAATATCCTTCTAGAGATATAGTAAAGTACACTAAACAATACATTACAATTTGTAATCAATAACTTATTTGCTCCCTATTGCAAAAGTAATTAATTAATGGAAAACTACAATGAGAAAGAAAATGCATGTGGATGAATCTCGCAAAACGTTTTAAATTATCTATTTGAACAATGCAAACCCAGTATGGTGAAGAGATACTAGGCTGCTATGTTATAAACGTTGTCCTTGTTATGCATTGTTTCACAAGCATGCCTTTTAAAATAATATTACATTGAGCTTCATTACAACAAAATGTGGCAATGTTGGAGAAAACGTAAATAAATAATTGATGTTTTAAACCAGGGGTCGGCAACCAAAATAACAAGAAGAGCCATTTCTTTCCAATTCGGTACAAAATTCAGTATTTCAAGAGCCGCAATGCATCTGAGTAGACGTACATATCGTCAAGAAGCAGCCCGTAAAGAGCCGCATGCGGCTCCGGAGCCGTAGGTTGCCGACCCCTGTTTTAAACACATTCCTGTGGAGGGAGCTGGTAGGAACGTTGGGTTGCTCGGTCAATGGTCAGGGTCAACGGCGGCGTGGTGTATTCCGCAAATATGCCCGACTGTGAGGGCGGGCACAAGCCGGCGTGAGTAGGTTAAACGTTGAGTTTTATAAGGGCACCACGGGGTGACCAGCCCCTCCCTTCCCAGCCCCACCCCTCACCCAGCCCCACCCTCCCCACCCAGCCCCTCCCCACCCTCCCCACCCAGCCCCTCCCTGCACGACGGACACAATAATCCCCTGTGGGCTGGTGTAAGCAGGTTCCTACCAGTATAACCATTCCTAAAAGCACACGTTTAAATCAGTAAAAAAACGAGAACGTATCAGTCCTTGCCTGTCAGGTCCTCCGTGTGTGCTGGTTTTATGATGGATGTCATTCCACGTGACACAGTCCTGCAGACCGGTGGTTGACGATGTCCCAATAGTGAAGATGAGCCTCTGTTCAAATGCCCGCCGGAGGAGGCTGAGTACATGCCTCCCCTCGGGCGAATCAGGTAAATATGCATACCTTGTTGTTCCTTGATAAAGTTTCCCAGGATGTGGGTGCTCTGGCTACATGGCAAAATAAGCGATAATAATAAGGTAGACAAAACAAGACAAGCGATATACTGTAACAAATTTCGTTTATTCACAAAAGTGTGATATTAGTACATGAGTTGTCTTTGCACCTCACTTTAGTGCAATTAATAAACATAACTATTTATAACAAGTACTTACCCCTTGTCTGCCATTTGGGACGTCATAGTATATTGTAATGGTTCCATGCTTCTCATATCCTGGCAAATGAGTTGTGTAGTAAGTCGTTACCTTCATTGAGGCATCCTTTGGTTGATCACCTTCTAGTTTGCCATAAACTGTCTGGCAAATTGGACATACTGACTTTGACTTCATTGCCTGATCAATGCATTCCTTGCAGAAAGAGTGCTTACATCTTTTCAGGGATGTTTTATTTGTGAAATCATCCATACAGATTGGGCATTTTTCTTCATTGTTTTCTTGTTTTGATTTTGCAGTGGGAATCGTGCTAGAATTCATGGTCGCGTGAACATTAGGTTTATTTCTTGTTGATGAGGAACCATGACTAACACCATTTAATGTTTCGCACAGCAGATCCCGTGCCTTCTCAACCTGGTCTACATTTCCTGCAACCTTTGCTACATTTCCTACAATAGTCACTTCGGTCAGGCTTTCATTCCTTTGAAAGAAAATTTTTGGATATGTTTTTTTCGCAGTCGAAATGGCATAATCAAGTTGTCCTGCAGACACGTCTTCCGTGATCTTAACTATGCCGTGTCGAATGTTATTTTTGCTTTGAAAAAAATCTGTAAAAGCTTCCATAGCTTCATTAAACAAAAAAAAATTCTTGTCATTAGGATGCAACATTATATCCACTGTATTATTTTTAGGTGTATTTTTGACAATTATATCAAATTGATATTTCTTTTTCAGCTGCTCTAATTCATCTTGAAATATTTCCATAACAAATTCAAGGTTAATTTTTGAAGCTTGTAAAACTCCAGTGTTTGAGTGTCTTGAGTCTTGAATGTTCGAAAATAATAATTTGTCTTCATTGCTCGTGCTACTTTTTGTTTTACTTTGCAAATCTTTAAACAGTTCATCTCGAGCCTCATCAACTTCTTTGTAGTTGCCTGTAAAAATAATATGAGGTGGTAATTTACTTATCATAACATTTGGAAAATACTGTTCGGTTTTTTCTAGTAATTTCTTGAACACAACTGGATCCATTGCAATAGCTTCATCTGGAATCAGTGTTTTAAACTCATGGACATTTGTAGCTACATTTTGGTACAAATCAACAATGTGCTCCACTGCTTCAGCTATTGGTTGATCATTTCTATACCCGTTAATCTTAAGAAATGTTTTTTGTTGATCAGTACTCTTTGTTGTCTTCATCGTGCATTTGTACTTGCTATTCAGCTCATCAAGATCTCTATAATAAACTTTAGAAAGGTATTCAAATATATATTCATCGACTTCCAGTGTGCTATGACCTGATGTTGACTTGGCTTGGTTGCCTGGATTTTCCAGATTACTTCGTGAATATTTCTGAAAAAGAAAATAAATTTCAAAAACAACAAAAGTTGGCATTGTTCAGCTTGGATATATATATCCTTGTGTGTCACTAGCCAGTGTGACCACATGATGGTTTTAAACATTCCTGTCAACTCCTTCCTAGAGAACATTACTTTTCTGCTTGTTAATTTCGCACAGCTGCCAGAGGCTGTGACCAAAATAAATGTGCTTTAAATATAAGTACTCGTTGGTTCTTTCGGTAAAGTTACGTAGATAGAAAGTTAATAGATCACGACGTTTCGATCGCAACACAAGCAATCGTCATCAGGTGGGACAACCACAGCAAGAAACAACTGATGTGGTTGTCCCACCTGATTACGGTTGCTGGTGTTGCGATCGAAACGTCGTGATCTATTAATTTTCTACCTACGTGACTTTACCGAAAGAACCAAAGAGTATGGATTCCTGCAGTGACGAAAGCTTCAAATCAAGATTAAATATAAGTATCAAGGATAGACATGTATTAAATAATTATTATGGACAATGTTCAACACGAAATGCTGTAGTTTTCACTACGTAGTTATCATTATTTATTTACACGCTTTTATTTGACTCACTTTGTTGTATCCTCAAAAAAGAAATATTGTAACTCAATTTTTAGTCACTTCCCAATGTGCCATCGACTGCAAACTTCGTATAGCTATGTCATACTGATGACAACACGATATTCTATCATAAAAAAATCCAAAACATATATTTTAAAACTTTTTACACGCTTTTATTTAACTTACTGTATGTGTCGTATCAAAAAATCTTGTAACTCAATTTCAACCGTATTCCCAACGTCGTATCGACTGCAAACTTCGTATAGCTATGTCATACTGATGACAATACTATATTCTATAATTGAAAATGAAAAATATATTTTTAAACAATCTATTTAACGGCTCTAATTGTCGACGCTCAACTCACGTTGCCTGTAAATCATCACGTGGCCCCTTACGTCACGGCAAGCCTCGGGGAGCCACGCCCAGGGGCAGGGGGTGTGGAAGGAGGGGAGGGGCGATGGAGGAAGGGGGCATGGGGAGGGGCAGCTCGGAAAGTACATTTCATTAAAAAAGTATTTTTAAATATTTTATACTGGCTAAACAGGACAGTGAGGGCCGACTATAGGGGGTTGCAGGGCCCGGGACAAATCCCGCTGTGTGGGCCCCCGACGCCTTCAAACTAAACTGCATTACACCCCAAAGCGCAGGGTCTGGGGCAGTCGCCCTGACTCTCCGTACCCTCGGAACAGCTCTGTGTATAAGTACTCTTTTTTGTTGTCCTAATAAGACAATCACAATTGGATTTCGCAAAAAAAGTGTGAATCAACAAAGCAAAGATTTACAATATTAAATGACTTTGTTGGAAGTGGTTTCTCCAACAATTAAGACATTTTTTTGCACTGGGGGCCATTGCCTGGTACAATACCTTATTCTTATCATGTGGTATTGATGATCGTGGTTAAGTTTTATTTCATTTGAACAAAGTATATCAAGCTTAAATATTATAAATAGCACACCTCTGGGTGAAACCACCAATACCGAGCCAACAGCAGATAAGCTTACACATGGTAACTAATATTGATTCTAGGCCTAAATCATGTTCATCCTGTATCCTAAATTAGGACCAGCCTTGATGCTGAACTGCAGGAATATGTACTTCTGCGAATCCCATATTTAACTGAACTTACGTATTCGTTTTGCAGGTTTAAATGTAATGTACTATATTTGGTCAAAGTCAAAATTCAAAGTCTCTTTCTAATCAAATTACCACTGGGCTGTGCTCAATTCTATCGGTGGCCCAGAGCCAGTGGGGAAATTTGGAATGCCGATGAGTGAACACGTCTTCCAAAGGTTGGCTGCTTGTGACTTGATGCTCATTATCGATCTTCGTGAGTGATAGACGTAACCCCTGACCGGGATATGAGCATGTGACTTGTTTGTAAGTGAATCACTCTGCCAGAGCTGGACAATATAATTTTTTAACTCATTAAACGTATCCACTTCACTTTAGCACATGCCCAATTTGAACAATTGAATGCACCCCTGCCAAAATATTGCATGGTCTACAAATTAACATTGTAAAACAGACTGTGGACCACATTAATACTGTACTACAGTACAACACTAAAAAGTGTGGAAATATATTGGTATCAGTGATATTTTCAATATTGTATCAAATTTTGTGAGTTCCACACGATAAAATACCTGTTTTTCGTCACTGTATTTTCTTGTCGGATATGTTTTTGCTGTTGCATAAAGACATCCATGTCTGAAAGATAAAAAGGATTTGTGAGTACTGTATTCCAATTTCAATCGTTCATATTTTAAAAGTCAATAATCGTATGCAAGCTACATCTCAAAATATATCCTTTGCATTAAGTTGTAAACTGATTGGACTCCAGTTTAATACATGTGGAATTGCACAAACAAGCAGAAGTGTTAATCCACCAGTTTTAACATGCTAATATCTAAATCAATATCCAAGAGAGAACAAAAGTTTAAAACCAGTTATAATGACAGTTGTATACAGTGCTGTACTTAATTAACCGTACTTTACGTGATATACATATTCTTAAAGCACATAACTTAATCCTATATGTTATAACACTGAAACTATTTATTGTCTCCCTCTTATCCATGAATTATATGTATCTGCGACCCTGCCAATGGATACGAGTTCTATCAACGTGTTACCATTGATATGCTGTATACTGTGCAGCCCCTTTATCAACCCACCGCTGAATGAGGGCCTTCCAACCCCGTGCGTGTTAGCGATTATCTGATCATACTTCACCACGCTGGCCAGCATGGGTTGGTGAAAATGGGGAGCCTGGGAAATTGTAGAGTACAACAATGAATTTAGCTGCACTGCTCTCTGCTGAAAACATAACCCTTAAGCAGCCTATAACACCTGTTTGTGCGTGGTGATTTCCCATGCAAGCCATAGGTGTGACTTAGCTTCTAAGATCTGACTTAGATCGGGTGCATTCTGTGTGATTTAGTCATGCGGTGTCACTAATGCAATGAGTGGAAGGTTAATCCTCTTTGCTGTATTTACCTTGGGCGTTGGTAAAGGCAATGAGAGCCTCATCTGCATTGTAGTTGTAGGGGTAAATAACTCCACAACAAACATGCTTTTCATGCTCATCCTCAAGCCGTCTTCTTATTTCATAGTCCCTGAGATAAGCTGATTTCACAAGTTTTCTTACGGAGCTGATTATCACAGCATTCTGCAGCCCCGACTCGGCAGTCCAAGACTGATTTCCTCCAGTCGCCATGGCACACCTCCACCTGCCAGCACACAGGGGCCGTCCATAAATGACGTCACGCGATTTTGGACGATTTTTGACCCCCCCCCCACGTCGTCACACGGCGTCACAAAAAGTCAGACCCCCCCCCCTCAAATATGACGTCACAAAGCTCTGCCCCCCCCACCCAAAAAAAGAAAACACGCTTCCAATCGCTTTAAACGATTGTCATTGTAGTGCGTATTTAATGTGGCACTGCACTCTGATGTTGTATGAGGAAACATTTATTTAAAAAAGTATATTTAATTAAGTAGAACGTGTTGTCTATATTTATTTAAAGTTGCGCATTTTGATGTGACGTCACATTTCTCAAACCCCCCCCCCTCGACACACATCGTCACAAATGTCTGACACCCCCCCTAGGTGCGTGACGTCATTTATGGACGGCCCCACAGGTGTTTGTTCCCGTCAGGTGCACCTGCTCATAAGACAACTGTGAAACACATCCGGACGCAATGTGTTTTTAGTGACGTTTAATTCACGTTACAAAAGGCGATCCCATTGATTTTCCGTTTCGCTCATGAAATCTACTTGACATTTCGGTGAATGTGAGACCAAGGTGCTCTGCAAACCTTCTGGCTACCATCAAAGGTTTGTACACGAAGCCATCCAGATATACAAACACAGACATAACTTCAACCGTGATGATGAGTAATCATTGGAAAGATGTTATTAACCATGTAAAAAAGATTTAACTACACATATTTGTAACATCTTATTTGACAGGTACTATTCTACTTTACCGAGTGTTGACATCCCCAGCGTTTAACAGTACTGCCTTTTTTAAATCCTTTATATTAAGTTCGCTTGCTTGCTTGCTTGCGTGCTTGCTTGCTTGCGTGCTTGCTTGCGACCGTGCAAACCTTTCGGTCGTTTTTTAACCCACTTCCCGTGATCCAATCGAGCTGACATTTTGCACACAGACTCGTTGTGCGAGACAATTAATGTTCGTGAAAATTTTTTTCCAAAATTTTACACTGTTTAGGGAAAACAAATTAAATATTTAATTACCAATTGTTTAATACTGCAGACAATCATCTGACCCATAGGTGGCAGCCATCTCAAGCCAGAGGACGAGAGGACTCTAGCCGCCACGCATATAAAGGATTTAGAGTGAAAAACTTTGTTTTTACGGGTTATACTTATTATATTTGAATTGTCAGCCAACACCGGTTACAACCCAGAGGTCGCAAACGGGTTTTGATTCCTTACCCGTACCCGTACCCGGCCGCACCAGGGTCGCAAACGGGTACCCGTACCCTACCCATACTCGGCCGGGTATCGGGTAGGGTACGGGTATCGGGTACCCGATTGCGACCTCTGGGATGAAGCCATGTTGCAGGCGCGGGTGGGTTGATTCTAGGAACTTGAATTGCGAGAAGAGACAAGACGTTGGGGAATGAGTGACAAATGGTTACTCACCAGTGACTCACGGCCTACCCGTACCCATACCCGGCCGCACCAGGGTCGCAAACGGGTACCCGTACCCGGTCGGGTACGGGTAGCCGGGTATCGGGTAGGGTACGGGTATCGGGTACCCGATTGCGACCTCTGTTACAACCCCAAGTCGAGGTACACCTATTGTTCTCTTTTAGCCCCGCCCACCCCCCCAACACGTTCCATTCATTGGCTACCACATTCAGATGAGCCCTCCCCCCCTCCCCCTTAACTTGTATTTAAGAGCTTGTCTCTTGGAATTTTGCCTCACTTGATACAGTAAATTTTAGCTGTGACGGTCCTACCTGATGACGGAGACTTGTGTTTCCTCCGAAACGTCGTGATTTATTATCTTATTTTTATTATTTATATTGTTATTTATTTTTACCTACGTGACTTTACCGAAAAAAAAACTAAGAGTAATGTGAACGTAATGACGTACTGACAACATTAACTCCCCTCTGGTATTCGCACCTGATAGGCTCACGTTGATGGCATCACCTTTACTCAATTTAAGACCGAAACTGAAGGACTTCTTTACAATTCCGGCTAATCGTCTGATGAGGCTGGTTATCATCACCAGCGAAACGTCGCAGTACTCAAATTGTAAATGTTGTGTGTTTGCTCTCCAACACACTCGGGGTGCTGAAGTAGTAAACTGATTGGCACGTTTTTTGCTTACGTGACAAACTTTACTAATCGGCAGTGTCGGGTGGTGGCGGGTTTAAATTACGACACATTTATATTTAAGCGAGCGATCTAACCCAACAAACACCATGTATGTCATGTAGCGACGTCTAGCGGTCACACGAGGGCTCACGCCGTAGGGGATCTCCATTTCAAATGAAACATAAAATCCCACCAGTGGCGCTGCAACTTCGTCATGATGTACAATGCGAATACGACGACAGTCCTTCCCCAATCCACTGCTGGATGAAGACCTCCCACCCGAGGTCGCGTTGCTCGCGTGGGGAGGGGGTGATTGACCATACTTCACCACGCTGGTCACACGGTGCTGGTTGGTCAATAGGGGCAGGGGGGGCAGGGAATCGGTGTTGGGGTCACTGCGCGGTGGAGTCCAAACAAAGGCAAAGATCCCCCGTATAGCCTGCAACAATCTGTTGGAGCAAGTGCTGTGATCGAGGGGGCCAGCAACCACGCCCGGCCGCCTTTGTCTCCCACCGCACCGGCGACTCGTTTGCCACGAGGCAGCCTTCAAACAATCCGCCAGATGTCGCCAGATAGGACGTGGAAGGTCGTTCGCGATGTCGTCATTTGGGAGCAGCAAACTGATGAAGAGGGGGGAGGAATCCCGCATCAACCCCCTCGTCGCTAGGGTCGAGTGATTAAATGTGATGAAATCAATCGACAGGTTGACGATCAATGGGCCAGGCAAACGTTGACGAAACGAATCGTCAACGAAAACTTTTTTTGCACAACCACCGCCCAATCCGATAATTGTCACGCGTTTTGGGTTTTTGTTAAACAAACAAAAATGACCTCGGCTCCAGGTTTGCCATACGTCGACGTTAATCGACGTTGACTGGATGCATCTATAGGGGCTGGGAGTGCTACTACTACAACAACAATAACAACAACAACGCACGTCTCGGACTGTGACAACGAGCGTGGCGAGAAAGCCATAGAACGCGACGCGTGTCCCCGATGCAACACAACAACCACCACCACCAACACCACAACAACCACCAACACAACAACAACCACCAACACACACAAAGACACAGACACACACAAAAACAAAAACACACGCATGTCGCAGACATCGCGAATTACGGGCCAACACTTTCGGTTCCGCATCCTTCCCCAGAACGCAACGCACCACGGCAAACACTTTAAAGCCCTCTCACTGCCTCGCTCACTCGGCAACACAAACCAACTCACCGAGACACCCGTCGCGCTCACCTCGATCTGCCACAACCAACAGAGGAGGAGGTGGAGGAAGAGGAGGTGGAGGAGGAAGAAGAAGAGGGCTGTGAACGCGAGGCGCGGGGAACACCGAGAGGAGACAAACACCGCGGCACCGACGACGACGACGAGGAGGAGGAGGAAGTCGTGCGTCGTTGCGCAAAGAACCCCTCAAGTGACGTGGCCACGGGTATCTTCCAGGAAGGGGGGGCTTGGAACTCTTTGCGCAGACACAGAGGCAAGGCTGTGTGTGTGTTTGATGTGTGAGGTGTGTATGTGGGGGGAGTCTTGTCCGAGGGCTGTGTCACGCCACCTCTGTGAGTGTCAGCAGTCGTGCGTTACTTGACGAGGCATCCGTCGACCGTGCCCCGCGTCGTTCTCTCGTTCTTTGCTCGTTGGCCGCTTCGTTTTCCCCGCAAGTTCGTCGGATCGGTCACGTTCACTCGTTCCGTGTCGCCCCTGCGATGTGTCGGATTTAGTTGAACCGAGTCGTTGCGAACATGGAAGTTTCGGAGGAGGAGGAGGACACCGCGTGCGTAATCGAGGGTGTTCCAGGCACCGGCCCCCTGAACGGCGATGTGAAGAGAAGCCTCGCCAAGTATTTTGAAATCAAGAGGAAATCTGGCGGAGGAGAGTGCACCGTCGAGGAGAAGGATGGAACCGTCGTGGTGAGGTTCAACAGCACAACAGGTAAGGAAGGGCACGAGGAGGAGGTGATGTCCAAAGCGCAGGTGGCTAGGAGATGTTAACTACCTCGCCAGGTACGCAGGAGGGCATGGGTTCAATCTCGACCCTGACGCCTGCTGCTGTATATTTGGAGTTCGCGTGTCTCTCTCTCATCATCCCGGTGGCTAGGAGATGTTGACTACCTCGCCAGGTATACAGGAGGTCGTGAGTTCGATCTCGACCCTGACGCCTGCTGCTGTATATTTGGAGTTTGCGTGTCTCTCTCTCATCATCATTCCGGTGGCTAGGAGATGTTAACTACCTCGCCTGGTATACAGGAGGTCGTGGGTTCGATCTCGACCCTGACGCCTGCTGCTGTATATTTGGAGTTCGCGTGTCTCTCCCTCTCCCCGTGGTCGCGTGGATTTTTCTCCGGGTCCTCCAGGTTTCCACTCCACATTTAGAAACACGCGTTTGGAGTTTTTGGCTTGTATTACATTTACACATGATAAGCCACTTTGTTGAGCTATCATTTGTCATAGCCAGGTCGATTCTGAAAAAGAGCGTTATAGGTCAGCGTGCCTTACCTGGTAAAATATTTTTTTTAACACTGTAGTTTCGTTTAATCGGTTAGTTTCGTGTGTGATAAGATCACGCCTTCGTACCAGCGCTTTGGAGGGGATAGGTCACACGTAGACAACCCCCGCCGGCAGTACTGTGGGTTCGTGAACGCATCTGTGCGGAAATTATTATGTAAAAGCGTTATCCCCTCTTGTTCTTAATGGGTTGTCTCCGGGTAACTCCGGTTTCTTCCCACACGAGGCAAAATCACTGAAAATGGCCAAATGAATAATGGATGAAACCTTTCCTCTTTGAGCTAAATCTCTAAAATTGCTTTTTCATGAGTCAATCCATGTTGTGTTGGATGAGTGAATACATCGTGTTTTTATGTATGTACACACACAATGTACATATACACACATCTCAAAAGTGCTGTAACATCGAATTGAACGTCAACAAATTCGTGTATTTTTCATGATGTGTCATCAGGGATTTTGAGTGAGATACTTCCTGTTTCTGCTGCGTTGTTTCATCGACCTGAGTGTGATATCTGAAGTCAAAATACACGGTGTTATTATATACTGTATTTGGTTGTACGCTACTTTGTTTCATGGTTGTTCTGGACGACATTTAGGGGATTTCCGACCGTGATGACCAAGCAGGTTTTTGTGTCTCTGTCGAGTTGATCAATGCGCCCTCTGGCGGTGGCAGCCCTCTAATGTCGCGAGGTTGATAACTGAGAGCGTTTATGTTTCTCTGCTTTCCTAAAACGACTACCAAAATATACTCCACCAGTCAAAAGTGTCTCCCTGGTCCAATGAGCATTGGGGTGATGTTCATCTCTGTTTGCAGCCCTGAGACAGTGTATGTATTTCCAACTTCTTTCGCACCGTACTTAGCCAACCGATCTCATTCGAAGGTTGCGAAGTCAGGACAACCCAAACACAACAGTGCGGAAATTCCCATTTCCCTTGGCAACTTCTGTTGACTTCAGTGTCCCAAATTCCAGGATACAAATGCCTCACACGAATAAAAATTGTGTAACCTCATCGAAACGAGATCACAGTGGAAACGTCGAGTTCACTCCTAGACGTCGTGCTGTCTTCAGCTTTTAAAGTAAAAAATGTTGCTAATTTTTTGGCAATTGATGCACCATCTGTTAGGATGCAGTGCTGTAGGTATCATCCGTGTTATTTCATGATTTAACATATTTTTATATCAAATAATGTATTACTGTATATCACTTGTTTCTTATTAAAATTGTATAGGTCCCTAGGGAAGACAACAGGAAACCACCTCAACTATCTATCCTTCCATAGTTAGGGCTCATGAACCATGTTATTGGAGTGTGATATGAGATTAATATTGGCGCATGGGATCAGGATAGGGATGGAGGAGCTTGAGCCAGTGATCATTCCTTCGGGTAAGAACTTAAAATGTGTATCTTGTCTTCTTGGTTCTTTCGGAAAAGTCCCGTAGAAGGGAAATAATAAAATAATAAAAATTTCGCATACTAAAATACAATTCTCTTTTTATTATTTCCCTTCTACGTGACATTACCGAAAGAACCAAGAAGATGAATCCCTGCAGTCGCGAAAGCTTTAAATCGAAATGTGTCTTGGTCTGTATTTTTGTTTTTCAGTGCGAGACCGTGTTCTGCAACGGAACCCGCACACTATCGAGCTGCCTGGGTTTGGCACGAGGCAGTTGACACTCCAGCCCTATTGTCAAGTGCCACCAGTCCCTCCTCCAGTGAGCTGCACACTTCAACCACATATGTCATATTTACTGACAATCTAGAGCGAGATGGACAGCTGTAACGTAGCATCTCGTTTGTCGCAGTGGAATTCATTGATCTATTTTCAAGTGGAGACGAAATGTGATCGAGATGCGAGGAGGCCAGAAGGTGGTATTACAGGAGAGAACATGGGCTCTTGAATCCATCTTGGGAAGACCTTTGAGCGTTACTCCCTGTACTTGTGATTTTTTTCTGGATAAATCTGGTTTCCTCCCACAAGCAAAACAATCATAAATGAATTGGGCAAATATATCAAAACAGGATCCTCCTGGTAAAGTTAGGTTTTTCTGAGTAAATACAAACTATATCATTACTTGGTTGATACCCTGGTCTGTATTATGCTAATGAAGTACACCATGTGTATATAAATTGTTACACATACGTATGGATTTTAAAACTATACAGGTACAAGGAAGACACATCATCCATATGCATGATTGAAAACAACAATGCAATGATGCATTTTACCTGATATGGCATATGGATCACAAACATTTGCATTAACTTAAAAATGGAAAGTTTGCAAATAATGGAAAGTATTCACAGAAGCATGGAGAGGTGTAATATTTAAATTACACATGCATTCGAGAACATACACAAGTTAGAGGCATTATGTTTATCTTCATGCATCAGTGAATAGAGCACAATTAAGATTATACAATTATTAGAACAAGCATGCTGATAATTACACTGATTTCCTTATTTACTTACGAGAGTTATGGTGACCGACAGTCTTATGAACAGATAGACAGGAAGTTGGAGTGCTTATGAAAAGCTAAACTCAAGCATCAAACGCCACATTACTAATGTGCCTAAAGAAAGTTTTAGTTCATTGTGTACTACCCGCTATTGTTAACGGATCAGAAACATGGTCATCGTCAATGAAAATGGATCAAAATTTTAAAAGTTTGCAACAAAGCATGGAAAGACGATGAATGCTTGGAATTAAAATACGAGATATAAAGGGAAACGCATGGATTAGAAAACATGTGCAGTTCGAAGTCATTCAAAATATGCAGTTTAAATTGAGTGGGCTTGGGCAGGGTAACATCGCAAGAGGAGTCGATCGCCATGGTGAAGAATGACAATGGCAGCCAAGGAAGGAAAAGCATCCAGAAGGGTGTCCGGGGAGATGCTGAGATGAAATCAGGTCTTGAGCTGATACTGAGGGGTTTATTACATTCAGGATCATGAGAGATGGTGGCGATTTGAGGCTTCAATCAAGCAGTGGATACACTATGGCTGTTGACTGATATAAAATTTGTTTTATCTCAACAGCAATCGGAGTCAAGTTCAACAACAGATGCAAATGGTTTGTGTACATTATTACATAAATACAGTTGCAGTATTGTACTCTATTATTTTAAGTTTGCTTTTCCAGTGTCCACATCCTTTAAAATATATATATTACATTAACATGTCTTCATGATCATGTGCTATAATGTGTTATACAGTGTCTTGAAATGCAGTTTGATTTTGCTTTTTGCTTATATTGTAGAATTAAGATGTGAAAATCTTGATTCATCTACATTTGAAGGGGAAGGGGTAGTTGTGTGTGTTGCTGGCGAGTTTGGAGATGAATACCTGAAGCTATACGCAGAGAATGTCACAAAAGAGACAGTTGATGTCTACCCCCTGACCAAAACCAAAATCTGGCTGGACTGCAGCCAGGAAGGTAAGCACTGTTCACCATCATGACCCTGGTGTGTCTACAACCAGGCTTTCGTAGAGGAAATGCCTAATTTCACATACACAATACCTCCAATGCAGCTTATGTGTAATTGTTTTGTATATGTTTGTTACATTATTGCCATTGGCATATTATAACAATAATCTAAGAAACCGATGAAAGAAAATAATGTCTTTCATTCTAACCAATTAGAGGTTACATTGTTTATTCAATAAACCCTTTGTAATACTTCTGTTATTGGGTTATTAATTTACTGTTTTCAATGTTTGCAACATTACGTTTTTATCAACAGCTGTACAGAAGATGCAGGCAGTTAAAGAGCATGCCATTGGGGGAAAAAAGGTGCAAATCTCTGTCTACTCATCTGCGGGGATAGATGCGATTATTGACAAGCAGCGGCTGATTCTGACAGGATTTCCAACAACCATCCAAAGGGAAATGATCAACTTATATGTGGCATCCATCACCGATGCTGAAGTCTGTGATATAGAATACCTGAAGGGTGGGGAAGTAGCTGTAGTCACCTTCATAAACCCAATAGGTAAGCTGAGTATACAAAAACTGTACTGCTTTTTAATCATTGTTCTCATCCTAATTAGCAGGACTGAAAATGTATTATTTTCAAAGTTTACGTCAGTTTCCAAAGTATTACATTGGAAAATATCGGATTGGAATGGTGGAGCAGTGGTTTGCGCACTGAACTAAGAATTGGATGCCTTGAGTTTGGTTCTTGGCCACGGCTAATTGTGGCGAGTGATATCTGAACCGGGCCTGGTTCCCTTTCACCAACTCGCACTTAAGTATGGCCAAACAACCCAAATAAACCCACACAGCACAGGGTGACCTTCATGCAGCATTGGATGGATTGACACGAGGCTGTACATTATTTAAACAATTTTTAAAACATGTTTGTGAACTTACACATAAATGTTGTGAATGATGGATTTATGTTTTAAAAGGTAGGGTTTAATCTGAGATTTTGAAATCAATGGACATTTACTAAACATAAAAAGTGGATCACTGTAAATAAAAATGTCATTTGAGTCGTACATCTATTATGATTATAAATACTCCTCACTAATGTATGTATTTTTGATTTAAAGCTTTCGTGACTGCAGGGATTCATATTCTTGGTTCTTTCGGTAAAGTCACGTAGAAGGGAAATAATAAAAAATATAAAACAATAAAATTATCACGACGTTTTGACTGCAACACAAGCAATCAGCATCAGGTGTGATATCCACAGCAAGAAACTTTGAAAAAAAAACGCCACTTTTTTCAAATTTTCTTGCTGTGGATTTCACACCTGATGATGATGGCTTGTGTTGCAGTCGAAACGTCGTGATAATTTAATTGGTTTATATTTTTATTATTTTATTATTTCCCTTCTACGTGACTTTACCGAAAGAACCAAGAATATAATGTATGTATGTTGAACTTATTTCGCACCATACGTAGCCAACCATGCTAATCGGTTGTATTTCTAATGTATTTCTGTCATGTATGTCAGACTGGAAATCAGCATTGAGGATGTGTGCCAAGAGGCCATTGGTTCAGGCCAAAATCACGGCGACAATGCTCGAGGCGTCGAACTGTCTGCTGGTGGAGGCTTCGAACGGGAGCCTGTGTGAAGACCTTCTTACTTTGTATTTTGAGAACTCAGCTAAGAGTGGCGGCGGCCCCCTCACCGAGGTTAATTTGGAAAACAGCAAAACAACTGCTTACCTCTCATTCTTCGAACCAGCAGGTGAGAGCAGAACATTCCAGATGCCTACATTGTGAACTTGATCTTATTACAATAGTGAACTCTATTGCAGTCGTTTGGAAATCATTCGACTGCTGATTAAACATATCAGGTTTACTTTGCACAAAGCTCTTTGTAAGGTGTATTCTAAATCTTTATACTTTTTATATTACATTTTACTGGATCATGGGCCGCATTTGATTTCAATCACAAACTTACGCAGACTTGCACAACGTTGAATTTAATTTTAAATAATGTTTTTCTAAATTTCGATTTAAAGCTTTCGTGACTGCAGGGATTCATCTTCTTGGTTCTTTCGGTAAAGTCACGTAGAAGGGAAATAATAAAATAATAAAAATAAAACATAATAAAATAATTCTCACGACATTTCGGCCACAACGGAAGCAGCCGTCCTCAGGTGAAGAACAGGTCTGTCGGAAAGACAGCGTCTGAATGGTCACCACCAGGCTTGGCAGCGTATATTTAATGTTTTTCTACTCTATAAAAAATGCTCTCATATCAAAATTATGACGGGAACTGTTAATTATAATAAAACATTGTTTGTTTTGCAGTGGCTCAGGAAGTTGTGTCAAGAAAACACAAATTAAATGAAGCAGAACTGAAGGTCTATCCCTACTATCATGCATTAGCTTCGACTCTTGGAAAACAAATTCGAACAGCAAAGCCTGAACCATTTGACCTTGTAGTTGATTCTGAGATTATTCAGTTTATTTCAAAACATAGTTCTTCAATGGATCAGCTGAAAGATATTCTAAAGAAAGCAAACACTTCATTTTCTCTTGGCTCAAATGGTACAATTACTTTGACATCCAAACTGGACGAATGCGCAGTCAATTTTCAGAGCCTCGCTTCAAAGTGGCAGCAAACTGCAAAAATATGTTTTCTAAAATTCTGTGAAATGTATTCGAAGACAGTTTTGCCCTGCTCTAAAGCTGCATGGGAAAGGGTTAAACAAGAAGTCTCAAATCATGATAATGTGCTGGTTGATTATGACTCTCAACAAGCACATATAATTGTTTCTGGAAGAAATCAGGATGTGCAAGATGTTTGCAAACACACGAAGCCCATTGTAAAGAAAGTTCAGGATGACCTCTTAAAGGAGAGTCAGATTATCAGTGATCGCATATCACTAGAAAGTCCAGACAAATATAATTTAATCCAGATGCTGGAAATTGAAGCAGATCTTCGTGCCAAGTTTAAAGAATCAGAATTAACATTTGATGAAAAATCATATTCCTTGACAGTCAAAGGCATGCCACAAGATTGCCAGAAAATTAAGGATAAAATATCCAAACATCTGAAGGGTATATCAAGCAAAGAAGTTAAAATGTCGAGTAATATTGTAATGTTTTTTAAAATGTTAGGCCGGGATATTTTAAATGCAAATTTATTTTCTAATAGGATTCATGCAAAAATACAATTAAAAAATAACAATTCAATCTCCATAACTGCTTTTGCTAATCAGTTAGGAAAAGCAGAATCCTTTATAGAGGAAACATTTACAGAGGAATCGTTTCCCATTCCAGAAGAGTCCATGCATGCAACGCGAGGTAGGGAGTGGACTGATTTGCTCAGTAATCTCGAAGAAAATAAGGTTGATAGCATTTTGCAAGTGTTTATCAACAAAAGCCTAGATGATGCTGGTTTGTGCACGAAAGTAAGTGTTGCAGGTTTTGGCAATGCTGTGGATCAGACATGCCAAGAACTTGATGACTTCTGTGAAAAACACTTAAGAATTACTGAGAAAATTTTTATAAAGTCAAAAAATATATTAAAATATTTGCAAGAATATGAAAAAATATTTGAAGATCAAACACTGTTGAACAAGAATGTCAAAACGTTGAGTGAAACTTTTCTTGAAGTCAGTGGACACCCTCATGATGTTGACGAAATAAAAAACTTATTTGACAAAAAAATTTCTGAAATTGTATTAAAGTCAGTTAAATGTAACAAACCAGGTGCAGCCAAGTATATGCGAGAAAACGAAAGTGTTATCAAAAGTATTGCAGAAGGAAACCAGAAGTGCATGGTCTTGATTGATGTTGGAGCTGCTGCTGCTTCTCGGCAGGTTGGGATGCAGCTGAAATGCCAGGAGGTTTTATCTGCCAACCTTACCATCTCGATATACAAAGGAGATATCTTAAAAAGTCAGGCTGATATCATCATTAATGCCGCTGATACAAAAATGTGCTTCAAAAGTGGCTTCGGAAAAGTCCTTTCAGAAGCAGCAGGCCCAGACACGTCAAGATCTTGTGCTCAGTACATTCGGGACAATGGAGAACCACAACCTGGTGAAGCTGTCATATCTGTGCCAGGCAAGCTGCCTTGCAGAAGTGTAGCTCATGTTATTTGTCAACTTTTTGAGAAATGTAATGGAAATGTTGACATGTCCAAGGTTAATCAGCTGAAGCAAGGGCTCAAAAAGGCCCTGAAGCTGGTGGGAACACGTGGGCACCAATGTGCTGCAATGCCAGGCCTCGTGTTTCACAACAGTGGATATCCGTTAGAAGTTTGCGCCAAAGCACTGATAGATGCTGTTGCTGAATTTGGCCAAGTCAATGATCCTGGAAATTGTCTGACTGATGTCTTCTTTATTGATTTGAACGATAATGTAGTCCATGCTCTAGTAAATGCACTTTTGTCAAAGGTAGGCAAAGCTCCAAAAGCAACTCCACAAACAGGATTAACATTTTCATTGCCAGCCTCTGTTAAAATCCAAAGTTCTACAGCAGCACCAACCTCTTCAACCTGCATGATCACAAAAGAAGGCCTTAATATCTCCTTGGTTATTGGCAGCATTGAAAATGAAAATGTAAGTATAATATTACATTTGTTAATTTTATTTACAGTATTTTTTATCGAATGCCCGAATGTGATGAATCATTCCTGCTTATATAACATGTATATTTTGTATGCAATAAATAAATTCAGTCAATTAAATAACATTGTTTATTTGTGTGTTCTATTCATTCAAATCTAGTTGTTTAGCTCTCATTTATTTAAATATATATGTTTATGTTATTACAGTCCGATGTCATCATAAACACAACCTCGGCAAACATGAAGATGGATTCTGGAGGGGTGTCCAGTGCCATTTTCCGTAAGGCCGGCCCAACACTGCAGACTCTCGTTGACACTGAGATTCAGGGCCAGTCGATTGGTTCTGGGAAGATTGTGAAGACGGATGTGACGGGTCCTCAATCTCCAATGCAAGGCGTTGTACCACACCACCCTGGGTTCCTGGGACAATGGGAATCATCTAAGAAAATGCATGAAACGTAGCCTGGAGATGGCCCATCGTGATGGGGTTTCTTCCATCTCCTTCCCAGCACTTGGCACAGGAAATCTCAAATACTCGCCCTTGATGGTTTCAAGTTTCATGTTTGAAGAAGTTATCAACTTCAGTCAGAATCACCAGGGCACAACACTGAAGGACATCCGATTTGTGATATTCTCCAAAGATCAGCTCGTCATTTCAGTAAGTCTGGCACTGAGGGCCTTATAAATGGGCAGGTCTGCAAGGACCATGAACAAGTACTGGATGGCTTGTTCAAAAGTCTAAAACTAATGGTATTTTTTTTCTAAAAGATGCTAACACACAAGAATGTGTCATGACCACTGCCAAAAGGTTGCTTGATATTAAACATGAAATAACACGAGTAATAATAATACGATTTTAATACTACCACCGGGACAACAGGAAAATCCCAACATTTTGGCTGATTAGCCTTTGTCAGGAAGTATTGAGGTTATGGGGAATCTTAAATAGTGTTGGCAGGTGATGTTAATTAATGTGTGATGGCAGATGATGGATTCACTGGGGATATTATGTATGTGATTGAAGTTTAAAGTAAATAGTTATATGATGCTAAATATTCATTGGTTGTTTTGGTCTTTCTGTAGGATTTTCAGGCTGAGCTGGCTCAACGACTCTTAGGTACGTGTATCGTACTATTAAAACGAATCCTTGCCTTGAGTTTTGTGCTTGACTGCTGACAGGGCTCCTCTCCACCACAACAATAACTATATTGTTAGTGGCTGCAGGCTGTTGATACCGAAAACTACATGTGTCACTCTCTAAACGGGATTTTCCATGTAACAAATAAATGTTGAATTGACTTGAAAAGTTAGGAAGACGTATAATAGATCGTGATACCCAAGAGGTGAAGGTAACTCATTCATCAGACTGACACGGTTAGTTTAAAATTGCTCCAACTTTTCAGTAATCTTTTAGCTAGAATAAATCATCGAGTATATTAAAATACCCTCACAATACATATTGTCTTGGCATTTTATTGCGTAAAAAATCAGATTACTTTTAGTGCTCTGACTACAGGATGCTGAAAAGAGTATATTAAAATCACGGCTGTTTTTTATTTTCTGTTGCAGAGTAACTGGCTCTCTGCTAGTTATATTAAAATATGAAATAATACACTTAATCCTTCTGTCAATCCATTACTGGCTGAAGGCCTATCAACTTTGGCCATACTTCACCATGCTAGTCAGTGGAGGTTGGTAAAATGGGGCACTATGACTGGTTCCAGATATAAATGACCACAAATGTTGGTTTTGGCCAGGAATCAAACTCAGGTCATCAGGTTGATAGTGCAGTGCACAAACTATAGTGCCACCTCTCCAACCTTATTACATTGCGTTCATGAAAATCGAACTATAACGTTCCTGTATTTAAAATGTTCCTGATATTCTTCAACACATGGAATTATTTTTTTACTCTAATGACATTCATGTTTTTATTTTTACAGTTATTGTGGAATTCTACCAGATATGTTGTTCAATAATGAGGAAAATAACCTGTGGTTTTGTAATTTGCTTTGTGCAGGCAAGACATCTATTCCACCAACATTAAATATCACATCAAAAGCAGCGCAGAGGGCTATTGGAAACATCTCAGTGGAGGTGGTGGATGGAGACATCACCAAAGAGAAAGTAGATGCTATTGTAAACTCCACGAACACAACGTTAGACCTTGATTCAGGTCAGTATAATGAACACATTTGATAACATCTGCAGAACACAAGCTGACAGATGTTTGCTTCTAAATACAACACCCAACATTTTGGACAATGGCGGCACCAAAACAAATTCATCCACTTACAGTTGATGCTGCTCAGGGGCTAAAGAACCTGGACATCAATATATAACATTTGTTGCTCTTCCAAATATCAGTTTCGTGTCTCTGCAACCTGAATAAAGTAACAAATTTTTGTCATAACAACGAACATTTAGTAAACTAAATTGACTTTCTCAAATAAGACACGCTATTCATAATTGGGTTTTGAGTTAGATCAGGTTAGCATAAAGCCAATTTGTGTTGTACGCAACCCTCCACCTGACACAGACAATCAAATCAAGTTGTACCATAAACAAAATGTGTCGATTAATATTGTGTTCAGCCAACAGGTATGATCAACACAAAATGTGTCTTTTTGATACAATATTCCACTAAAAATGACACCCAGTATCATCATGCTACCCCCAAAGCAGACACATGTTGAATTCCTCTTCTTGGTTCTTTCGGTAAAGTCACGTAGAAGGGAAGTAATAAAATAATAAAAATAAAACATAATAAAATAATTCGCACGACGTTTCGGCTACAACGCAAGCAAAAATGTTGAATTCCTTGTTATTGTTTTACCGCTCAATGTTTTGCATTGGCACCACCGTAATTATGGCACCTTACTTATAATTACATACTGTTTGTGTTAGTACAGCATGAAAGCATGATGTTTTTGCAATATTCTTTTGCAGGTGTGTCAAAGGCCATCTTGGCAGCAGCTGGACCCACAGTTGTGTCGGAGCTTGCTATCTTTGGTAAGATATCTGTGATATACAAAGAAGAAGAAAAATTGTAACATGCTATTTTAAACAGTATGATGATGATTGCTTGTGTTGCAATCGAAACGTCGTGAGAAATAGAAACATGTTTTGTTTAGCCATATTATTTCTCTTTTTACGCAAATTTATCTTCCTACATTTTTCACGAATAAATTATCATCCTATGCACAGGAGCGCAGCCTGCCGATGGTGTTGTGACCACCTCAGCAGGGAGTCTGAACTGTCAGAAAATTGTGCATATGGTTGGACAAACAGACTTTGCCAAGATGACTAACTCTATACTCAAAGTCCTGGATGAGTGTAGCAAGTTGAATTGCAACTCCGTTTCTTTCCCTGCACTCAGCACAGGTACATTGCCTCTTTTTATAAATCTTTCTCTCCGTTTGTTCTTTGATTACTGTCTACTCCCTTGTCACCATTTAGTAAATGGTGACAAGGGAGTAGACAGTAATCAAACAACAATTAATTGTTGTTTGCTTTCTCCGTATTATTTATATAATCTCCATTGCTTTTTGCTTGTCTGTGTCATGTTATAATTTCTCACATAATGCATATGCGTATATAGTATCAACGTTTCTGAGTGCTCGATTGTTTTTCCTCAATGTTATCATCTGTTTATTTTTTTTATTAAACTCTGTGAAGGCAAAGGAGGGATCAAGCCAGGGCCTGTGGCTGATACAATCCTGGAGGCGTTTGAGAAGTTTTCCTCGCAAAATCCACAGTCAAATGTGTCTCACATCCGCATCATGGTTCTTCAGCCTGCCATAAAGACTGCCTTTACCCAAGCCTTAATACATTTCCAGCCAGGTGGCAAAGTAAGCAACATTTAACTCATAATGATACTGATTGCATGGGTAATATTGGAATTTATAATTTTTGAGCGAAATTCATATACAATGTGATCACATGTTTTTCATGTTTTTACAAGTTTAATGAATGTGATTTGCTACTCTTGGTCGTGATGTGCACCTCTTAAATAACTTGCACCCCTTAAATAATTTGTCCATTGTAAGGGAACTTAGTACAGTATATATGCAATATTGACTTTACATTTCTTGTTGTTTGCTTGCAGAAGGTGCAGCCACCTCAGACATCAACTATTGCAGAAAATTATATTCGTAAGTCAGAATTTGGTTTCCTTGCCGCATTGTTTTTTTCTGGCATGAAACCATTCCGGGCATGTGTTCTTGATGTTGTGGAACATGGTGAGAGCGAGTGCCAGTTGTGACTCCCCACCGTGCTGTGTGTGGGTCTGCAGGGCAATATGGTCTGAAGCTGCATGGTGCCACTGTGGAGGCAGTGAGCGGTGACATCACGAAGGAGACGACAGATGTTATTGTTAACTCCACCACAAACGCTCTTGTCTTCACATCCGGTATATATGTCATCTTTGTTATGTTTTCTTCTTTCGAATGCGTTCCAACTAAGGTTGAAAGTGTTCATGCATTTGCTGTCTCCACCTTTTTGTCTGCAACATGGGGTTACGGTAACTATTGTAATGATAAACCAATGTAATTGATATTTTAAATTAAGTTGTGTTATAAGGGACTTTTACGATACAAACACGGCAAATTGATTCAAGGGTTATCCAAAACTTGACGATAAAAAATTTACCCGTAAAAACAAAGTTTTTCACTATAAATCCTTTATATGCGTGGCATCGATTTTATTTTATTATTCATTTATGTTTTTCTTGAGTAAGAGTTTCATTTTTATCACATTGGTATTTTAAATTAAATATGAAAAAAAATTTTTCCTAAAAAGTGGAAAATTTTGGAAAAAAATTTTCACGAAAATAAATTGTCACGCACAACGAGTTTGTGTCCAAAATGTCAGCTCGATTGGATCACGGGAAGTGGGTTAAAAAACGACCGAAAGATTTGCACAGGTCGTAAGCGCGCAAGCAAGCAAGCAAGTGAACTTAATATAAAGGATTTAAAAATACCAGCGATTGTGGATAAAGCCTTTTTAGCTAAGCTGATGATGTTACATGCAATCTGCACGCTCTCCACCGCATGACGAGGTGATCGCGTGATGCTCTGCTGCTTGGAAGGGAAAGCGATTATCGATCATTAAATACTTTGATTATCAAAATGAAATGTTTTCTAGGACAAACTCTTGTTGGAAAGCATTACAGAATATAATTATTAGCCTTATTTTAAATAAAACAAATGTATTGGTTTGTATTAATAGTCATGGATATGACCAACACATTTATTATGAAAATATATTCATCAGTAAACAAATTGTCGTGTAACAGTGAACAGACATATTGACACAGTACTTCTCATGAATAGCATCATTAGCATGCAACCACTCTAATAGTGGTAGCCATTGGTTTATAAAAGGGAAACTTGGAGGCCTGCTTTACATTTGCGGTGTTGAGACGCTGCTTATTGTGCCTGTGATATGTTTACCCAGGTGTTTCTGGAGCAATTCTGAAAGCAGCAGGACAGGTTGTCGTGGATGAATGCACCACACTCGGTGAGTTAAACCTATGAAATCGTGACATAACAGAATTGACCCTCTTAAGTAATATTTTACATGTTGAGAAATCCATCTTGAACTGTGTCACGTGGAATGACATCCACCATAAAACCATCCCGCATGGAGGACCTGACAGGAAAGGGCTGATAAGTTCTCTCTTGATTTTAAGCTTTCGTGACTGCAGGAATCCATACATAGTGATTTGTTGTGACTTTACCGAAAGAACCAAAGAGTATGACAAATCCATGTTACAGAATTATGAATGTATGGCATTGTCCAATAATGTGTACATGTACATCCCTTTGTCAATTCACTGAAATATTGAGGCCTCCCCATGAAGTGTGGGTTGTTGAGGCTATTTAACGATACTTCACTACACTGATCAGTGTGGGTTGGTGAAAGTGTGTGGCATAGTGGTCGGGGAATATAAGCTGGGTTTAACAATGGATTTTGTTGCATTAATGATGCAGCACTCATTGATGTACTCAGGTAACCAGCCACTCACCTTCTTATCACTATTCTATTGCTTCTACCATGGCTACTATTCCCATGAAATCCACTCATTGATTCCTCCACCCTTGTTTAGGACTCTTGTATAGCAGGTTGACTATTTTATCTCATCAGAACTGTTCAACGACAATACTGCAGGTTAAAACACTTAATTTCTCGAATTTGAACCCCCCTCTCTCCCCATTGTCCATTTCACCAAGTTCTTAGAACCTTGTTCAATTCAAGAAAAGTATTGAGGCTTCAGTATTCCACCTTCATTAGTACTGTTTGTTTCTAACCCATTGGGCCTGTGCTCAGCAACTGTGTTTCAATAGAAATCCAAGTGCTCTCCAAGCTCTAACCTGATTAGCTTCTTGTCTGATAAAGCAAAAATATGTCATTGTCACACACTGGCTGAGCCTGGTTCTGATGCCCTGCAGGCCCTCAGCCAGGTGATGGGGTGGTGGTCACCAGCAGCGGAGCGCTGAGCTGCAAACACATCGTCCACATGGTGGGGCAAACCAATCCAGCCAGCATAAAGTCCTCTGTGCTCAAAGTGCTGCGTGAGTGCGAGATGAAGAAAGTCACCTCCGTGTCCTTCCCTGCCACAGGAACAGGTAGTTACCCTGTACATTCACATGGTCTGAGTGTTTTTTTACGTGAGATCAGAGCACTGAGCTGGTACCGCTATGATCTAGGGTTCGAATCCAGGCAGCTGCCTGCGAATTAACTTGTTTTTAAGTGTGGTGAGTTGATGGGCTCGACCCAGTCACTAATGGCTGTTCAAAAAAAATGTAAAATTGGTTCTCCAATTAATTTGTACCAAATTACTTCTCTGAGAATAACAAATATTATTTTGAGTATCATGTGACAAATGTTTACTCGCAGTGGTGAAAGTAGAGAAATCCTGCCCTCTCTAACGTGTTGAAGTGAGCACTTTAAAGGATATCAAGAGTAATTATGCTATTACTAGCCTTTTGCCCGTCCAAGGACGGGTGTATTGCAGTAAATCTGAAACTTGCAAGCGAAAAGCAGACCGCGACGTGATATTCATCGCATCCATTCGTGTGCAATTTGTAAGGCCGCGGTGACACAGACTTAGTTAATTTAAAGGTTATAATCCCTTGTTCATCATGACGTCCTTTTTACTTTGATGTCTCAATAGCGTTATGGAGATCGCGTGACGTGAGGGTTCTGCCTTTGTAGTGAGGGTTGTAAGTTGACGCTGAGGAGGGGGGAGGAGGCGCCTCGCCCCCCCCCCCCCATGTGGAGTGACGTCAGCCGCTAATTATTATTAATGGAGGGGTGTCCATTTGGAGGACGTCACCTGCTCATGAATATTAATGAGGGGAGCTGGTCGATGTGGAGTGACGTCACGAGCATTAAGGACAAACATTCCTGGGTGATTATAATAGGTATTGCTTCTCCAGACTGTTCTCAAATACCAAGAGGTTGACTGTTCTGCGAGAGATTGAAATGGAAACTTTGTCTCATGATGTGATGCTGATTGCATAATTTTGATGTATTTTATGAACATTTTTATTTTCCTTTCATGTCCTTATTTTACAGTAATTAGCCTGGCTCTTACCTGGTCTTACTTTAAAATAAACCTGAATAATATTACTGATGATGTAAAATCATTTATCACATACATGAAAAAATATTTGGGTGGATGCATCCCATCCATTCACCAATAAGATAATTTATCCTTCAATGACTCTATAAGAGGGAAATATGCTTTTTTTATTTACAAGAGCAGGCCAATATTGCTAGTTTAAAATAGATATTTTTCTTAGAATAAGAATAAGCTGAAAAAAATGTTTTAAATGTTTCTCTCGTTGAACTACAAGCTTCCAAAGCCATATACATATTTAGTTGGGTGATAATTTGTATTTGATGACTAAAAAGTCCACGATAATATTTTGTCCAAGCTAAGATGCAGTTTGAATTACCTTTCCCTCTATGGGACGTCTTGCAAAACATTCAAAAGTTGCATGTACAAAATTCTTTGGCACGTATCATGAGGGGTACTGCAAGATCCAACCATATCCATCCAGTGGTCACCAAGCTGCATTTTCTTCCGGTTGCCGAACTAATACTTTATAAGGTCACACTCATTATCCACAAAGAGCTTGCCACAAATGAACCACAATACCTTGCTGATCTCGTCAAGGAGCATAAACCATCATGCAAACTCCAGTCATCCATGCAGCAGCTTTTGACATGCCATTGAACAAAGACGATCACTGCACCGCGCTTTCAGATGCACTTCTCGGCCGTCTGGAACGCTCTTCTTTCCAATATTAGGAAGCCACTGGAGCTATGCACTTTTAAGTTTCAATTGAAAACTCATTGATTTCGAACTGCTTTTTGTGTTTAGTCTGTTGTCCTTATCCTACACATGCGATTAGCATGGTTGGCTACGTACGATGTGAAAGAAGTTCAACGTACCTACATACATAACTATAATATATTTCCAAAATGTCCATGTTCAGACGTTACTGAAAATCATTATTTTATTTCTACTGGATTATTGTTCACAATCAGAACGCTTTTGTCTTTGTATTACAGGTGCTGGGAGCGTGCCCGCTGCGGTGGTGGCTGATGCTATGATGGAGGGCATTGAGGAGCACGTCAGGGTTCACACATTGACGAGCCCCCTCAAGCGCATCCGCTTCGTCATCTTCCAGCCTGAGATGCTGAAAGATTTCCAGCAGGCCCTCATTAATACGTCCCAAATGACAGGTGCTGTCTCTGGTTTATATCGTTTTCTGCAGTAGTGCATACCAGTTAAGCTTGTGGATTTGAGGATGTGGCTGGGGGCTCGAGGGACTAATATCACATTAAAGCACTGAGCCAGAACTGTTGGGATTCTGGGCAGCAACTTATTATTAACTGGTTCATGTTCATGAGTAAATTGTATCAGTCTAGTGACTAATGACTCCACAGAAAACACCTTCATTTTAATCTGGGTTTTTCATTTAACGTGGCTTATTCCACCTGTGTGGATTACACATTTCAGAGTGTTAGCCAAGCAATGAAGATTATTTTTAGGGCAGATAAAAGGTGTTCCCCTAGTATGATGAAGAGTGCTGTTGAATTTACTTAAATAGCATTTCTCTGACATCATCCTCTGGGCTCTGTCATCTATTCACTATAAGTGTGCAGAATGGAATTAATTTACTTTCATAACATGACACTAAGAATCAGCCATCCACTGCTGGATGAAGGCCTCCCCAAGCAGCCACCATCTTTCATGATCCTGTGATGTAATACGCCACCAAGTATCATCATATTATATTCTTTGGTTCTTTCGGTAAAGTCACGTAGATATAAACATAATACGTGACTTAAAGGTAGCAGAAAGAAAGAAGCAACGAATATGAATTCCTGCAGTCACTAAAGTTAATGATAAAACATTTAATTTGGATATACTGTCATGGGCAGGGAGGCAGGGACAGCAAACAAGTGAGATGAATTCCTGGTCGTTGTGTCAACTCATCCCTTCATATCACCTGACTCAACGAAAACTCAAGTATGGCGTGAATCATCCTTGTTATAGGAATGCGGATGTTTCACAACTGGCTCAGGGCAGTAAATGTCAAACACTTACTTGAGCGAGGAACTACTCTGATTCTTTAATTTCGTGTTTAATCATAACATTCACAAGTAATTTGTTTTCAAATTCCATTTACAGTGAGCAGTACTGGAACTGGAACGAAGACTCCTTCACCTCAGCCTCCTCAGCCTGCACATCCTAAACCTCCACTTCCACCAAAGAAAACTCCGCAAATAAAGTCTTCATATAACAATGAGGCGGTTACAATATACGTCTATGGAAAGCTCCAAAAGGATGTTGACGATATTTGCGAAAAGACGGAGGGATTTCTTGATAAAAACTGCATGGCCTACAATATTAACATTGATTGTGTGGAATCCTTGGACAAACAGGAATTGAACAAACTGGAGACAATTGAAAAGACGTGTGATGTAAGGGTCTCAATTAAGACTTCTCACATCTCTATTGAGGGGCTGAATTCCGACGTTTGTAACGCTATCGTTGATGTGACTCAAGTGGTCAATGAATTGAAGATAAAATTGGCCAAGGAAAATTTTGAACTGAATTACGGTAGGTCTTCTGGAGTTCATTTATATTTTCCTTGCATCAAATTCTGATATGTTATATTCTGAAATATTTTGTAGATGCATAGCACAGTACTTAGGACACACTAGATGGTTACTGCTACCTTTAAAGTAATTGTATGTTAAATACATATTTTATCAGACATATTTTATCTCTTCAAAGGATAAAAGTGTTTACTATGAACTCACTTTTAAATGTAATGACGTGAGAAAACGATTATTTCAGTTCCCAAACCGGAATTGCCTGCTGATTGGGCACAAATGCAAGGAACCGAATTCCTGAAAGTTACCTTGAGCGTGCAGTCACCAGAATATCAACAAGTTCAGGCTAACTTCATGAAATCGGTGACAAACTTAAAGATAATTAAGGTAAGCACCAACCAAATGAGCACATGTATTCACAATTAAGTTAGGCACGTAAACATTCACCCCTGTCACCACAAGAATACAATTATTGTGATTTGGGGTTACAATGCGATTTAATAATCAATTCGATCCCCGTTCCTACCGAATCCAGCGTGCGTGCACATGCAGCTGGGGAGAGGGGATGGAATCCTGGTATACCACTCCATGGATAGGTATTAGATATCTGCTGCCCTAGTGGATTCACAATCATGACAGGCTCACTCGGCATTTTTTGGTTCTCTTTGGGTACATTCTCCCCCCCTTCCCTCATTTTCCCCTCCCCTAAAACCACATTCCTGAATGTGTCCCCTACGTGGTTAGGGCAGTAGGCCCAACCACCTTCCCTTTCCCCTGCCCCGTGGGCACCTGGCCTTGGGATTGTCGTCCGCGGAATATCTGTACCCCTCTCTCTCCGTCGCTCATGCTTTGTACCGAGCTCTTATTTAATCAAAATCGGTCATTTAAAAAGGTCTACTTGAGAATTGTAAAGCGGCAACAGGATCACTTTGTTCCCTGTAGCCTCTGATATTACATTCTCAGCACGGACTATTATCAGATGACTCGAATTGGCTGACATGTTCAACTGGAGTGCACCTTCTACATAAGACATGAGTGACTTGATTTTTTAAGACATTTACTTTGAGATTTGTTTTCAGTACGATGAAAGCCAACCAAACGACTCTGTTCCCCTTACATATGTATAACTGTATAAACAACCCCTACGTCTCCTGATGACGAGGAAAGTTAAGTACAGGGAATAGCATGTGGTGTTTTGTGTTAAGAGGCTTATGTTTATCAGTTTTAAAGTATTTATTTTATCACCATTTTATATCAAATAATTATTGAGGCATCATTTTACGTTTATGTAAAAAAAATTTTACATGTCTGCTAACTTTGACCTGCTTCTTGGATGATGTCCACAGTTATCTTATCCAGCAGCTACCCCCTGTTTCATATTACTAAGGGCAGAGTTGATTTCTTTAAGTGTGAGATTTGGGACTCCCTCCTCCTATCAAGATCCAGGAGGTGGAGCCTGCTCTGATTGCCGAAGTAAGCGACAACAGTAGTAGGATTGACGAGGAAAGAGCTCCGGGGCGAACTGAGTATTTGGCTACTATACATTGCCACATGATAAGCCACTGTTGAGCTATCATTTGTGATTAGGTCGCTTCTGAAAAAGAGCTTAATAGCTCAGTGGACCTTACCTGGTAAAATAAAAAAATAGTAAAAAAATGTTTTTTGATGTGGGGTTAAAAATATTAAATTAATATTGCAAATTGTTTCAAATTCGTGAAGAGGGCCCATAATCGACATCACGAAGTTTTCATTAGTTTTTTTTAATCTCTAATGTTTTTATAATATCTTTCCATCGCAGATTGAACGAATTCAAAACCTCAAACTTTACAATACCTACCAGGCCATGAAGACGTCCATTGAGAACAGTAACAAAGGGCAAGGAACATGTGAGAAGAACCTGTTCCATGGTACACAGGTGGATTCCATCGACAACATTTCTCATTTTGGATTCAATCGCAGCTTTGCTGGCAGGAATGGTATGCATGGTTATTCTAACCAACCAGCCTTTACAAAAGTATATATTTTAACTCCAAAATAATGTTTTCATAACTTTAAGTTTTACAATGCACGATTCATTGTGGACATACATCTGTATTTAAATGAAGGGTCACGTTTCATCAAATTTCTTTCCACAGCGACAGCATATGGTGTAGGGACGTACTTTGCACTGAACTCTTCATATTCGTCAAGTGACACGTACTCCAAACCCGATGCCAATGGAACCAAGTACATGTACCAGGCCCGTGTTCTCACTGGGTCTTACTGCGCAGGGAACCTCAGCATGAAGGAGCCCCCACTGAAAAACCTACAGAATAAAACGGAACGCTTTGACTGTGTAGTAGACAATCCCACCGCACCATCCATATTTGTCATCTTCAATGACAACATGGCTTACCCAGAGTACCTGATTTCATTTTCTAAATAAAGCATAATTAATGTTCCCTTCTGATGCACACATTCTACTGTTTTGTGCTCATATGAAACAAACTTACTTCTTATGTCCATTTGTGCAATATCTTCTGCATCCTCCATTTCCTTACCCCAGCTGCCACTGAAACATTCATCCACACTTTCATCACATCCTGACTCGACAATTGCAACTCTCTCCTCTACAGCCTCTCCAAATCTCTCATCTTTGAACTCCAGATGATCCAAAGTGCCACCGCCAAAAAGTAAACGAGACCATGTCACCCCTATACTCATATCACTCGACGAGCTCTGATCAGTTTCAAAATCATAATCTTTAAGATCCTGCATGGATTCGCTCCTTCCTACTTCTCTCATCTCACCATACATCTCTCCATGCACTTAACTCCAAAAACCAAGGCTATCTTCTCCTGCTCTCATTGTCCAGTTGTGCTTTCCACCAGCCACCTGTGTTGTCAACTCCCTGCCTTGTTCAATACTAGTTTTGGGCCATCCAATTATTGAAGTAAAGTACTGTCATTTATTTCTACCCATTATCAGTTTTATTTCTCGACTCATCGGATAACATTAAAATAGTTTGGGGCAAAAGTAGCATATGTGATGACATCCTCTACATTATCAGGCACGTCATACTTAGGCATGGCTTGTAAGGGTTTTCCCAGCTAAGGGAGGCAGGGTATAGGAGAAGCCACACATTTTAAAGTGGCCCGAGTAACTGACCACAACAAAGCGGTCAATTAACATTTTCAGTCCAGCTCTACTCCAGATAGATCTTTTATCTTCTAAATATGCCCAGTTTCTGTACAATATCTTGCGATGCAATTGTATTTAGATTATATCTAAATCCAAATTATATAATACAGCATCTTTAGCTCGAATTGCATGTACATTCAGTACTTTATAAACCCACAATTGTGCTGAAAACTGATTGCCGTTTTTAAATACTGTAATTACAATCTAACCACTGCAATGTAGTAGTGTTGTTTTGATCACAAATTCTTCAAAAATAACTTGATGTTCTAATTAGATATGTCAATATATTAATTGCAAACATACATTTGTAATTTAATATGTGAATTGGATAAAGGCAATAGTTTACTGTTTACAACCATATTTGCATTGATCTATTTTGTTCTACTAAAGCAAGGCCATCAAATACCAATTTACATTATGCTAAACGTATTACTATTATGCCATGATAGTACATCATTTTGGATTAATCTATTACTTGGATATCAACGCACAAAATTTATGAAATAAATTAAGCAAATTTTGTTATATTTCATAGGAATTAAGCCATTTTAATACATATGCATTGTTATCAATTTATGGTGATTAAACAGACAAAAGTCTCTAAACCCTAGACAGTAACGACTGTGTAATATGGAACTAGTGGTATATTGGGCATGTGGATGGCTGTCAAATTTGCATACACCATATTTTTGCTCACCCTACTGCTCAACTTTCTTAACAGCTGATAAGTTCCACATCACACACTTACGCCACACAGCTTGCACAAAGACAAGTTTGTCCTGATTTTTAACACGTGACATGGCTGACCTCCCCTGTCTTGAGTCATATAAACTTTATACAGAAGGTTCACGTGGGACAATTAACAGGGTGCAAGTTATAAAATAAGAACATTCAAATAATCAAAGTACAGTCATTTTGTCTCGGGAAAATCAAATACTGTATATTTTTTTATGAGGCAGATTCTGCTTAAAAGTTCTTTAAATATCTACATAATTTACATATTTACTGAACTGTGCTATGCTAGGCATTCCGCATTCGCTGCTGGAGAAACCGGTTTTATAATGGGGTTTTAAAAATTTAATATCGTCGATATCACAGTTTAATGAACAAAAATGTACCGTAAATTGGTGTCCTGGACATCACGACTTTAAATGATAACACTCATAATATTCTGTAATATTTTTCTTGTACATTATGGTTAAAACTATTCGGCGCAATAATTGTATTAAAGTTATACTGGTGTGGTATGATTACATTGTGCAGTGTGTTTATATGGTAATGTAATGAAGTACATGATGACTATATAAAAGTTAAACAATTATTTACCTTAATTTTTGCAAAAGGCATTTCGTGTCTGGCTCCATGATGACCACATATAGGTGTTCTCATTACAGCGCTGTGTTGTTGAAGCATATAAGTTGGGGTTTTAGTTAGTTACGTAGCGGTGTGCTCACTTGCTATTAACCCAGCTCCCACACCTACTCACATTTTGGCCACAGCTGACATCAGTTGAGTAATATTTTAAGTGGCCATTCACCCACATTTACCAGAGTGATGAAGTATGGTCAAACAACCCCTATGACCGAAAGGTGTGGTTGGCCTTCAACCAGAATCGAATTGACAAGTTTATAAATTAACAAAATCACACTGGAGGGAGTGACAAACAGAATCAGAATCTGTATTTATACTGGAGGAATCCATTGAGCTACAAAGCAATTATTTTCCACAGATGTCCAAAAAATCTCGATTTTAAGTTCTCCATAAACATTTGTGTGTGTGTCATTCAGAAACCGTTCAAAGTATAAGATTTGCGGGTTTTTTCCTTTGATATAGTGTTAAACAGCATATAAAATTAAAGTGAGAACCATTCATCTATATTTCATTGTTTTTGACATTTCAGATTAAAGCGGTTTTTTGAACGAAAACCCCCCGCATTTTTTGAAGTTAAAATCTGAATCATTCTAAATTGAGCGTTTTCCGATGGGTACATCTTTAAATTTCACAAGTTGAATCAAGTCAACATTTAGGGGGTTTTTTTGCAAAAAAACCTCAATTGTTTAGTAGTTTCTCTGATCGCAGTTAAAAATTGTAACAAATCATATCTGGTAAATGATTATATTTCTTGAAAACTTTTGCCTGGCGAAGACAGGCTTCATGAACTAGTAAACAAATAAAATATAACTTTTTAAATCTCACCAGGTAAAGCCCAATGAGCTATTAACTTGTTTTTCAGAAGCGACCTGGCCAACAGAAGGTAGCTCAGCAAAGTGGCTTATCATGTGGAAATGTATAGCAGCCAAATAATCAACAACGCGCATTTCTACCCCCCAGGCATCCTCACCTGGAGCCCCCCCCCCACCCCGGAGTGCACCTCCCCTGCACTCGCCCCCCCGCTGCCCCCCCCCCCCCCATGCGTCACCACCCTTGCACAGGCCACACATTGGGTTTGACAGTATGCTGAGGGGTGTTGTCACGTGTTGTGTATTGTCGGGTGGCCGCACGACAGGGGCCTTCAGTGTGGGCTCTGACTTGCGGCCTCCGATGAGACACAAATGTGAAAACACCCCCCCCCCCCCCCCATCATCGTGCTGCTGCCAAAACCCAATCGTTTCAAATGTGTGGCGGCCCTCACACTGATGATGTCTTATTGGCGAAAGTGCTTCCCGCCTCTGGAAATTAGTGAGGGACACTGCCGGTGCAGGTTACAAGGCCAAAGTGAACCCTACAAGGAAATTGAAATAGACTTTTTTCCATTTTATAAACTGTATTTAAAGTTTGTTTTGTAACACGTGTTACATATCATCTACTGGCAATCCATTCATATATCTTATCTTGAACGTAACATGTAATAAAGAACAAAAGCCATTTAGGCATAGGAATAGGACTGACTCCCAACAAGTCATTCTTCAATTTTACCTCTCCCAGAGAATGAATTTCAGCGCCAAGAAGAGCCGTTCAACAGATAATACCTCAGTACAGGGTAACGCTGACACGGTGCACGCAGCTTCACTAATAATATCAGGGAAATATGGAAATACGGTCAACATGAAGTACCCGAAACCCCAAAGCACTGAAAGGAGCATGCACTGCCTCATCACTTCGACGCTGGGAACAACATCGTGTCACCTGGGAGCCACAATGAGCTGCCTGGGAGATGAGATAGAGACGAGACGGCGTGTGTGTTCTTCTGCGGCAGCATCATCGCGAGCAGGGTGCAGTTAAAGAGTACTTCTTTACAATGCTTACAGGAATCTCAACCGCGAATAGTCGAGCCACATGAGCTCGATCGGTGAACTTTGCCTCAATACATTTGGCGTGAATGGTCAAATCCGCGATGGGAAAACCCGCGATGGGCGAGGTTTTTGTGTATTTAATTCACTGTGGGGGTTTTCACTATCTGGTGTACATTTGCCTATTGCCTTTTTGACAGTTACATGTTTCTGTTCCTCAGTGTATTTTTGTTTCTCTCAGTTTATTGGCTTTCTGTGCCTCATTTCCTTTGGCTTTTCCCAAGGGTTTTCAGTTTGGGGGGGGGATCTCTCTAAAATGAACCGTTTGAGGTTGACACATAGGCGACCCACTAACGCTGTCTCACTTAAATCAAATTGGCATTAGCTCAGAGTTGCCAAGTCTCGTGGGAATACACAGCGGCACTGCCTTTAGAAATCACAAAGCCGTTGCCCCTGTCTGGATGTGAAGGAGCAGGGTCTGAAGCGGAAGGGACCATATCTAAACAGGAAGATAGAGGCCTGTAGAGGAAGCCCAAATAAGTGACCTCCAATACAAAAATAGGGCCCAAAACCCCCCACAAACCAGCGACTCTCAAAACATGACAGCTACTTTAAAAAGACAAAACCCAATTCTGCATTGAGGAGTTCTACAACCATGAACCTCCCTATCGATTTAAGAAAATGAAAGCAGTGAATCACATTAAGTGCAGTTGGCAGGAAATGCGAATGTTACAGATGCGGCCACTGGTTAATAAGTCTGTTCAGAATTACGGCTACTATTGTTGACAGATGGAAATCTTGATTCACTCAGAGTACCTTTATAGTTTTCAAGGAAAAAGCTAAGGCTCATTCACAACGAAATGGCCAAACATACCATTACAGAATAATCGTTAAAAATAGCCCATACGTTGAATGTTTGATGGTTAAATCAGTGTATATCACTGTAATTTAAATGTACAGCCATTTCTGTTAATCCACTGTTGGATGAGCGGCCTCTCCACACCGTCCACGTCGTGGGGATTTGACCATCATACTTCTCCATGTCGGCTTAGTGCGAATCGAAGGTGTGGAGGAGCCACTGACGGTGCACAGTGGAGAAAGGGAGTCCACATGAGCCAATGTTCAGTTCAGTGCTTTATTGGAACAATCCTCAACACTTCAATACATGATCTCGTGGGAAAAGCCATCTCTCTCCAAGAGTCCTGAGCACACACGTCTCACCCCCTTACATGCCCTCTCCTCGATCTTTTTGCAACCTTCCAGCAGGTTCCTCTCCTTTTCACCAACGCAGTCCCTTGGCCTCTTTCTCCACCTCTCACTCTGCCCTGGTCCTTTCTCTTTCCCGACAAATCCTTTCGTTTTTCCCCACTAGTCCTCAGCCAACCCTCTGGCTTTCCCCTGCCTAGCGGCTGTCACCCAGCTGCCTTTCGTGAATGATTAAGCTACAGTAAAGTGTGACTATGTGTCCTGGCACGACCCCTTACAGTACCATGGATGTTGGCTGTCCAGTACTTATGCCTTCTTGTGAACATCCAGCCGTGCAGCAGCCTGTAACACTTGTTTTACGTACAGGATGGTGCCGATGTTTCGTGACCCCCCCCCCCCCCAAATAACCATTGTTTTCCCATTGTATATTGTTTCACATACACCTTACTTAAAAAAAAAGTTTGAGAAATGTAATGGGGGGGGGGGGGGGGTGACAAGACATCTGGACTGCCACTCTGTACCCTGCAGGAAGGTCGCCCATCCCAGCAGTTCCCAGGGATGGACAACCCCCCGCCTGCTTCGATTTTGAGATGACAGCCGGGGGGACATTGCGGGTTGGGTTTGGCCCACGGGCGATCACAAAGCACCGAGAGGGACCCACTCAGTCGAACATCGATCACGTTTGTTAGCAACACTTTTACTGTGCCTCGCGTTATACATCATTGTTATTACTGTGTGTATGTGTGGGCTGGGGGGGGGGGGTAACGTTACAAACCCGGCCACCCGAGTTGGAGCCAACACCCCCGGTGACGATGATCCGAATAGGTTCTGGGCCTCCCCTAGGTCGACTCAGCCTCAAAACGTGTTCCCGGTGTCGCAGTAGTATAAACACCGCCAGCACTGGGGGAGACAAAGGCGGCCGGGCGTGGTGGTTGCTGGCTGCTGGCCACTCGCCCCCCACATCTTCGTGTGCCAACAGTGGCGGCCTTCATAGGTGGCCCTGCTTCTCGCTAACAACAGAACCTGCTCACAGCAGAGATTCAGGTTATATGTACGGGGTGGGGATATGCCTTTGTGGTTGTCTTTTTATGGCAATGACGTCTTTTCTCTTTGCGTGGCCTTGAAACTGCACGGTGAAATATGTAAAAAAATAAGTCACCGACCAACAAACTCGAAGGCAAAGCCACGGGAGGGAGGGGGGAGAGGCGGGGATTTCCAAAAGAGCAGGAGAATAAAACCCCCTCCAAGGCAAAACCTGCTGCGGGATACGTTAAATAATAATAATAATCAGCGGCGCAACTAAATAGCATCCGACGGTGAATAATCGATTCTCTCTCGTCGCCTCCATCTGCGTTGGGGGGTTTCTGGTTTGGAGTGTGGGAGGGCTTGTTGGAGAGTGGTGGTGGGTGCTGGTGTTGGGTAGTGGTGGTGGGTGGCTGGTGAGTGGTGGGTAGTGGTGAGTGGTTGGTGGTGAGTGGTGGTGGCTGGTGAGTGGTGGGTGCTGAGTTGTTGGTGGTGAGTGGTGGGTGATGCTGGTGAGTGATGGTGGTGAGTGGTGGGTGGTGAGTGATGGTGGCTGGTGAGTGGTGGTGGGTGAGTGGTGGGTGCTGGTGGTGAGTGGTGGGTGATGTTGGTGAGTAGTTGATGCTGAGTGGTGGGTGATGGTGGTGAGTGGTGGGTGATGGTGGTGTGTAATGGTTGGTGCTGAGTGGCTGGTGTTGGTTGGTGGGTTGTGAACGACAACCACGAACCTCACCTCCCCCCTCCCTTCCCTCAATAGATTCGCGAACCCGCGGGCGACGAGTCTTGTTGGTGATATTCGATGCGCGAACAATTTGCGGCCACGTCGACGTCGTCTCCCCAACAGCCTCCGCGTGACGCCGAGTCAGCTCGCCGACTGCCCTGATAACAACTCTGCAGCTTCCACTTCTTCTCTCCCTGACAACCTCAACAACTTCTGCTGCTGCTGCTTGGGGCTCCACTTCTCCTCTACGTCGGGCGCATCGTCAACGCACGGAAACAACAAAAAGGTCTCCGCCTCCTGGAGCGAGCTGGGTACTTCAACGAGAAGAGTCGAGAAGGAGGCGGCGGCTTCAGATGGAGAGGCTCTCGTTGTCCCAGGTGAGGGCGAGCACGAGAGGGCTTCCTCCCAGGTGAGCGCAAGGAAGAGAGAGAGAGATAGAGAGGCTCTCGTTGTCCCAGGTGAGGGCGAGCACGAGAGGGCTTCCTCCCAGGTGAGCGCAAGGAAGAGAGAGAGAGATAGAGAGGCTCTCGTTGTCCCAGGTGAGGGCGAGCACGAGAGGGCTTCCTCCCAGTTGAGCGCAAGGAAGAGAGATAGAGAAGCTCTCGTTCGTCCCAGGTGAGAGAACAGGTTAGGTGATGGTCGCACGGTCGTGTTAGAAAAACAAGAGTGGCAGCGTTTGCCAAACGAGGTTGAATGTCCTCCCCCACGACCACCCATTGTGTTTCTGCTTCCGCGGTGTAAATGTTTTGCTTTTCGTTGTTGTCGTTGTTGTTGAGAAGTTTAAGGATGTGAATTCTATGGAAGTTAACGCCACGTGTGTGTGTGTGTCCTTGTGTGTGTTCACGCGAGAGGGTGTTTTGATTATAAACGTCCGGCTTGTGTGTTGTGGTGTACATCATCAGAGTAGTGAGTGTGTGTGGTAGGCGTGTTCCTAACTAACCCCTGGCTCTTCTGCCGTGTTTGTCGCCAGGGTTGTTGCTACAGGAGAGAGTGGTGTGAGTGTGTGTGGGTGGTGGTGGTGGTGGGTTGCCTTGTGTTTCGGAATGTGCGTGCGCGATTAAATGTGTGGGCACGCCAGGATAGCGTGCCTTAGGCACTGTACTCCGTCTAAGTGTGTACTTTAGTCATGGGGGGGATGAAATAAAATCTCAACTCTTAAAGTGTACAGAGGAAGTTGTTGCGAATCATTAAAGTGACAGGGGTACGTGGTGACGCTTTTTCGCTTTGCCCATCGAAGGAGAGATGGGCGACTGATTTGGGAGAAATAAAAAAAACACCTCGTCCAACAGTGAATAGACCATGGCTGATGATGCAGAAGGATGCATTTGAACTGGACAGCAACGCTGCACCGTGTCACGTCGTGTTAAATGACGAGGACGCAAAGTTGGAACGTAAAAAAACGTGCAACTTTTGTGTATGTATCGCACACCTTTGTGCGAAATTAAATGTATTATTTTTATGTTTTTTCTGCGTAGCCTGGACGATGAGGATCCCATTGAGCCATTCGTAGACCAACTGTGGTGTGCCGCCATCGTGGGTCCACACTTCTTGCAAATTTGAAAAATTACTCAATTCGGATGTCACGCGGAAAACACATTCGAAGAATTACTCAATTCAGATGTCACAGGGCAATAATCGCCCTCTTACAACTGCCAGGCTAATTAATGCCCCACTGGCAGTCAAGGTGCTGCGTCACCACGTACTACAAAGGGATGACTGTCTCTGCTGATGCCCTTAAATGTTCCTAGATTATGTTGATGTCAGGCTCTCTGAGGCTCTGATGCGTTTATAAGCGTCATATAAATGCAACTAATAGCATTACAGTGCGATGTAATTCATATGACTGTGGTGCAGCAGCTGTGGGATCTGGCAGAGGGAGATAAAGCATTTGCCATACTGAGGTGACAGTAGATTTGGTCATGATGCCATCATCCTGGAACGGTGTTCTGTGGTGGTTTTAGGGGAATTCTTGTGCACACCCACCCCACACATTGCAGGCTTGGTATATGGGGACCCCGTTTTGAGTGTAATATCAGCAGTAATTTAAGCATAATGAGCTGAATCGGGCTGCTGTTGACGCCGATTGCATGAGAAACCATAACTACCACTTGCTTTTAGTGATAAGAGCATGCGCACATGTACATTCTGATTTAAAAACATACTTCACGCTATGGTCAGACCACATACTTCACGCTATGGTCCAATGCGGGTTGGTGAAGGCGGTTGGGGGGCTGAGACACAGAGGCGTAGAAGTTCAGAACAACAATTTTCGTTTCTGCTGAACTGCCCTCTGCTTCCCACAACGTGACCCCGAAAACATCGGGGAAAGCATATTTAGCAGTATTAGTTCGGACCTCGAAGCAATCAAATGTCACTTTTTCTGATTCTTTACATTGTTTATAGAAAGTACTGAAAGTGGCAAGGGTGTGGCCCCTACAATTACTTGCTCACGCCCCTAATGGTGGAAGGGCCTCTTCTAATGGCAGCTCCAGATGGTATTTTGGCCAACTCTTCTACACACACCAGACATTTTGGAAGAGGTAGGAGTACCCCCACACGTTACCTTATCACATTTAACCTGTCGATCGACTAACTGCTGTACCGATTTCTATACCGCTGGATGGGCAGAGGTCGGGGGAGACTTAAGAGACTTGCACCATTGTTTCAACTGTGAGGAGAGGTGACCGACGATCTATCCATTGGACGTTCAGTGTTATAAACATTCCACCCCGCCAGCATTCACATAAAAGTACCGAACTTATATGTTCTATACAATGCAGAACGCACGGTTCATGGTCAAACTCAGTGCTTTAAGGGTCAGCCATACAGCAAACTAGTTTGTAACATATCTGGAGCATATGTAAAGAACAAACGCAAAATTATTCAAAGATCAATTGAAACTCAAGTGCGGTTGTTTTGGGTTGGGCTGTGCATTGACCATTTCTTCTTTCAAGCTTTCGCCATGCACTGCTATGGGCATATTCAGCTCTAAGGTTTGGGTTGCTCTGGAGCCAGAGCTGGAGCCGGTAGTAAAAGTAGTAGGAGCTGGAGCAGAAAATGGAGCGGCCCTACACCGTCACAATGATAATAATTAGTTTTTTGATATGACATCCTTTATGCCAGGGCATAGTGCGTTTTGCATCATATCTCATCTTAAAAATTGAAAAGGGCACCCTGAGTGGCAGCTGCCCATGTAGGTATAAGGTGGCTCAGCACCTGGACTTTAAAGAGGCATTTTATCAGTAGGGGCAATTATGCTATGTATAAGCCCAATTGAGTAGTTTGCGGGCGAATTGGACCCTGATGTCTGCACAGAATGGCTTACTCTTGCAAATTATGTCAGGGGATCCTTTAACTTCCACTCTGAAGTGGACAATGGATATTATGGTTATTACACCCACAGTAGTAATCGGGGCATCGCTGGATTCGAACCTTGAACCTCTGAAACAGGTGGCAAGTGTGCTATCAGCTAGGCCGTGTCACTGCCCCTCCATGACTCCGGAAATCTCTGTTCAATTCCCAGCCACAGATAACATCAGTGGGATGTGATATCCGAACCTGTCTTACGAGCCCCTCCGTTACCAACCTATACGGAGCAATGTGTAGAAGTATGGCCAAACAACCATCATTACCGACATGACCCTGGGGAGGTCTTTATCCAGCAGTAGATTGACAAGGAGCTGAAAATGATTACTGTATATCCTAAGATTATTTTATGCACAGGGGTGAGATGGATTGTGGCATCAACAGGACATTGAGGAATGGTGACAGCATGGAGATCCCTTCATTCAGCAGTGGATAAGACTTTTCCTCATGGTGATTAGTGAGAAGTTACACCATTCAGATTATGTCGGTAAAATAATTACACGTCAGGTAATTTATGGTACTGTCTTTCTTCTCTTGTGGGGGTGTTTGTAAAGTCATGGCTGTGCCATGCGGATCGACCATTGTAAGCGTGTGCTGTTCATCACACAGGTGCAAGACTGATTGTTTTCAAAATCTGGACAAAGGCCTCCTCAGGCTATTTTGGTCATGAAAGTTGTTTGGTCAAAACTGTACCACGTTGGTCAGTGTGGGTTAGGTGGTAAGGCAGATGCGCCAAACCAGTTCAGATGTTGATCTTTTGTTTGTTAATTTTATGTATTTAAGGTTTCAAAAAAGTACATCTGAAGCATGTACACAGTCGGGGAATGGCAAATACATTGATGCATAAAGGTAATAATTAACAAGAACATGCAATACATGCCCTGTGAAGCATAGAGTAAACAATGAAAAACTCACCTGATATTAACTTTTGCCCGAAATCTATAACTGACATAATAATCTCGTTTATAACGCGCCTTTAATGTTTTAATATATCTAAAAGAGCTGTACATAAAAAAATAAAAACTACACTCACACGTATAAATAACATCTAACCAAAATAGAAAGCTGATAATAACTTTCAATGACAACTACACTTGAAATGCAGATAAAATAACGAACAAATTATGTTAAAAGCTAAATAATCCAATCAGACAACAGGACAATCCACTACATAAAAATTGGTTTTCAAATCTTAAGTTACGGGGAAACTCTTTAGAAATAAGTGAGCTTTAAGACGTGATTTAAAAAGTGAAATGGACTCAAAATCCATAATGGGCCAAGGAAGGGGATTCCACAATCGCGGAGCCTGGCTGCAGAAGGCTCCATCTCTCATACAACATAGTCTTGCCTTAGGAATGTTGAATAGACCAGAGGTAGCAGATCTAAGTTTTTGCAGTTGTATAGAAAACTTGAGCAGATCGGCGAGATATTTAGGAGCCAACCCATTCAATGCCTTAAACGTGAGAAGACGAATTCACTACTTTACAGGGAGCCAGTGCAGGGACAAAAGAATAGGAGTGATTTTGTCATATGATTTAGATCTGACGTAGTCCGATTAATAACATAGTGTGTAAACCCAATGCGTCATCGCCCCATCCCACCACAGCTAACAGTTAACATGTGCTTTACCTGTAATTGCATTTAAAAAATATATAATTGCAGTACAGTACACAAAGATTGTAGCATGGCATTGTGTTTTACCTGTGTGTACTGATTCATTTCTGGACTTTTGAACCAGTTGATGCAAATGCCCATTTATCCTAACTGTAAATTTCCTATGTGTGTTCCAGGGAATTGATGCCCAGATACAGAAGCGTGCAGCCAGATGGATTGGCATTTCACCCATAATGTTCCTTACAAAAAGAGAAAATGTTTTCGTGATCCAAATTTAAGTGGCGATTCATTTGAAGACAATGTACGGAATGATAATTTATCACAATACAGTACAGTACATGCATTGGTAACCATTCAGATTGAGGGTGGTAAATCAAAAAAGTTTTACATCTGCCTTAGGGAAGTATAGAGTATTTATCACAGTGTAAATGGGCTTTGCATTCACTGCTGATATAGTACTGCTAAAACTTACATTATACAATAAATACATTCAACTATGGTTTTGTTATTTTTATTTACTAGTTTTCGAGGTTATGGAGGCGTAACTTGAAATATGTCGTATGTTTTAAAGTCATAATTTACTGCAGTTCTAATTCTGGCAAAGCCTTCTGTTTAAAAATCGCTGGTATCCTTGGAAAAGTAGCACATATTTTATGCTTGCCTGACAAAGAGCTGCCAAAACTTGTCTTCAGTTATACACGAACAGTGTCGCACAGAATTATATTTCCATGTGCAAGTATTCCTATTTATTCATTCAGAATTTCACTGCAGGTATTGTGGGTTAGTTGAGGTACATATTTTACTATTGCAGCAATGTGTAAACACCACAATATGGTACATGACACATTTCGAGCAGAAATGATTTGTAATGTTTTATAATGCTTTGTTTTGGTGTTGGCTAATCATGTGAAAAAGAGGCTGTTTGTTGATGAGCAGAGGGAATGTTACAAAACGTTCCTGTTTTGTTTTACAGCAAAGGCAGCAGACCTTTGCACAGGATATTCAAGGCCATCAAGGTTTGTATATCAACTCAGTTACTCTCGAGATGGTGAAATACCTTAAAGCTACTGCCACATTGAGGAGTTCACTCAAGAAAGCTATTATACATGTAACAATTGATTCACCCCCAACATGATTCGTGACTTGTTGCAATTTGAGATCACAATTCAAAAATCGATTATTTGTATCTCGTCTGTACATTCTTTTTTTCTCATGCCTGTCTTATACTGTGCTAGCTTTACTACCCGGCTTCGCCCGGGACTTGGATTCTTGTCTTGGATTAATACACGGCCTATGCGTAGGGTTGGGGATGCGTGACGTCAACAGGCACACTGCGTGACGCTGCCGCATGCGGGTGACATCACAGATGTGCAGATGTGACGTCACCGCTCGGTTGCCGTGCAAAATATATCCATTATTGCGCCCCCCCCCCCCGTTTCAAGTTTGTTGCATGTCGGGAAGTATGCTAAACATTTCGAACAGACACACATTCACAAATTTCTCTTTTATATATATAGAGAAGATGTGTCTGCCATTTTATGTATTATGTGCTACATTGCACAAATACAATTTTGGATAAAATGTAAATACAATAATCATAAATTGGAAGCAAAAACATTCTTACATGCATAATTAGAATTTATCTCTGCTTATGAACAAATGCACCATTGCACATTTAATTTATACCACATAGCTGATTCGTAATTGTGGTCAAATGTTTTCACATGTATTCAAGGATGGCTGTTGTACACTCTCTCTGCCCAAATTGACAGAAGAGCTATTCGCTGTGCTCTGCAGTGTGGATGACATTGGAGATGATATTCTGAAGGAATACGCAGAAAACATTGCTCAGGAGGAAGTTCATGTCTACCCCCTAACCAAAACCAAAAGATGGCTGGGCTGCAGCCAGGAGGGTAAGCATTGCTTATCATCGCGGCACTGAGTAATAGATCGCTTATCTATGTGGCAGGGTTTTCATTGAGTAACAAGACCTGATTCAGCCTCAATTGACAACAATATCTCACAGATGTTCCACCACAAGCCAACTGATCAGTACTCCCTAGTTTTTGATGTGGTGTCAGTGGTTGCTATACTTGTTTTCTTGAAATTGTAAATATGGTGATGCAGACAGCCTGCAATGCATTGCATTTTATTTGCCAAAATAACACATTGATTCATCTTTCACAGCTATCCAGAGGCTCCGAGTAAATGGAAAACTTGACATAAAAGGCAAGGAGCTGAAGGTTTGGATCTGTACGCAATCCGAGATGGATGTTGTTGTTGACAGGCGGAGGTTGGTCTTGAATGGATTAGCAGGGGACACTCCCAAAGACATGGTCATATTATATGTGGAAGCCATATCAGGCTTCTTGTCGGATGACTTTAATATCGAATACTTCAGTGATGGGGAAATGGCTGTGGTGACCTTCCAAACCCCAATTGGTGAGTGAGTAATTGCGTTGATTGTAGAATTGCAGCACAACTCTTAATATTCCATAATATATGCTCTGTATTACGCCTGCCTCCATAATAATATGTGGATCTTCCTGTTATTTGTGTGGTTCTCCATTCTTGTCCATGCTTATGAGTAACCCAGACGTATATGACCACCCACTCCTTCTTGTGCCGTGCCGGGCTTCATAGGTGCTCGCTAACAGCACTTGCCTCAACAGTCTGTTAAGGATATATGGGGGGATCTTTGTCTTTGTACAGTGCCTTGTGACCTAGGTTAAAGGTGCTTTAGAAATTATACAAATGTACGATTTTATGCAGTAAATTACACCGTTATATAAATGTGAAATTGTTTAAATTCACAATTTCCACATGGTGTAGGCCTCATGATTTGGAATTACAAGTCCACCACTGTTACAGCTGTTTTGCAAAACATGTCTTTCCAGACTTTAGATGCTTGTTTGAGAAGAGATCAAGAAAAAAAATACTCAACAAGAGAGAGATCAAAGCCAGGCTGCTGGAGCTGACGAACTGTGTGCTGGTGGAGGGGGTGGCATTGAACCTCATTGAAGATCTCCATTTGTACTTCGAGAACAAAATACGGAGTGGCGGAGGGGAGCTCTCTAACGTTATTATCAAAGAGGATGGAAGAAATGTCTACCTTTACTTCAAAGACTTGGCAGGTAATGACGTTAGGCATTTTCAAATACAAGTGCTTGTAATATATGGCAGTCAGAGATTGTTGGTGGGATCAAGAACTGTATTATAGATCCAGCATCACAGGACTATAACTGGTACAGGTTTCCCTGAAATTATGTGGATTCTATTTGTGCGATTTTACATTTAAGTGGCGCTAAGCTATTTCTCCCCCAAATTTTCTTCATGCGGTTTGAATCTACTCGTATGCGGCTATACGGTCGGATGTGGGACAACATTGTGTGTCCTGTACGCTATACATGTCAGGCAGCTGTTTAGTGCAGTGCATTGTGGGTTGCGTGATTGTGCGGTCCATGCTACGCGATTTCGCTTTGTGCACTATTTTGGAACGCATCTACTGCATAACGCGAGGAAAACCTGTACTGTAGTGTCAAGGTAGATCGCGTAAATATATAAATGTGCCGTTAAAACCCGCCACCACCCGACACAGCCAACTAGTAAGGGTTGTCACGTAAACAGAACGTGGCCAATTCGTTACTAGTACAGCACACCGGTGTGTTGGAGAGCCAAGCCACAACATTTACAATCTGAGTACGACGTTTCGCCAATAATTACAACTAGCTTCATCAGGCGACAGCCAGATTTGTGGAGAAGCCTTACTTTTTCGTTCCTTATATAGAGGCGTAGATATATTGACTACGCAGCTGCGCTTTTGCACAATGTGGGGGGGGGGGGGGGATTACTGAGGATTACGGAGGCAACGTACATTATGCATGTGTATTATGCGAGCCCTTTGAATTTGTCCTTCCTGTGTATTGTGTTTTATTAAAATAGCCCTACCAACGGTAATCCCTATTGAAGTACGCTGCCCTTTGTAGGCATGCATTTAAATAATGTATTATTTTATGATTCACTTCCATGCAGCGATAAGGCGGTAGCTATCCGATGGTTAAAGTTATTTTGATTTCTTTCAATTTTGATATATTCTCTAATTAGTCTTGGCCAGTAGTAGCTAGTTTTGCACAACATCAAAATCAATTGAGTGTCCTTGTTGGCACGCGTGTTCTGCTACTGCTGACAGTTGTATTTGGGATAATTTAATAACACATCTACATCTCTATATAAGGAACGAAACGGTAAGACTTCTCCACCAATCTGGCTGTCGCCTGATGAAGCTAGTTGTAAGTACTGGCGAAACGTCGTACTCAGATTGTAAATGTTGTGGCTTGGCTCTCCAACCAGTGTGCTGTGCTAGTGACGAATTGACATGTTCTGTTTACGTGACAACCCTTACTAGCTGGCTGTGTCGGGTGGTGGCGGGTTTTAACGACACATATATTTATGCGAACTAACCCAAAAACCTCTTATGGGATGATATTGGTCGCGAAAGCCTACCTGTTTAACTGAAAACAACTTGTTGAGGTACATTTTAACCTTAATCGTAGCTGGTTGGTGGGGGTTGCACGTTCCCATGCTAATTATAAGTTGATGAAACTATTAGAAGTTGATGAAACTACTATATATACAATATTGGTCATCTTATGGATAGGCTGGTTCCATCTTGGAATGTGTAATTTCCACATCTAGCTCTGGGCCACCAATGGCGATCAGCATTGAGACCTGGACCAGTGCTCATTGGGTGCTTTGACTTTGAATACCTAATCGTAAGATTGATTTGCAAAACACATTTTTCCATGAGCACATTGCAGCCAGTCTTCTTATCTCTTCATTGGCTACCAGTAAAATTTCGAGTGGATTTGAAGATACTACTATTAACCTTATGATGCTTTAAAAGGGCTCACCTAACATTACTTTCAGGAACTAATACATTTATATATTCTATCAAGATCCTTAAGATATTCTGACCTCCAGCTGCTCGGCACTCCCAGGTCTAGGTTATGTTCTTTTGGTGATCGGACTTTTGTTAGCGTGGCACCCAAGCTTGAAATCAGGCAATCAGAGTCGGCAGATATATTTAGGTCTGCTTTGAAAGTCCATCTTTTTAAACTGGCCTTCAATCTTTAGTTTGGTTAGTTGCCCTGGTTTTGTTTTTGTTTCCTGCTTTGGAATCCTAGGATGGAATGTGCATTATAAATGTGAATTATTATCAAAAAACAAATCTAGGTAGATTCACACATTGCTTTGATTAATTTAGAGGTAAAGCATGTGAAATTAACTTTAATTTAAAAAGACATGGTTTTTATTTAAAATAAATCATTACCGTCGTTGCGAATATTAACTTGTATTAGTACTGTTTACATTTTAACTGTCTCTTAATGATAGTTTTTTTATTTAATAGCTTTGAATTTTAACATTTCTTTATTTACTAAGTTAGTACTTGTCATATTATTGCAATTACCACACAATGCAATTTGAAGTACAGTACATTTGTCATGTTTGCTTTTCACGTTAATAATTTGAAGATAGGACTATGCAAGTTATTTGCATTGTGTGTAGAATTATATTTATACTACCCCATTGCCCTGTTGCCATGCATTTATGTGGTTATTGTAACTTTCTGATCTGCCCTTGCTGGACATCTGTGAAAAAGAGCCTCATAGCTCATCGGATGTCTCCAGGATAACTATTCTGATTCTGACCTGCTGAAACCTATGTTGAAACAAACCTTTTATGCTCTTTTTTTTAGTTGTTGAAGAAATTGTGTCAAGGCAACACAATCTGTGCACAACGGAACTGAAAGTCTTTGCCTATTATGATGAAATATGTTCTGCCCTTGGAAAACAAGATCAACTATCAGAGGACCCTGAACCATTTTACGTACCAGTTGATATCATGGTTATGCAGTATATTTTAAACAGTTGTTTTGCAATGAGAGAACTGACATCCATTCTAGAACGGGCAGATGCTTCCTTTTCTCATGGTGAAGGGGCAAATGGCAACATTACGTTTAAACCCATTTTAGACAAGGGCGCAGTAAATTATCAAAGCCTTGCTAAAAAGTGGCAGCAAACGACAGAGACATGTTTTCGAAAATTCTATGAACAGTATTCTAAGAATGATTTGCCTTGTGCTAAAGCTGCATGGGAAAGAGTTAAACAAGAAGTCTCAATGCCTGATCATGTGCTGGTTGGTTATGACTGTCAACAAGCTCAGATCTTTGTTACTGGGAGAAATCAGGATGTGCAAGATGTATGTAAACAGCTGAAGCCCTTTGTAAAGAATGCTGAGGATACCCTCTCTGAAGAGAGTAAGATCATCAGTGATTGCATATCACTAGAAAGCCCAGATAACTATAATTTAATGCAGTTCCTGAACATTGAAGATTTTTGCGCTAAATTGAATAATTTGCATTTACAATTTGATGAAGGCTCCTGTTCCGTAACAGTTACGGGCATGTCAAGAGATTGTCAAATAATTGCAGAAGAAATACACAATCTTCTAATGAGCATATCAATAAAAGATTTGGTTATTTCTGATCATGTTCTAAAAATGTTTGCGGTACCAGGTGTCGTGCAAACAATGAATACGCAGTTTAAAAAAAGCTCAATATATGCCATTGTAGAATTAAAAAGTGGTCAAATGAATGACACATTCACTTTGATATCCATTGCTGGACATGCAGAAAAAGCGGAGTCTTGCATCAATGAAACATTCACGGAAGAGTTGTTTTGTGTTCCAAAGGCAGAAAGTGACTCAACCAGAACAAAAGAATGGACAATTCTATTGAATGATCTTGAAAAAAGCAGGGGTGATGAATGTCAACAAATAATTCTTGGAACATTTGAAGATCAATATGGTTCCTGCACCGAAGTTGTCATTGCAGGTTTTGCCCCTGCTGTCAAAGATGCCTATGGCAGAATGCAAGCATTTTGTAGAGACAACTGTACCGTTACAAAATTCATGGTAATGCCAAAGTATCAACTGGAGTTTTTGGAGAAACATGAGCTCATACTGCATGACACTAAACTTTTGGGTAAAAATATCACAATAGAGTATGAACCTGTTTCAGGGTTTCAGATAGTTGGACAATCTAGCATTGTAAATGAGATTGAAATGTTTATCTGTGAAAAGGGATTCAAGCTTTGCTCAAATCTGCTCAGGATTAATACGCCAGGAGCTGCCAAATATTTACGAGAAAATGAGGACTTTGCCAAAAGTAAAGTGTCAAAAGATAAAGGCTGCATGGTTTTCATTGAGATTGGGGCTGCTCAGTATCCATTTTTGCAGCTGAGGTGTCAGGAGGATTTACCAGGGGGCCACACCATCTCAATCTACAAAGGGGACATTTTTAAAACGCCAGTAGATGTGGTTGTGAATACAGCCACAGAAAAACTGCAAATTTTGACAGATGGAACCTTTGGAAAAGCCCTTTTAGAAATCGGAGGTTCAGACATACAGATGGAATGCAATGACCTTGTTCATGAAAGTGGAGAGCTTAAGCCTGCAGAAGTAGTAATGACGAGCCCAGGAAAGCTCCCATGCCAGAATATTGCTCACATCATCTGTGGATATTTAAAGAAAAATTCATGGAATACATGTATAGACATTTCCAAAATGAAACTGGTAAAGGAGGGGATTCAGAACGTTTTGATGACGGCAGGGACAATTGGGCACCGGAGTGTAGCAATACCAGGTCTTTTGTTTGAGAGGTATAGGTATCCTTTGGACATTTACACTACAACACTCATTGATGCTGTCGAGTCTTTCTGTAAAGAAGAAGACAATGCTGATAATTCCCTGACCGACATCCTCTTTATCGATGTCGATGACGGTGTACTCGATGCTCTTTCAACTGCTCTCCTGTGTAAGGTTGGGAAAATTCCAGTTACAGATGAGCCAGATAGAGTTGTGGATTTATTGGTCCAGAATGAAAATGCATTCTTACATCCAGGCTGGCCTCAAACCCAGAGTTCAGCAACAACAGTCACCAGTCCAAGCTGCATAACTACAAATGAAGGACTCAACATCTCCTTGGTTATTGGTAGTATTGAAGAAGAAAATGTAAGTCTGGAGAAATGTACAGCAATACAAATGATTGCATTGTGCTCTTATACAATGTTTGTAAATCTCGGTAACATTCTATGTCACATAATGCAGTCTGTCATAATTGCAATACACGTACTGCAGTAAAACACCTCGCGTAATACTGTACTCTCGTAAATATTTTATACTCCATGAATAGCACGAGAAAAGTATGTTTTGCTATTCAATTGTTATCCGCGTACTTTTCAATATATCTGAAAACTTGAGGAAAGCTTTTGGAATAATTGAGTGCTGTATTTGCCCAGTGTGAGTTTTGTGTAGAATTTGATATTGTATTTAGCGGAACATTTGCTCAAGGCACAAGCATGATAAAAGAGTCCTATTATTTTCCAATACAGTGTATCATAAACCTGGTCCAGGGGTGAGCTGAGTATATGGTGTGCAAGTCGGTCATGTAGCAAAAATAATCTGGTCCTTGAAACATAAGTTATGGAAAATCATAGATACGCATGGATTCATTAATATTGTTGCGTATGGAAATATGTTCATGAGCTAAATGCCAATATCGAGGTCTGTTAGCCACCAGAGGGCTTCTGTAAAGCGACGACATAACTTTTTTTCCCTTTGGGTTTCTGGCTAGGAAGTCTCATTTAGGTCTTGAAAGTTCATTATTTAGTTGGTACACTCGAAGACCTCGTCCAGTGATTTCTGGCCATTACATTGGGTCTTTTTTCAGCATTTGTCTCTTCTGGTCACATGGATTAAAAAAAATTAATGACATCCATTTTGCCGAGATGATGCTATTGTATTTAAGGTAAAATGATAATGCTTGACAGGGGCTACGAGAGGGCTGTAGTGTCATACCCTTTGCATGGATTATGGAACGCTTTCCATCATGCATTGTCTTCTGAAATATATATTTTTTGCAATACAGAAACAAATGGGTAGATGTCAGAACATAGTGGATTTGCATAATATTAGTGTAGTCTTTTTGGCTCTGGTTTTTACGTGGAATTTTTGGGCAACTGGTTGATTTAATTTTGCCAGTTTTGAATAGGGTAAGTGCCAACTAGTAATCCAAATTTATTTTTAACTTTAGTTCATATTAAAAAGCAATAGTGCATGCCTGTTACACATGCCTTCAACCTTACTTTGGAAAGCATTAAAAATAAATAAAATGTGCAAGAAGATAATAACTTGTAATTCCATTTCATTACAGTCGGACGTCATAATAAACACAACCTCGGCAAACATGAAGTTGGATTCTGGAAAGGTGTCCAGTGCCATTTTCCGTAAGGCCGGTCCGACACTGCAGAATCTCGTTGACAATATAGTCCAGGGCCAATCCATTCGTTCTGGGCAGATTGTGAAGACGGACGTGACGGGCCTTAATCTTTTCTGTCACATGGTGTACCACACCAGCCTGGGTTCCTGGGACAATGGCAAACATCTCCACAAGTTCATGAAACATAGCCTCGAGATGGCCCATCGGGATGGGGTTTCTTCCATCTCCTTCCCAGCACTTGGCACAGGAATGCTCAGTTACCCACCAGTGATGGTTTCAAGTTTAATGTTTTCAGAAGTTATCAACTTCAGCCAGAGTCATCGGAAAACAATGCTGAAGGACATCCGATTTGTGATTTTCTCCAAAGACCAGCTCGTCATTTCAGTAAGTCTGACACTGGGCCTTATACATGGACAAGTCTAAAAGGATATGTGAACAAGTACTGTTCTGCATAGGGCAAAGTATACAAAAGCCTGGAAATATTGCATAGTTGACTTTCGAAGAATATTGAACACCTGCTTAAATTGCACAGATGTATGCCATTTTTTACTGAATATCGGTCCATGTTTTGAGGAACTGATGTGAGCGTCCTCGTACATTAACTAAATTATAATACAGTACTATACTAATCCAGTAATGACAATTATTTATCCAGAAAAGCCCCACCGACTCATTTTCAGAAAGGTTCTGCATTGGGATGTTTGGCTCGGACCATTAATGAGTAGCATGTGGGAGGAGATCGGAGTAGCCGGATAAAATCCATGCACCTATATAACACTTGGAAAGGCCTGGTTTGGTGGTCACCCATTCAAATACCAGGCTTCACATCTGAGAATGGGTGTGTTCAGGGTAGTTTGGTCCTTGGCCTTGTTTCCAGGATTTTGAAATGCCTTGAAGGAGACCATTTCATGGAAGCTCATCGAATATATTTACATAATTAAACTTTTTTTCAGAGTGTTAAAGCTAAAGCGTTATCAGTTAAAATACTGACAGTTGTGGTATTTTCACAGGCCTTTCAGGCAGAGCTGGCCAAACATCTTCGAGGTATGTGTACCTTGCTATAACAGCAGGTTGTGCAAGTGGCCACCACACCACAGCTGGCTTAGCCCCCTGCACCCTCATGCATGATGCTTCCACGTCACACGCAGACACAGGAGCACTCTTTCATCCCTGTCCAGATACAACAGCACCCTTGTGCTCCATCCCACAGATTCAGCAGTGCCTCCATAACCACATCTTGAGCCACATGACTATTATCCATAGTGTATGTGTGTGAAGAGTGGTGGTGTAATGGTTAGCATACTGCGATGAAGCTAGCAGCCTGAGTTCGATTCCCAGCCATGAAAGACATGAGTGGTGATTATCTGACTGTCCTGGACCTATGCTTGGTAAATTCATCCTTAAATGAATAGGTGGTGCAGTATGTACACTTCAGCACTGGAGACAAAGGCGGCTGGGTGTGGTGTTGGCCACAACCACCACCTCATGCGGCGTGCAAGCCTTCATAAGTATTGTCTATCAGAACTTCCCCCAACCGCTTCTTGGTTATATGGGGGAACTTTGTGTGGAGAGTGGGTGGTGCAGTGGTCCACACACTGGACTACGACACTGGCAACCAGAGTTGGATCTATAGGCATGGATATTTTGAAATTGTGAATGCATGTAATATATGATTTCATAACTTTTCTGCAGAGTAATTTTTTTGTAAACATTTGAAAATAATTATTTATAAAATAATATTTTGTTTCCTTTAAAATACATACGGTGTAAGCACTGGTGAAAATTATACATTAATAAAGATGTACAGATTATAGTTGATAATAAATAGCTGTGTTTTAAATTCATGAGAGCTGATCTTAATTTACGGCCTTTGTCAATCCACGACTGGATGAGGCTTCCTCTTGCCATGTTGGTCATGGGGATTTTGACTGGTCAGGATCACTACAGATATCATTCGCCACTGATCTTAGCAGTGGCCGGGAATCAAACTCGGGAGCCTGGTTCATAGTGCAGTGTGCTAGCCACTGCATAACTGCCCTGGGCCCTCCCCACTTAACCAACCTGCATTTGCCACCATGAAGTAGGGTCAAGTGACCCTCATGATCAACATCAAATTTTCACTTAATGTTACAATAAAAGTTATGGCACAAGACTAAGTTGTTGATTATTTTGCTTGTCAGTTTTAGGTAGCAGCTACAGCGGTTTAAACGAAGCTGCCTGCTCACAGGCCGCTATGATTGGTGAATTTGGTTTACCTGCTCCCCAAACACCAAGTGTGCCACAGAAGGTGCCGCCATTTAAGTCCGCTTACCAAAACGAGGTTGTCATTGTAAAAGTATTTGGAAAGCTGAAAAATAATGTTGACGATGTGAGCAAAATGATGAAAGAATTAGTTGATAAGGAATGTAGCCCCAAGAGAATTCAAAGCAATTATGTCTCGTCTTTGAAAGATGAAGACATAAACGTACTGGAAAAAGTTGAATCCGATTGTGATGTGAAGATCACACTCGCTTTTACACACATCCAAATTGAGGGTATGAGTTCAGATGTGTTTTCAGCTGCTACAAATGTGAATAAAGTAATGAATGAGTTGGAGAAAAAACACATAGAGGAATCCCTTTTCACCTCATTTGCCAAGTGGCTGTTTGATGACAATGGACAAATGAAAGCTTTTCACAAAACCGAAGTCATACAAATTGAGAGAGCTTTTCTGCGGGAAGAAAAACAAGTCGTCATCAAGAGCCCTGCAGGAAATCTTGTTATCAATTTTAATAAAAATGAAGCAACTAATCCACAAGGTGAAACCATCAGAGTGAGAAGAGAATGCATATTCCAAGACCCACCTGATCCACACGGTCAGTGTTTATTTCCCTTGATAATAATGGCTATGTTTTTAATGACCGTAACTTTGATGCTTTGGAATATAGTTTAAATGCAACGTTAAATATGGGTAAAATTTTGGAATACAAAATTATATTAGTTTGCATGAAACCTTTCGCGGTCTTCCATTGGTAGATGGTTGAAGGCCTCTCTATAAAATTCGATCATCCTTATTCCTCATACTGCCAGTTCCATCTTGGTGTTAACTGCAGACTAGAGAGGATTTGGCTCGCCTATTAATATGTACAAGTATCTTCACAGTCTTCATTAAGTGTATCGGGTTGCCATGTATAGTTTCCCCTTTGCATGTGTGTATGCTTCTAACTCTGTTTTGTTGGTTTGAACGTTCTAAACATGTTTATTTATGCTTCATTGCATTATTTTTTCAGAAACAATGTTTCATCAATATCCAAATGTGATCATTTGTGTTTTCAGCACTCAAAATTGACATACCACTCAATTGGGCACCAATGCCAAAGGGACAAGAAGTGATCAGGGTTTGGCTCCATCCACAATCGGATGAATACAAAAATGTTGAGACTCGCTTTTTAAAAACCATCACCGCTTTCAAGGTCTTCAGAGTAAGTAATTCTAAATTAGTTTTTTTCAGATTTACTGCAATATACTTAAAGATTCTGAATTGTATTTCATAGTAATTGGAGTGACTTGTTTTGTCATCCAGATTGAAAGGATCCAAAACATGAGCCTGTACCATACCTATCAGGTTATGAAGAAATCAATTGAGTCAAGAAACGATGGGCAGATGATATGTGAGAAGCTGCTTTTCCACGGCACGCGATCAGACTCCATCGACAACATTACTCACCACGGATTCAATCGCAGCTATGCTGGAAAAAATGGTACGCATATACGATGACCAGCTAGACTTCTGATGTTCAAATCAGTTTTTTTTAAAGTTCAGTAAAACTTCTCAAAGCCAGACACGATTTAGTTATAGAATTGGAGATACAGTATGTGAAAAGATTGAGCAGAAAAACTCCAGCCAGAACATTGTGCATGCCCTAATTAAGCTGTGCACAGCAGCAGAAGATGTTCTACAATAAACACATTCCTGCGGAGGGAACTGGTAGGAACGTTGGGTTGCTCGGTCAATGGCCAGGGTCAACGACGGCGTGGTGTATTCCGCAAATATGCCCGACTGTGAGGGCGGGCACAAGCCGGCATGAGTAGGTTAAACGTTAAATTTTATAAGGCACCACGGGGTGACCAGCCCCTCCGCGCCCAGCCCTACCCCCACCCACCCAGCCCCTTCCCACTCTCCCTACACGACGGACACAATAATCCCCTGTGGGCTGGTGTAACCAGGAGGTTCCTACCAGTATTAAGTCTGCAATGCTGGTCTCCAATAATGAAAACGGAATTTATTAAAGTTGTATTTAATGAATAACTACATTCCAAAACCAGTGGGCCAAGGTTACTACCACTCGCAGGCTGTGATAGACTGAAAGCTGTCGGTGAGCAGGTACTCTGTTAAGTGGCAATTGGCAACCCCATGTGTATATGTACAGCGTTCATGGAAAACCATTTCTTAAATACTTTTTGAATATTTTGCATGGTAAATGTATTCAAAATTGCGTAAATATATATATTTTTAATTACTGCAATATATTTGAACATTCATTTTATAAATGCTGTACATTACTTGCTGTAAGAAGACTTGACTTCATGAAAATATGGAGCCATCCACCTCTGTTTCATGGTGATGGCAACACATTAAATGGCAGTGATATTTAAATTGGAAATATTGAGTTCATATTTTGTCGTGATTAGTTAAGTGTTAATACAAAAAATATGGTGTTCGGCACGAACAACATGCACATTGAATACAAGTGTATTCATTTTGTATTTCTATAATTGACGAAATGCAGTACATCCAGAATTGCTCCCAGCCCCGCCAATGTCTGGTTTCGAGAGGTTTTACGAGAGTAATTTAAGCCAACAGGGGTTTACCTCCAATGTAAAATTGTTTGAAACACATATCATGGAAAATGCTATGTATTTAAAAAAATATTTACACTGAATTGTAGTTTATAAAAAACATTTCAATTGTTTACTATCATTATTTTCTGTCCACAGCTACGGTCTTAGGTGTAGGGACATACTTTGCATTGAACGCTTGGTACTCTGCTTCTGACACATATTCCAAACCTGATGCCAATGGAACCAAGTACATGTTCCAGGCCCGTGTCCTCACTGGTTCCTATTGCAAAGGGGACTCGAGCATGAAGGAGCCACCGCTGAAAAGTCCGTTTTCTAAAACTGTACGCTACGATAGCGTGGTCGACAACTCCTTTTCACCGAGCATGTTTGTGGTATTCTACGACAATCAGGCTTACCCAGAGTACCTCATAACGTTCTCTAAATAAGTTGCCTGTTGGCTGTGAACTCTGTGGTTCAAAATGTACATAAATGCCTTGTCAGTCGAGCCGAGTGTTGACATTTTATTTTTTGTTGCGTTGATATAATTGTTGTATATTTTCTAGTTTATACATTTTACGATGTGCGCTGCAGTAGTACTCACGTTTGGTTGTTTTCAAGGCTTTTTTTTCCAGCATTAGTGTTTACAGTAAAACCTTTTGAAGCCGGACTAATTTATTGTCCGGGGGTTGTCCAGCATATTGCAAATAATCGAGAAGTAGGTAATTATTAAAGTTAAGTTACAAATACAGTTATCAGAATATTTCGCACTTGATACTGGAGTTCACAGTTTTAAACGGCTCAGCTTGAATACAGTAAAAAGCCTTAATCTAATTTTCTTAAAAATCCATGTTTAATGGAGGAAGCTTATGAGGTTCTTTAAAATGCCATTTTTAAGATTGACTTTAAAGTGGCAGCCTATTCAAAAAATAAAGTGTTATTGTTGTGAAGAATCTCGAAGCAACCTTTCTCATATAATACTTTAAGTTACATTTATTGTTCAGCATTGTGGAATGTGATAATGGCCAATTTTGCGTGATATTGCTGTGTTATACAATGCAAATGCATATGTTTGGTCTTGTTTAATGTGCAATAAACGGATACTGAATTTGTGTATAAGGAGATTTCTATACAATTACACCGCGGTTTGAAATCTGTAGCATTGTTAATGTGACTTGACGCAATTCAACAATTTGGCATAAATGTAGTTCACACGTCTCTACATCCATAGAATATCAGCTGCTCTAGTCTACAAATTATGGTCATATACTCATTAATATCCAAACTGTGGTACCGTTATTCGCTGTTGAATCTTGAATTCTGGTCATGGCGAAGTTCATCGTTGAGTCCTATATAAAACTGGTCTTGGTTTGCCCCACTTCAACCCACGCTAATCGCCAGCCTTGTCAAGTAGTGTATGCTCAACCCATGACCAACACGGTGCGGTGTGGCGGGGCCTTTATGCAGGAGTGAATTGGGACATGGCTCCGTATATTACACATTCCTGCGGAGGGAACTGGTAGGAACGTTGGGTTGCTCGGTCAATAGCCAGGGTCAACGGCGGCGTGGTGTATTCCGCAAATATGCCCGACTGAGGGCGGGAAAAAGCCGGCGTGAGTAGCTTAAACGTTGAGTTTTATAAGGGCACCACGGGGTGACCAGCCCCTCCCCACCCAGCCCCACCCCCCCACCCAGCCCCCCCCCACCACCCATCCCCTCCCCACCCCCTCCCCACCCTCAATAATAATGATCGGGTGACGTCACTCCACATGGGGGGGGGCGAGTCGCCTCCTCCCCCCCCCCCCCTCGGCGTGAACTCGCAACCCTCACTACAAAGGCAGAACCCTCACGTCACGCGGTCTCCGTAACGCTGTTGAGAGCTCAAAGTAAAAAGGACGTCATGATGATCAAGGGGTTATAACCTTAAAATAAAATAGGTCTGTGTCACCGCGGCCTTACAAATTGCACACGAATGGATGCAATGAATATCACGTCGCGGTTTTCTTTTCGCTGGCAAGTTTCAGATTTACTGCAATATACCCGTCGTCCTTGGACGGGCAAAATGCAAGTTTATTATTAATGCTGTTAACTTTTTGCCAGTCCAAGGACGGGTGAAAATTGCAGTAAATCTGAAATATTCAATTGAAAATTGTTCAGCTTATGATTAATGGGGAGGGGAGTTGCCCCATGCGGAGTGACGTCACCCGCTAATGGTTATTGGGGAGGGGTGCGGCATGCGGAGTGACGTCACCCGCTAATGGTTATTGGGGAGGGGTGCCTCATGTGGAGTGACGTCACCCGCTACCCACGTGACTTTACCGAAAGAACCAAAGATTAATTATCGTATGTAATTGCGTTACTTTGCAGTGAGGGTTGTAAGTTGACGCTGAGGAGGGGGGGGGGGTAGAAGGCGCCCCCCCCCCGACCCCCATATCGAGTGACGTCACCCGCTCATGATTATTAATGAGGGGGGCTGGTCGACGTGGAGTGACGTCACGCGCGTTACACACTGACATTCTTGGGGTAAATATAGTTAAAAAAATATAGAAATATTTAATTATTTTTATTTTATTATTTCCCTTCTACGTGACTTTACCGAAAGAACCAAGCGTATGAATCCCTGCAGTCACGAAAGCTTTACATACAAATTTAAATACAGTGAGTTAATATGATAATCTCCTTCAGCCCCACCCTGCCACCGGATTCACTGCACCCAATACCCGCAATGCGCCACTAAGTCACCGTGGCGCTGTCGCAACCTCGGAGGCCACGCGGATCATCCCAAAGTCATCCACCCCCCTCGCCCCCAACCCTCTCGCCCCCCTCGCCCCCAACACGACTCACAACCCCCCCACCCCCCTCGCCCCCCACACCCCCAACACCCCCCCAACCCCCTCGCCCCCCCCCAACACGACTCCCCCCCACCCCCCTCGCTCCCCCCACCCCCTCGCCCCCAATACGACCCCCCCACCCCCTCGCCCCCCCACTTCCCTCGCCCCCCCACCCCCCTCGACCCCCCCCGCGCCCCTCGCCCCCCCCACCCGCCTCGCCCCCCCACTCCCCTCGCCCCCCCACCCCCCTCGACCCCCCCCCGCGCCCCTCGCCCCCCCCACCCCCCTCGCCCCCCCACTCCCCTCGCCCCCCCACCCCCCTCGACCCCCCCCGCGCCCCTCGCCCCCAACACGACAAGCAACCCCCCTCGCCCCCCCCCCACCCCCTCGCCCCCCCACTCCCCTCGCCCCCCCACCCCCCTCGCCCCCCCCACCCCCCTCGCCCCCCCCTCGCCCTCAACACGACTCACACCCCCCCTCGCCCCACCCCCCCCACCCCCCTCGCCCCCCCCGAGCCCCTCGCCCCCAACACGACTAACAACCCCCCCTACCCCCCTCACCCCCAACATGACTCACACCCCCCCTCGCCCCCCCACCCCCCTCGCCCCCCCCACCCCCCTCGCCCCCCCACCCCCCTCGCCCCCCCCTCGCCCCTCGCCCCCAACACGACTAACAACCCCCCCTACCCCCCTCACCCCCAACATGACTCACACCCCCCTCGCCCTTCACCCCCCTCGCCCCCCCACCCCCCTCACCCCCAACCCCCCCCACCCCCAACACGACTCGCCCCCCACCCCCCTCGCCAAATCCTGTGCCACCGCTCGCGCCGTCGCGCACGTGACACAACCACGGAATGGCCGCACGTGGTCGTCGTCGTCGTCCTCCTCCTCCCCCTCCCGGCGTTACACGAGACTCAAGTTGCTCCGACCTCGCCGCCGCCGCCGCCGGTCCTCCTGGGCAGCAGGTCCAGGCCTCGCCCGCCATGGAGAAGTCGCCCCCGGACGGGACGACGACGTCGGCGACGTCGCTCCTCAAGAGGCGCCGCGACGAGCCGGGGCCGAGTGCGCGGAAGAGGAGGACGGCCACCGCTGGTGGGGAGCGTGGAGAGCCCCGGGGCGCCGCACGGGTTCTGTCGATTTGAGAGGGTGGTGGTGGTGGTTATGGCACGGTCAGGGAGGGAGACGCGGTCAGGGTGGACAGGCATGGATAGAAGAAGACGAGCAGCTACGACGACTGTGGTGGGATCGTCCATATCTGTGTTGTAGGCCTCGGGGTGCGGTGAACATTGCCGACTCCACGTGGAGAGGGCCCAGTGGGGCAGGAAGAGGCAAGGGCGGGCTGGGTAGTTAAGTTGGTTGGTAGCTGGGTAGTTAAGTTGGTTGGTAGCTGGGTAGTTAAGTTGGTTGGTAGCTGGGTAGTTAAGTGGGTTAGTAGCTGGGTAGTTAAGTTGGTTGGTAGCTGGGTAGTTAAGTTGGTTGGTAGCTGGGTAGTTAAGCTGGTTAGTAGCTGGGTAGTTAAGTTGGTTGGTAGCTGGGTAGTTAAGCTGGTTAGTAGCTGGGTAGTTAAGTGGTAGTAGCTGGGTAGTTAAGTTGGTTGGTAGCTGGGTAGTTAAGTGGGTTAGTAGCTGGGTAGTTAAGTTAGTAGCTGGGTAGTTAAGTTGGTTGTTGGGTAGTTAAGCTGGTTAGTAGTTGGGTAGTTAAGTTGGTTGGTAGCTGGGTAGTTAAGTGGGTTAGTAGCTGGGTAGTTAAGTTAGTAGCTGGGTAGTTAAGTTGGTTGTTGGGTAGTTAAGCTGGTTAGTAGTTGGGTAGTTAAGCTGGTTAGTAGCTGGGTAGTTAAGTGGGTTAGTAGCTGGGTAGTTAAGTTGGTTGGTAGCTGGGTAGTTAACCTGGTTGGTAGTTGGGTAGTTAAGTTGGTTAGTAGCTGGGTAGTTAAGTTGGTTGGTAGCTGGGTAGTTAAGTTGGTTGGTAGTTGGGTAGTTAAGTTGGTTGTTGGGTAGTTAAGTTGCTTAGTAGCTGGGTAGTTAAGTTGCTTAGTAGCTGGGTAGTTAAGTTGCTTAGTAGCTGGGTAGTTAAGTTGGTTAATAACGGCTCACGAATGTCTGGGATGAGCAACGGGTGTCGTAATGGACGTTGGTGGAGGGGCATGGTCGAAGCGAGGATGAAGGAGAGAAATGACTGAGGTTTGTGGCATGAGCTGGGGCAAGGAAGGTGGCCAAGTGGCAAGTTGCTGAGGTCGCAAGGCCGGGATCGGTGTGTGTAGTAGGAATCCGATGAGCTAGAAAGCTCTTAGAGATGTACAATAGGGGCGGGCGGCTCAGGACGTGACGACAACGAACGATGCATAGACACGGTAGGGGAGTGCAAAGTATGGAAAAGGTAAAGCTGAAACTTGTTCTTATTTCACCAGGTAAGGCCCAGCCCACCTGAGCTTTATAGCTGTCGCTTTATTGAGAAGCGATCTGGTCAATAATAACAACCACAAATTGATAGCTTCGACGAAGTGGCTTTTAACACGTGGACATTTATAGCGGAAAAAATCATCTAAATCATCCAAACGCGCGTTGATTCTAAATGTGTGCAGTGATGGGATGGGAGAGAACCCCCCCCCCCGGCGTTAGGGGAGAGGGCAACAAGAACGGGGCCAGACTCGTGGCCTCGAATGTTGGTGGCGCCATTTCGTTCTCGTGGTTTTTCCACGTGGCCTGCTATTGACGATGCGTGGTGGGTGGCGACGGACAGGAGCGAGCCAGAGGGGCCTTCTTCCTTCAATCCAGTTAGGGATTGCGCATGGAGGATGATGACCATCATAATGATGAAATAACCATTATCATGACGATGACCATAATCATGACGAAGACCATCATCATGAAAATGGCCATCATCATGAGTGCCACCAGGGTGGTGTGAAATGTTATCTCCGTCGTCTGGGTATGCAGGAGGCCTTTGGGTTTGATCCCAACCCAGACACTTGTATATTTGGAGTCCGCGTCTCTCTCTCTCTCTCCCCATCCCACACCGATAATCGACATCACGCGTTTAAGAGTATTTTGGCTGCTGTAAATTTCCACGCGATAAGCCACTTCGTTGAGCTATCATTTGTGGCCAGGTCGCTTATGAAAAATATCGACACATTATAGCTCAGTGGGCTCTGCTTGGTAAAATAACAACGTGTATTCATATTCCTGGGTCTTTTTGTTAGTTTTTGTTATTTTATTTGAACCTATCTACGTGACGTTACCGAAAGACCCAAGAATATGAATTCCTGCAGTCACGAAAGCTTTAAGTCAAGATGTTAAAGTGTATTCGTTATGATGATGAAGATTAGGGATTGCAAGTACAAGCTGCTCGTCTGGACCTCGGTAAGTGTGCTGGTGGTGTTGTCGGTAGTAAATTAACTGCAGTTGAATGTGTTTTATCACCATGCTGTGGTGTAAATGTTGAAGTTATGAACTGAGAGCCAGATGATGCCAAATCACTTTTGCATAACATTCGTGAAGCAACATGCGAGTTGAGGTATTTTTTTAAAAAGTAAGGTGTAACGACTTACAACGTACTTCCACTGTATAACAATCTTTTAAAATTACAGTCCTTTTAAATAACTTTTAGCAATTTCTTTTAATTGTGAATACAGTATCTTGAGTGTATCACGGTGAGGCGTTGGATACCTGTCGTGGCCAGGGCTTTCAAACGAAAACATACAGCAGTCGATGTGGACAGCACAGTTTTGTTGGCTTTGTATGGTCTGGTTGATGTACTATACATCATGTAGTGTTAAGAAAACCATGATTTGAAAGCTATGCCCCGTTGTCAATCTTGTTTGCGATGTAAGTGCCAGAGTATATACCAGTCAAGCGAGGTGATGGTGCCCATTTCACGTGTTGCGGTGACGCTCCAAAAGCAAAACATAATTGTGGCCAAATCAAGGTGAGTACTGCACAGTGTACTCATCTTTTCCATATAAATCTTGGTAATGCATTAATTAGTACAGTAACTTCAGAATGAAGTACATTGTAATAGTTTGTTCGTGTTTTTTACTTAAACAGCAAAATGCAAACAGTACTTGCAAGCGTTGGAATAAGAGACGTTCAAAGTGTTCAGCAGGTAAGATCAAGCCTTATAACTGGCACACCAAGCCATATAATGTATTATTGGCCTATGTGAACATTGCAACTTGTTCTAATATAATTTTTTTATTGTTTTTTACTCTCCAGGTATTGAGTGCCCTGTAAACAATCTAAAAGATGAATTGGCACACCTGCGTGTGGAGGAATTTGAGGAATCCATAAATTTACCTCTCATAGCGGTAAGTTCTGAAATTTACTTAAAAGGCGAAGGGAGAAGAAATACCACTGGTGTCCATTGTGAAACTCGGACACAAAATGCCTGTGAACGTGCCAGTGACACGGGTATTGAAACTGGAACTTTGACTTGCCACCGAGAGGACCATATCAACACCGAGGTCTTTCTTGAGATCCAGATATTTGATATATTGCAATTACTAGACATCGAAGAAAAACTTAAGATTAAATTTCCCAAGATTTCGTTATACATTAATAAAGAAAAGTGTTCAGTGATGATGTGTGGAACACCAGATGGTGTGAATGAAGTTGACATGGCTCTTAAAATGGAAGTATCAAACCTGAAAAACATTCACTTGAACGTGTCCAACATGATGATGACCTTCTTGGGTGGCTTAGATATGGATGACTTTTGCAAAACCTATTTCCATGAAAAACACATTAATGCCAAATGTATTATTGATGGGCAGAGCGTCATTATCCTTACAACTCAAGAACATGCGCAAATGGCAGAAGATCAGATGAAAAATATTCTGCGAGAGGTCCCTTTTTTGATTCCACAAAATTCAAAACATGCCACAACAACTCCAAAATGGAGAAACTTTATTGAAGAGATCAAAGGCACACATAGTACTTTCAATGGTATTCTAAGTGAAGTTTTTGATGGAGTTGGTTTCTGTAGTGAAGTGGTCTTGGTAGGGTTTGAGGCCTATGTGAAAAGGGTATTCAATATGTTAGAACATTTTTGCAACATTAATGCATATACTGAGAGGCATGTTCCTGTAACCTCTCTCGAAGTAATTGAATATTTAGACAGTATTACAAATTTTTCTGAAAACCCAATTTTCCAAAACAACTTGCAGGTTAACAAGCAAGAAACAGGTTATTTAATTTCAGGTCATCCAGATAGTGTAAATGCAGTGGAGCATTATTTAAAAAATTTGATTGTCAATGTCTTTGTCGAGAAACTAGACATTAGTTCACCAGGAGCTTTAAAAACAGCACAGAAAGAGGAGAAAAGAGTCCATGACATTTGCCAGGACAAAAATTGTCTACTGAAAATGGGAATATCTATCAACAAAGGTTCCTTATGCTTAGGACAAGATCTTGAGTGCATTAAATTGCTGTCTGCTGGTCGTATTGTATACATTTACACTGGGAACATATTGGTCCATTGTGTTGATGCCATTGTGAATTCAAGCAACATTTATTTGAAGCACATTGTGGGCCTTGCCAAGGCAATAAGTGATGCGGCTGGTCCTGATGTTCAAAGAGAATGTGACGAACACATCCGTATTTGGGGAGAATTGACGGCAGGGGATACTGTCGTGACAAGTGCTGGTAGACTTCCATGCAAGAACATTATACATGCCGTGGTACCTTGCTGGAGTGAACATATGAAGGTTCAGAGGCTTGACTCCCTTAGGAAAGCAGTAGCTAGCTGCCTGGAAATTGGAGAACGTGAAGAATATAACTCTGTTGCCTTTCCAAATCTTGGTGCCGGAATGTTTGGCATTCCTCTCGGTGTTTACTCGGACATCGTGGTTGAAGTCATCATCCAACATTGTAATAAAACCAAGAACGTGGAAAACAAGCTGAAAAGTTTTCATATTGTTGACATTGATCAGGAGGTGTCTCAAGCCTTTAAGTCTGCTTTTGAGAATAATTACAGTTTTGTCCAGCCCATCAGTCCAATACGCACAATGACAACGAAAAAAGGAATGAAAATCTCCATTGTGGCTGGCAACTTGGAACAGGATGTGGTATGTTTTTGCAATTTTTAATACATAACATTTTTACATTCGGGTGGAGTGATTGTTGCAGTGGTTGGTGTACTGCATTGAATCTTGCAATTTTGATTATTTCCAACCATGACTATAATATGAGTGGTGTGAGTGATTTCTGAACCGATCTTGGTCTCCGCTCCACCACCATGCACTGACCAGCATGGTGAAGTGTCGTCAAACTACCATGACATGGCATGAGAATACTGTCGCAAACAGTGGATTGACAAAATAACTAAATAATTATTGAAACATTGCTTTGGTATGTATTGATCAAATATTGTATTGTCTGAATCATGAGTATATTTGGATGCACTTAATTAAAAAAATCGGTGGTATTTCAATGAAACCCTACAAAATAGAGTACATAAATTATGTTCTGAGCATATCAGCACATCACATATGAATGTGGTGTTAATGCCTATTGACCATTGGAACCTCCTTTACCAGTAGCAAAATATGATAATTGTGTTTTTTACCCGTTTTTCTGGCAACAAAACTGACACCTTTTTTACAAGGAGACATGTTTGCATTGACCACAATACCTGCGGTCGAAATGCAAACAAAAACACGACTCTGATAATGTATGCACTGTCCTTGAAATTGATTGGTTTACACCCGAGATAGCTTTTCTTAGAGCCAAAAGGGGCGTCATCTGGTCCAACACCATGTGAGACTAGGCTCATTAAAGGCGCGTCATCTGGTCCAACACCATGTGAGACTAGGCTCTAGGAAAAGCTGTCTCGGGTGTGGACCAATCATTTTCAACGACATTGCATACATTATCAGAGTCGTGTTTTTTTGTTTGAATTCCGACCGCAGGTATTGTGGTCAATGCAAACATGACTCCTTGTTAAAAAGGTGTCAGTTTTGTTGCCAGATAAAAGGGTAAGAAACCAATTATCAATTCCTATTGAGTTTTGCAGCAAGACACTATTTGCTGTTTAATATTGTTTATTCCTGAGTAAAAAAGTACTTAGTTTTACTTAAGTTTTTTCCTGATTGTGTAATTTCTTGAGAGAAAGTATCTATTCGGACCTTTTGCAGAGCAGTGGAATTCGCCATGTGAGAGCATGGCCCACAGATGCAAATATCAAAGAACTGTCTGAAATGCCTTCAAATGACCTCTGGTCGACACTAGTGGGGGTTTTACTTTCCCACCCATTCTGCCACAGATCGATGTTGTAACAGTTTAACCTATATTTGTTATTCATTTAGCTGAAATATTGTCTAATTAAGTGCAGAACCTAATTTATGTTTTTTGTTGTCGTCGTTAGTTACCAGGCTGTGGCCATCAAATCAACTCGCTAGACTTGAGGATCCATCATAGGCATTGCCTGTATTTGATACCAGGATTCTCAGCAGTGCCAGCCAAGAGCACTGACCTCACTCAAGTCACCCCATCCTTTGCTGTATTTTTTACTTTTTTATTGCAGTCGGATGTGCTCGTCAACATTGTGGATCGCAGCATGTGCCTTAATTGTGGTGTGGTGTCAAAGGCATTACTGAAACAGGCTGGGCCAGAGATGCAAGCCATGGTCACTCTGCAAAGCCAAGGCAAAGATGTAACAGATGGACAGATTGTTGAAACGGACACATTTGGCTGCAACTTGGCCTGCAAAAAAGTCTACCACACAGTGCTTCCGCAGGTTAACTCCAAAAACCAAACATCGCAGGTGTGTGATGCTTTTTAAATAAGTTTACCTCTTTTAACCCAGTGCAGTAAATATTGAATTCCTAACCTTTCAAGATTAAGAAAATATTCTTCTAGACAAGATTGCAAACAAAAATCGTATAATCCTAATTTGTTTTTGTGAAAAAAAAGTGCACAAGTGATAGATTTCATGGTATAGGTGTCATTTCCATTCAAAAGAGTACAGAAGATGCCAAAAATGTACGATCTAATCGTGAAGCTCTATCTAATTCATAGGTTATTGGTTTGCAACTGTTCCTAAAATCCATGGCACACTGGTGAATTAAAATCACTTCTATGGACCGCATAGCACGATCTGTAGACGTGGGTGTGCGTAACACGGAGCTGCAGGGAAACGCAGAGGAAAGGTGTTTTGGATCTACACAGACTAGCTGTGCGGATGTGATTTGTTTGTAAATGATTTCTGCATTTTTCAAGTCTTAACAAAATGAAAAAATACTTTTTATCTTAGAGCCACGTGGCAGGTTTGCACCATTTGGGTCTTTAAAAAAACCTGTGAACTCAAAACACGCAGGTTTTTCATTAATTAATGTATCCACTTGTCTATGCCGTCCTTCCCCTATACTCTGCAAAGTAACGGAATTGCTTGCCTTTTCTCCCTCAGTGCGTGGGGCAACGAGTCTGAAAATTAGTTTTTCCATTACAGGCAGTCCTCGGCTTACGAACACCCACACTTAGGAACCAACTTCCATGAAATGTATATATTTTTTCACATTGACGTGACCTCGCACTTGCAAACTGAACCACGGAACTATTTTGTTCAGTGGAGCGATCCTCTGTGAGATGTAAGGAGTCAGCCTCGCGCTTCGAGTGTGTGAATGTGAGGGGGGAGCGGTCGTGTAGCTGTTAAGCGCTCTGCACAAACGAAAGCGCCTATCCGAGTTCGATTCCCGCTCATGGCCAACACCAGTGACCATTATCTGAACTGGTCATGGGCCTCCCCTAGGTCGACTTGGCCTCAAATTAGTACCTGGTATGGTATGTAAACATCGCCACTGGGGAGACAAAGGCGGCTGGGCGTAGTGCTGTACCACTCACCCCCTCGTGTGCCATTCTGGCCTCCATAGGCTCGCAAACGGCGCTTGCCCCAACAGCCTGTTCAGGCCATATATGGGATCCTTGGTGTTTGTGTGCAATTTTGGTGAATAATTGTCATCACAATTGCAAGACCGCATCAGGACTTGTGATAAGTGAAAATAAAATAGTTTTTTTCTATTTATTTTACTTAATATTTTATTTACTGTATAGTATTTGTTTAAAATTACATTCATATTACAATATTTCTTATGAGTTTAACAATGCTTCCCTTTCAACTAACAAATTTCATTACTATACTTTTTGGTTCTTTCGGTAAAGTCACGTAGGTAGAAAAATTAAATAAAAATAATAATATCACGACGCTTCGATTGCAACACAAGCGGTCGTCCTCAGGTGGAAAAAAAGACCACCTGCTTGCCCTTGCAGAGCTCTCTCGCTGCTTCAGCAGTTCCACTGCTGGATGATTATTTTCCACCTGAGGACGACCGCTTGTGTTGCGATCGAAACGTCGTGATATTTTTTTTTTCTACCTACGTAACTTTACTGAAAGAACCAAGAGTATGGATTCCTGCAGTCACGAAAGCTTCGAAACATTTAATTACTGACCATATGGGCATTTAAATACAGTATATTATTGTGTTCTGACTTACGAACGAGTCTCGTGAACGAATTGTGGTCGTAAGTTTACTGCCCTATTTGGTCGAACCTTCGCAGCGAACTGCCATTTACAGAATCCATGATTTGGTGCCTTCATATCGTCGCGGAGTAATGTTTACGTCCTTATGTTTGGAAAAACATGCAATACAAAAAAACGATTGGCCAAAGTTATTGTGGGATCTTTTTAACGTTTCCACCTATTCAGAGTTTAAGTTAATTGAGTTTTTAAATGGGTTATGAAAATTGCTAAATCGAAAATGCTAATTGTGTGCTGTACTCTGGCAGGTTGTTAGTAAAATTATGAAAAATTGTTTGGTGATTGCTGGAACTGCAAGCTTTCGGAGCATCTCTGTGCCTGTCCTGGGCATGTGGAACCTGGGGTATGATGTGAAATCCGTGGCAGAGAGCATGTTCAGTGAGGCTGTCGCGTTCAGCAATGCCAGTGATGGCACAACATTGCAAGAAGTGCGGTTTGTATTAAATTCTCTTAAAGAACACACCATGAAGGTAAGTTAAGTCGTAAATTGGCATGCATATTGTATACATTCTCATTTTATTTGTGCTCTTTAAAAGTTATTTGAAGCATGTTTTGAAGTGAATAATTTTTGTTTGCTAGGTGTTTGATGCTGAGATGGATGACTACCCCAGCAAATCAGGTTTTGTCTACATTCTGTATATAAAACGCAACTACGTGTTCAGTTAATATTTTATGCATTAATGTGGTATATGGGTCCATTCTGAATGATATAACAGTTTACATAGCGATTTAGGAATTGTTCAACAATGCATCATAACGCATGTATGTAGCACACTGCTATTTGTGTTGTAATAACCATTTCTGTCGACATACTATAAACAGTGACCATGAAGAAAAGGAAGTCTGCTCGTATCTCTGTCGCACTGAAAAACAAGCAGACGGCTTTCAGGTGTTCCCTTGGCCCATCATTTGACTCGGGCAAGTCAGAATTGAGTGCTTTTAAAATGTCACGTGAGAATGTGTCTGTTCAAGGCTGTGCTGCGTGTCTCTCAAATGCTTTTTTTGGGGTGTTCCATGTGTAGTTTGGTAAGATGCCTAACGTGTTGTGCTCCATCTGCAGGGAGCTTCAGTTAAATGAGCTTCAGCACGAAAACACATGGGGGATCTAATAATGGGATCTAGTAATGGCCACCGTTAGGTTTTGTGAACTCATTGTCGAAGCTTTTTGAACGCCAGTGTGAGGTAAAGCAAGTTTATGTGCGTTGTTGATTTTAACTTGCACAAGTGTCTTGTTTGATTTGTTTATGCAAAAATAAAACCCACAGGCAACCCTGTAACTAGGAGCATAAATGGGGTTTTGGTGGAGGTCAAGCATGGAGATATCATACACGAGACTTCATATGCGATAGTCAACATCACCTCCGAAACATCTGGCAGATCAAACGGTTGGTGTAGCACCCCACTAACCTGTTTGCACTCCAAGCTTTTGGATAATCTAGCTCTGCTGTTCTTTACTCCTTGAAAAAATATATATATTTGTTTTCTTGTACAGGGATCACCGATTCAATCATGAAAGCAGCTGGCTGGGTGGCAGAAAAAAAATCTAATCTTTGGAGTAAGGAATATTTTTTGTATACACAAGTACACGTATCATTTTGATTTTATTTCAGTAAACTTAAACATACACACTTATAAGCATATACGTGTAAAAGGTTTCCGTTTTATTCCAGTTATAAAGTAACATTGGTCCTCGAAGCTGATCACTGAATTTATATTTTAGTTGAAAAAACAATCCATATGTATGCAGAGAAGCATAACTTAGACTCTTTGGTTCTTCTGGTAAAGTCACGTAGATATAAAATAACATTAATCACGACGTTTCGATCGCAACACAAGCGGTCGGCCTCAGGCGGAAAAATATAATCCAGCAGTGGAACTGCGGAAATAGCGAGAGAGCAGTTACAACAAGAGGCTATATATGTGGCGATGGGCAAGCAAGCGGGGTCTGAGCTGGAAAGGAATTCCACCCCCGGACGCAAGCACGTCAGTTGTGTTAATGGGGGATTAGGGAGAGAGGGATTAGGGAGGGAGATTAACATGAATGAGTTTCTGTCGCAGCATAAGAGTATCGTGCCCACATATGCGCACAACAGCAGTGTTAATGAGAGATTAGTACTATGAGAGTGCAATCCAAGGATGTGAACATGAGAGTGCAATCCAAAGAGAGACATAGAATCGGAAATAACAGCTGACATAGGCAGGTAGGATGGACTTTACTTGGTTAATAACGTCCTTCCAATGATTGCTCAGTTTGTACCCATCTTCTCGGTTGAAGTTGTGTCTGTGTTTATATATCTGGATGGCTTCATGAACAAATCTCCGAAGGTAGCCGGTAGGTTTGCAGAGTACCTCCGTCTTGGAAAAATCAATTTCGTGTGAGCCCACAGCGTTAAAACAATGATCAGCAACGGCAGAGGTATTGGTCCTACCGTGTTTCATCTTATTATAAATACTTTTTTTTGGTAGGCCTTGCAATGGATATTTGGGCAGTTCTTTAAAAGGAGTATTTTACATGTGGAAGTAAACTGCCATACCCAGAGAAACCCCACACACATTAGGGGGATAACGCTCCAATATCTGCACAGATGGCTTCAAGAATCAATTGTGCTGCCCTATTCTGTCCACCTTGTAGCCGGGCTGTGGTGACGCATGCCTGCAATCCAGCACTGGTGGTGCAGGTTGGTGGATTACACAAATGTTGCAAAACTGCCTTCCCAATTTGGTGTTAAGGTGGATTATTCTGGATTATGGGAAGGCGGTACAGCAAGTGTGGACTAATATTCTGTCCCATCTATTTGAGATAGAATGTTGCCTCCTTGCATGCGTGGTTTTTTTGCGGGTGCTCCGGCTTCCTCCCACACGCATAAACACAAGTTGTCTGAAAACATCTCGATATAAGAAAAATACCATGCAGGACGCTGCTGAAAAGCAGTGCTTTGGAATTGGTGTAGCTTCTTGGGTAATTAGGTAATGATTTTGTTTGGGAGTTCAAATATGCATGATCCACCAACCATTATCTCTAGAATGCTGGATAGCAGGCATTCACCATCAGAGCCAGCAAGAAAGGTACTGTATTTTTTTTGTTATTCTACTAAGGCATTGAAAAAATACCATTGACAACTTTGTTATACTCAGGCCAAATTGCAAACAAACCGTTGGTGGTCACAAGTGGAGGAGCACTGCATTGCAAACACATCATTCACGTGGCGAACCCAAGCAGTCCTCAGAAGCTCAAAGCCTGTGTGACCAAAGTGCTGCGTATATGTGAGAAGAGGAGTGTGCCGTTCATCTCCTTCCCTGCCATTGGAACAGGTGTGTGCAGGCCTGTGTAATAGTTGCGTAGTATTTGCACAGTAAGAACTTGTCTTAACTATGTCGTCATATAAATTCAGCATTCTAATTATGTTCAGTTGCAGAGAGCAGTGTTACAGTAATGCGTGTTTACATGTAGTTCATCCAGCAAGGAAGTATTTTCTATAGGGACTTGCCAAACTATGGAATCTGATGAAAACTGGACAATGATATTCACTAGACACTGTGACGACATAAAAAAACTGGATTATTAAAATCATAATTCATTGCAGACCGGTGTCCAAATGGTAATGTACAATGAGTGCATCTAAGTTAATTTAATTACTTGTATGCACAATCTTCCAAACTGCATACCATTGTCTTACAAAGCTTCACTTTATATGGCACAGGTATCTTGAAGTATTTTTATAATGAAAATATTAACGTTAAGGTATTGTGCTATGTACATTTCTGTTACAGGAAAAATGGGCCTCAACCCAGCTGTGGTAGCAGATAAGATGTTAGGTGCCATCGAGCAGTACTCTGAATCTTGTCAGAAGGGCTCCGCTCTTTGTGGCGTACGGATCGTCATCCTCAGGAAGGAGATGCTGCACATTTTCCAGGAATCTCTGCTTGATTGGCAGCAGTCTACAAGTCTGCCTTCATTAGATGGTAAACTGTATTATAATCGCATGAATGTTTGAATTGCACGAATTGTTAATATTTAATTAGCTTGTTCTCAAAATGTTGAGCATGTATAAATAAGGTCTGCAAAATCCGTGCTTTGGGCACCACCATTGCAGGTTATAAAGGCTATGGGGCTACATAGTGCACAGCATAGGGGAAAGAGCAGCAAAATAAAGTCGCACGTAACGTAAGTATTGACTAAAAGACAAGTGTTTCATTGTACGCATTTCACTAGTTGATGACGTTTAAATGCTGTTGAACAAATCGCCCAGAATGTGCCTGATCTTGAAAGCCAGATGAAGGGGTTGTCGATTGCTTTGATGGGCCCACTACCTATAAGCACCCACAATGCATAGCAGGTGGTGATCGGCTGTGGGCTATGTGGTGGGCAGCATAGGGAAGGGTACCACAATCCATTGTACTGTATTTCTACGCTCCCATAACCTCGACTTGCCAAGCTTCACTGATCAGTGTGGTATAGTTTGGTCAAATAACCCCCACAACCCAAATGGTACATGAAGGCCCTCTTCTTGCAGTGGATTGACAAAAGAGCTTTACATGTGCATATTTGATCAGCATGATTGGGAAGTGGGCCATTTAACTTGGCTCCAAATCTGTTTATTTGCAGTCCAAGAAAGAAATGTTTTCAAGGACATGTTTCGCATTCAATATTGAGTTACACTTTGAAATTAGATTTTACTTTCCTATTTAAATTGACATTGTCTTGTCTTCAAGAATGTGCAAAAGTTGAAACATCGTTTCTGTACATCTCTACAGAAAGCCCGAGTTCTGTCATGGAAACAAGACCAAGGGACATGAATTCCAGGTTTGCAGTTCATCCAGCTCACCTGCACATTTATGGCAAATCCTGGCAGAACGTGTCGGAAGCTGCAAGAGAAGTGACGGATATCATCAAGGGAAACCTAACGTGTGTCATAGTAGAGCTGAAGGATGTGACCTTACGGCCCAAGCATTACAGGGAGCTTGAGAACATGGAGATTAGCTTGGGTGTTCGCATCACGGCTGCACCCACCCACCTCTCTGTGGAGGGGACCAAAGACGACGTGCCGCTGGCAAAACTTCACATCTTGCTGTTGCTGCAAGAAGCCAAAGGTATCTTATTTAACAATTTTCTCATTTACATGCTTATTGTAACTTTGCTATGACAGTTACTTGTAATTTGGCGCATCCTGTGAGATATCTATAAGCAGGTTTGAGCCTGGATACTGCTGAGATGGGTGACCATATAACAAGTCGTTTAAGGATGCTGTGGGACAATGTTGCTAGTCGGGTGCGATGCAGAAAAAAAGAATTGTATTCCACGATGTTCAAACTTCTGCTCCTCATCTTCTGTTACTGGACAGCAATTAGAAGTATGACATGGGAAGGCCATCATAAAAGTGTTTTGAAAAGAGGGCTTTACATTTATTTTCGTATTTAATAGCCCTTGCAAAGGATCTTCAGTGTATTTGTCTCCCTAGTGATAGTCAAAGAATGTTGATTCTGTTTTACTTTAGCTTAAGTTTATTGCATTGTGTCTCTAAGTTTACTATGTTGTTTTTTTCTCATTCATTCTTACCTGATGACGGTTGCTTGTGTTGCAATCTAAACGTCCTATTCTATTATTATTTGATTTGATTTTCTACGTGACTTTACCGAAAGAACCAAAGAGTAATTCCTGCAGTCACGAAAGCTTCGAATCTAGTTTATTCTACTGTTTGCAAGTGTTACATATTTTTAAACCTGTTTCTGTTGTGTGCATGCACTATACAATTCACAACAATGGGAGGTGTGTCAAAGGGACCATTGGAGAGTTTTTATTTTATATGGGAGGCAGTGGTTAGTATGAGATTAGAGCAGAGGGGAAGTACATTTTAAGGTTCTCTGAAAGTTTTCGGCATAAATTGGTGCCATCTTAAACTATTAATTGAAATCGAGTCTCTATTTTTCAGAAAACAACATTCCAGTGCACTGGGATGACATGGGTCAGGAAAAATTTGCAATGGTCCCACTTGTTTCAGCAACACCTGAATATAAAGATGTTGCTGACCTCTTCAACAAAAATGGACAATTTAACTACAGAATTGCAAAGGTGAAACATCTATGTATATCTATTTCAATAAAATGTGTTTGTATTTTTAGAAAGCATTTCCACATTTGGTGTTTAAGTGTAATTAACGTGTGTCCATGTGAATGTAAATTGTGTTTTAGATTGAAAGGATTCAGAATATAAACCTGTGGCAAGGTTATCAGCTGCAAAAGAAAATAATCACCGACGAAATAAAGATGGATACCGAGCGACTGCTTTACCATGGAACATTCCCATGACGTCTGCAACAACATTAGCCGCAATGGTTTTGACCGTGGCTATTGCGGCAAAAACGGTAGTTATGACTTCGCGGGTGTTTGAGGAACTGGACAATGAAATCTAATATTCTTTAGTCGAACTTAAAATCAAGCAATTAAAATGTGTAGTTTTATTTTTACATTTACAAGTATTGCTGCAATTAAGATTTAAATTAAACAAATTACGTTAAATATGACGACTCATTTTTCAAATATGGTACAGCAAATTTCTATTAGATTTTGTTTAGTCTGCAGGAGTTAGATTAAAATTGTAATGGAAAATCGCACTTTAAGTATATAAATAGTTTTTTTAAGGAAACCTAACTTTAAGTGAATCTCAAAACTTGTTGGACAATACATGTATCTTGTATTTACTAAAATGTTTTTTTCTCGCTCATTTCTTCAGCCTGGGCATTTGGAAAGGGGACCTACTTTGCGATAGATCCCGAATACTCTGCCAATGACCTGTTCTCAGGTGCCAGACGCCACTGGGCTGAAGATGGTGTTCCGCGCACGCGTGGTCACTGGAGACTACTGTGTAGGGATTCCCAGCCTGAACACACGTCCCAGAAAGCCTGGCCAGGATCCCAGCTGCCTGTACAACAGCTCCGTCAACTGTGCAGTCGACCCAAAAATCTTCTCTATCTTTCATGATTGTCAAGCGTACCCAGAGTACTTGATCACATTGAAAGGATGATTCCACACAATTTAGTGGTGTATATCATTAATGTACATGTTCTGTCGCTGCATTAGCTTGTTTTTGGCATGCAAACCCCCATTTAACTGTAAACATGCTAATTTGATAAGATTTTGATCTATTAAAAAGTTTGATTCTGGTACGAGAATTAATATACTGTTTGGTTAGTTAGAGTTTTGTTCATTGTTCGGAGCACGTAATTGGTTACATTTTAGTACACATACAATAACTGCAATGTTTGTCCATTTTTTGTATGCGTTTCAAAGTCGAGCCTTAAACATAAGGATGCCTTTTATTTCAGTCCAGGACAAGTCGTTTATTGAATATAGGCAATGGCGTGTATTTGATCACAATTAAACTTTGTTTGGCCTAATAGGTCATGGCCATGATCTCGGATCATTGAGACCTATGTTCTCAAACCACAGGTTCAAGGTTCTCGTGGTTATTGAATGTTGCATGCTCTAACCTAGTTAAGCCATATTTCTGTTAACAGGCACTCGCTGAATGAGTAAAAGCCATGGAGCCCTGCTTGGAGCACACGAGTTGTAATAAAAAAAGATTGCGAGTTAAATTCTTGTTAAGTGGTCAATTTTGTCTCGCATGTAGGCAGGATGGTGACTTGGGTAGGTATTCATCCAGCAGTAGATTGCTTGATGACGGGAAGTGGTCCTGTACGTACGGTGCGAAACATACAAACTTTACCATCATGAGAAGTAGGAATTTATACTGGCTCGGCTACCAACATCTAATTTGAGCATAAGGCAGGGAACCACGTTGGATTGACTAAATTTTGCATAGCAGCGCCATCTGTCCTCTGGATAGGGTAGGTGCTATTGCTGTAACTTATTTGTGGCACCGGCTATATTTGTAGTTCGTCATTGCGTCCCGGAACAGAAGTGGGAAGTTGGAGAGTTTCGTTTCGAGTGCGTTTCAAGACGACGCTTGGGTTAATTGTGTTTGTGTACCGTCGAACGAGATGGGCAACATCGCGTAGCCTAGCTGATGTTACTGTTAGAAAGTTTAAATCAGGCGTTAAGGTGCAGGGTCGAAAGTAGCAATTACTGATTGGTAAAAGACATCGACACATCCATTGGTTTACAGTATTTGTAAGTTCAGCATATAGGGGAGTGGTCTAGACTGCATGAGTGTTGGCGATCATGGCTGCAGCAGCCATGGGCATTCGGGACCCGACGTGTGGGATGGTGCTGCATGTTGAACCTCAAAATAGTGAATTCGCTTACAAATTAGCACAGTTTTTTCAAAGCCGAAACATTAACACTTCCATATCGTCAGATTTCAATCGACGAATAATATTCGTTCACTTTAGATCCGGCGCAGGTGAGTTACTTTACATTTACAATCTGGTATTACAGCACTATAATACTACAGTAGTATTCTGTACAGCCTGTGTTCTTTTATCTCAATGCGGTTGTCTCAAGATTTAACTTTTGGTGGCACCGTGAACACAATTGCGCCCTCTGTCTCTTGCTTAAAAGTCGCGTCTCAAGTGTCGCCACCGTGGCGTTTGTCGCTCAAGCTTAGCGACTTGGGTTTCGCTCGCAACTAAAAGTCGGAATATAGCCACTTTTACTGCAGATAATGCTGATTTGGGGACAATTTGTGCTTTCACTAATGCTGGGTAAATGACGTTGACAACTTTTCGAAAGTCCCCTTAAATACCTACCGACTTGATATTCAATTAAAGCAGTTGGCTGCACCGGAAGGGTCCGCCCGACCATAATTGGTGTGGTCAGGACATGACCCCGAGATTAGTTTTGGATTAAAAAAAAATCCGCTTGATTTATTTTAAATGTAAGATTTGCTTGGGGATCATTTTACATTCAATAATTAAACGTGTTCACGCTCACAAGTTTTAATCGCAAGGCGTCTGAAAAAATACTGGACATCTAAAAAAGAGCTTTGCAGCTCATCGGATTTCTTCAGTGTAATTCAATATTCTGACGTGTAGCTGCATTCCTTATGACGTCACACTTTAAGGTCACGTGGAATTTCGTGTCGAGGCCACGTTCGATTTTTCGGATTAACCGGAAACATCCCTAAGTTATATGCGAAAGTGGCTGTTTACACTCATTGCTGAATATAAAAACGGCATTGTAAGATCACAAGGTAAAATACGTGCATGTACGTGACTTTTCGATTCGTCAAATTGAACACGGGTAACATTTCATATGCCATTGATTTCTAAAAGAGCCTGCATAGTTCACATTTCTCTTTGCATCATCAACGGCTCAAAACACGTTCCTTCGGAGTGGGCAGGTAGGAACTTGGTTGGACAGCGCATTCGTGCACGACAGACACACAAATAATCCCTGGTGGGCAGTGTGGAACCTGTTGTTCCTACCTGTATAAAAGATAACTTGACTTGAGGAAGCCAGGCAGCCAGCCAGGTAGCCAGCCCCCTTAACTATCGGCCCCTCCCCTTGCTTAGGCCCCTCCCCTTACTCCCCCCCTCCCTTAGGCCGCTCCCCTGACCCCCCCTCCCTTAGGCCCCTCCCCTGACTCCCCCTTTCCTTAGGCCCCTCCCCTGACCCTCCTCCCTTAGGCACCTCCCCTCTCCGTACCCGGCAGTAGGTCTCCACCAATCAAAGAGCTGTTTATATTATATATATTTATGCACGACAGACAGACAAATAATCCCTGGTGGGCAGTGTGGAACATTGTTCCTACCTGTATAATAGTTGGTTTAATAGTACTGGAAAGTGCTCTTTGCGTCAACTTCCGACGATGGCAAGACATAAAGGTCGACCGTAGCAGTGGTGCTAAAGCACAAACACCACCAATTTCATTATTTTAAAATATATAAGTGAACGTCATGGATCAAGGTGAAATGAAAGGGGCAGGGACACATGGGAGAGCGAAACACATTATGGCGTATGGCCAAAGAGGCCACAGAAGTCACACCACATTCATCTTCAATACTGTGCTTATAACAGAAGGTAGACATTACTGTATATGTAATAATTCGTAGGCAATGTAGCCTTCAAAAGAGAATGCTAATTTTACCACAAGTGCAAACTTTGTTTTTGATGAATTGATGCTCATTACGTTACTATTCAGTAGGAATCAAGGCCGTAATTATATGCTCAAAATGTCCTCCCCAATATATTGCTATAGAATAGATTTCTGTTAATATGATTGTGGTTATGGTTGTATTTTATTAATCCCTAATCTCTGCCATTACATACAATGAAAAAAAGGGTAAAAGAACAGCAATGTAATACAATACACTATTATTAGACAGTATTGTAAAAAATATATAAAAAGTCCATCTTATGTGTTGGATATTTTTTTTATATTTTAGGCAGGAAATTCGTCCCCCCCCCCCAATGTTGACTCCATGGCTATGGCCTTGGTAGGGATATTCAATTTTTTTGTTATAAATCCGAATATCCGTCGCAGATATGAAATGTTTGGATTATCCAGAATTTTCTCCCCTGATTGTTTCGAAAGTATAACGTCGCATCTTGTACTTTCGTACTTTTCCTGACAAAAAGTGGTATCGCGTAATAACATATTCTAAGTTGCCCTTCAAAATCAGCAGTTTCCATCTGAAACAGACTGCATCAGCTACGGAGTTGGGGCAAACTGTAAAAACAAAATCAATGTCTCCTTCATATCTATCTCCACAAACATAAAAAAAGTATTTCTTACACAGCCCATCAGCCGCAGGCCCTTCTCGGTGTGCATAATTTCAGAGATCGCTCGATGATGCTGGATGTAATTACCAGCGAAACGTCGTCTTCAAATTGTAAATGTTGTGGATTTACTCCAACACACCGGTGGGCTGAAGTAGTAACTAGCGCGTTGTTCACGTGACAAACCTGACTGGCTGTGGAGGGTTACGACACATTTATACTTACGCGATCTAACCCAAAAAAAACTTTATTATGAACAAATGTCTTCTGTTTGCCATTCTCCAAAAGAACGCGATTACATGTTGCACGACAAAGAGCTTCTGCGAAACGTGAGAGTTACTCGGCTCGAGGAGTACCTGGGCCACCACTTGTCCAGGCGTGAAGCCACAGAGACAACTTCATCACAATGGGGGGTGCCCGCAGAAGTTCACGGCACCTCTGGCCATGCCGCATCAGGACAAGTAAAGTCTCGCAATAGCACTGCTACTAATTACTGCATAAGCGTGTGTTTCAATTATAACATACCATAGGCAAACACTGCATACCTATATTGAATGTGTATTATTAAAGTACCCATGCATGCATTATTAACCATTGTACAAAAATCCACGTACTCTATGCTTTTGGCAGAATAAAATATTAATTGCACTCCTCTCATCGTCAATACAATGTGTAACGACTTGCAGTCATCTGAGATGAGGATATTGGTCAATGTAAGAGCAAACCGTGATCGATAGACGGTCGTTGTTTGGTTAGATGATGAGTATGAATATGGTGCTGTATTGTAAAATGCGTATTGTGTATATTGAACATTGTTGCCTATTTTTTCCCCCCACAGCAAACTCCGGCATCAATTCAATTTGTGTCTGCAACCGTCCTCGACTACATTGATGAAAAAATACAAACTGATGACATCTCAAGAAAAGAAAGGGTTACATTTCAGAGTGATAAAACAAATATGACGATGACAGTATTGGGAGGGAAACAAAATATAATTTCTGCAACACAAAGTGTCTTTGCAGCTTTAAAGGATGTTGCTCATCACGAGATTTCTATGGAAGGAATTGATAAGTTAAAAATGTTGAAGGCACATAAAGGAGACATTGCAAAAGACAAAAATAGCAAGATAGAAATATTTCAGAGCTGCAAAGAAGCACACCCCGTTGGAATACAATGCAGGGTGGTCCTGCCAGGTGGCCGAATCCTGTCTGTGTTCGAGGGTGATGTTTTTGAACATCACATTGATGCAATGGTGACAACTGCACCCAATAAAAAGTTGAAAGGCAGCGAAGATTATCCCAAAACTGGAGATTCAGACGTACAGAGGCAAATTGATGAAGTGTTTCGCGAGCGGAGTTTAAAGGAGGGAGCATGTTTCATCACTGGTCCAGGTCACCTGCCTTGTAAAATCATGATTCATGCTGTGGGTCCTCCCTCAAAATATGTATATCCACAAATTGGAATTGAGGAATCTCGTCTTCTAGAAACAATAATTACACTGAGCCTGAGAGAAGCCAATCTGCATGGCTTAAACTCAATTGCCATTCCTACAGTTCTTGCACAGCAATATGGATTTCTTGATGATGCATGTGCTAAAATTATAGTCACTGCCATAGTCAACTTCTGCAAAGATACAAAATATCAGGGTCGCTCTGTCCGTGACATTAGAGTTGTAGACAAAGAAGGAAAGATTGCAAAGAGCATTGCAGACTCTTTAAATAAGACGACTAATAAATTCAAGTCAATGTTGATCTCAGACGCTGTAAATGAAACATTAATGCGATTCACAACCACAACAGGACAATCAGTCGTTCTTGTTCGTGGTTCACTCGAGGAGGAGCAGGTAAACATGTTTAATTGTCATACGCAATAATATCGTAACAAAGGCACACAGACTACGGTATTTACCGTTCTGTTTAAACCATTATGGAGTGGTGGCGCACACTGCGCTATGAACCTGACCACTCTTGAGTTCAGTTCCCGACCAAAGCTCACAGTGGCGAGTCATCTTAACTGGCGATTCCTCAACACCCCCTTCACCAACCCACATTGACCAGCGTGGTGAAGTATAGTCGAACAACCCTGGCGCTGGAAATTGCTGTACAATCATATCTATTTAATTTTTTAAAAGATTAACTTGATTTTAAAATATATTTACTGATACAATTAATCAGCATTAGATATATATATAGGAAAGTATTTAAAAAAATACCTTTTTAGTAAAAAACACGTGGCAGACGGTGGACTTATACAGTCCTGATTTGAATGTTGAACTGATGATCTCGAACTACAGTTGAGAAGTTGTATTGCTAATAATTGTACATGTACAGCACGTGTTTCTGAATACATGTGAACATGTGCAGCCATGTTAATGCAGTTCTGGAAGAAGGGTTCTCCACACTGCGGGTCGTGGGGGTCATTTGCGTAGGTCCGCAGCTTATAACCTGTTGTTCTTGGTCAATCCAATGACTATCCAGGCTGATTTGGTCATAGGCACTGCCGTTATTCTGATGTAACCCAACACGTGGATGTAGTGTTAATTATAGGATATACAGTAGAGTGGTTTAACCTGTTACTGTGCAGGACATTAGCACGTGATACTTTATTGAATTTCAAAGAAAAACTGTCTTGAAATGTATAGTAATGTGGTAAGGGATACAGTACTTGATTATTTCTTACAGTAATTTGTGTCCATATACAGTTTCTTACAAATACAGGTAGTCCCCGACTTACAATGGAGATGCGTTACGACGACCCCATCGTAAGTCGAAAATATCGTAAGTCGAAGATGGCCTAGCCTACCCAGGAGTCTTAAAGAATGGTGGTAATTTAGCAAAACAGAGCAATTTACAGTACCGTACTGTATAAACTATATACTGTATGTATTTATTAATTACAATACTGTATTGCACAGTACAATTTAAAGTAAAAAACAAGGTAAATTATTAGCCTACCTATATGAACTGCAATTTCAAAGAAAGTTTTTTTTCAGGAAACAATCCTATCTGCTATATAAAAAAAAACTTTTAACATGCATTTAACGTATCGTATCGTGGTAACCCTAAAATGAAATCGCTAAAGCTACGTATCATACATGCATTGAACGTATCGTAACGTATCATATTGTACTGCACTCACCAAGATTCTGAAACACAAAAACACGGAAACAAATACACGCGCTAACACCGAGACAACTTAATTCCGTCGACCGCTTGTGAGAGTGAGAGGCATCATCACACAAGGCGTGAGATGCGTTCAGTAACATCCCGGCAGCGTCCCAACGTACGATGCTGCGTTTGCCTGCCGAGCGAAATGTAAAATATTTAACAATTTTGTCATATCGATATCGTAAGGTCGAAATATCGTAAGTCGGACCATCGTAAGTCGGGGACTACCTGTATAGTATGTCGTATGCTGTTACCGTATTCACAAGAGAAATTTCGTACATAGAAAATGCTCATGGTTTTCAAAGAAATATTGTATTTTAGTCATGCTTACGGACACATTTTCCCCATTTGTTTTAGACAAACGTCATTGTGAATTCTACAGGCGAAAAGGGAGAGTTGAAACGGGGTGCCGTGTCGATCGCATTGTTAAGCAAGGCTGGGCCTGATTTACAAAAACAGCTGACTCAACAAATGGGAGGATATTTACTTCAAGAAGGAAGTAGTATAGTTACCACCGGCTGCAACTTGGGATGCACGTTTGTCTACCACGTGATGGTATATAATAAGGAAATAATTACTAAGGAGCAAGAGTATCGTGCACAACTGGTGAGTAAACATACCACGGTATCCTCTGTATTTGTATATTTGTATCAACATTGATATAAAAAAAAAACTTTTTTCATAACCTACATTTAACAAGTATTTCCACGAGACTGATGTTGGCGTCTTATTCGCCAACGTCGTATTCGCAGCCCAAATCGAATAACTAGCTGGGTATCTTAATGGTAAATTGGCCTTGGGGGCCGTCCATAAATGACGTCACGCGATTTTGGACGATTTTTGACCTCCCCCCCCCCCCCCATCGTCACACGGCGTCACAAAAAGTCAGACCCCCCCCTCAAATATGACGTCACAAAGCTCTGCCCCCTCCCCCCCAACATAAAATGTGCTTCAAATCGCTTGAAACTATTGTCATTGTAGTGCATATTTAATGTGCCGCTGCACTCTGATGTTGTAGGAGAAAACATTTATTTAAAAGTCTATTTAATTAAGTAGAACGTTTTGTCTATATTTAAAGTTGCGCATTTAGATGTGACGTCACACATCGTCACAAATGTCTGACCCCCCCCAGGTGCGTGACGTCATTTATGGACGGCCCCTTGGGCCACTAATATCAAAGCATAAATATACAGAGGGTGGCCCTCTGCACGTGCCAATCGATTTTTCGCCCAGTCAAACACGTGCTTGTATCAAAACGGTCGCCAAACTTGGCGTTTAGCCGAGAATATAGAAGGGGGACCCCTCTGTAAATTGACTCTTTAAGATAAATGGCCCAAGGCCATCTTACCACTGAAATACCCAAACTACGAATTAGTTTTGAACAATGCACCTAAGTGCCTGTGCCAAATTTGGTACCGATTTTGACACTGAAATCTGCGTTGGACCAGGGCAAATGATTGGTACTCGTAGAGGGGACACCCCTATGTAGAATTATGCTTTGGGATTCGGGGTCCAAGGTCATTCTATCCATGGATATACTGCATCGATTTATTACATTTTAACAATGCACCTTGGTGCATGTGTAGTGTAGCACAAGTCGGAGACGAGGTAGTTGCAGGAGGCACCTTCTTTATTGACACTCTTTAGGTTCAACAGGTTTGCCTCGTTCCTTCTCGATGTTGTACAGCCCAGCCTAGACACAACTCTAACCACGTTACACTGATGGCGTCGACAGAGACAGCCAACAACTATCCGGCCGCGCAAATATCGAGTGAAGGCGACAGCGACAAAGGCGGCGAAGACGAAAGCGACGACGAGACGAGTCTACTCTCGCTCTCCGCTGCTTTTATCCTACTCGGCGCGGCCTGGCTCTAACCTGGCCTCGCCTCCCTTCTCGAATCCACTAGCGGGTTCCAGAGGCTTCCAGATGAGGTCTTCCGTGACCCTTGCCTCAGTTTCTCCGCCTTCCCAACGGCGTGTGAGCTAACTGTCCACTGCAGTTGCCGCTGCTGGACAGAAGTCGGCGCTATGTCACTACACATGTGCCAAGCACACGTTTTGACACTGAAATCCACGTTAGGTCGTGCAAAATTCGATTAGTATTTGTAGAGGGGTGTCCCCTCTACCAATCTGAAAGCACACATCTGTAGAGGGGTGTCCCCTCTACAGATGTGTGCTTTCAGATTGGTTGGGTAAGACCATTTTATCATTCATATGCCCAGCTACGTATTAATTTGGGCTGCAACTAAGATGCTTGCCGGAACATAATATTAGGGAATACGTGCCAAGTTTGGCACCCGTTTTGACATTGACATCCGTGTTGAGACGGACAAAATTCTATTGGCGCTTGTAGAGGGGTCGTCCCTCTATAGATGTGTCGTGTAATAGCGCCGTCTGTTGTCCAACAACGGCAACTGCGGTGGACGAGCCGTACACACGCCGGGGAGCACTTACACGAGGGTGTGTCAGCAGGGCTGAGGAACTGGGGCAAGGGTCACAGAGACCCCGTCTGGAAGCCCCTGGAACCTGCTAGTGGGTTCGAGAAGGGAGGCGCGGCCAGGGTGGAGCCAGGCCGCGCTGAGTAGGAAAAAAGCAGCAGAGAGCGAGAGCTCATGGCTGCCGGTTCTGGGAAGTGGACTCATCTCGTTGTCTTCGCCACCTTCATCGCTGCCGTCTTCACTCGATAATTGCGTGGCCAGATAGTTGTTGGCTTTCTCGGTCGACGCTGTCAGTGTAACACGTTCAGGGTTGTGTCTAGGCTAGGCTATACGACTCTGTTGACACTACAGATGTATGCTTTGCCACGAGTGGCCCAAGATCATCTTATGATGGAAATCCTCAGCTACTTCAATTATGGTTGCGAATAAGATGCCAACTTCAACCTCATGGTTTTGTCATTAAACTGATTTAACTATTGGAACTCAAAAATGAAATTAACAAAATGTGATATACTAGACATTACAATTAAATTCTTCTTATATGTAGCGATGTTGGGGGTGCTACTGGTGGTCCCATTCGCATTTATTCGTGCCCAGAGACCCCTTTTATCTACACGATTCCGAGTGAGTAACTTTGGCTGATAGGATGAATTTGCCACAACTTCTTGGTTTCTTTTATCTGTGGGTAAGCACAAACAGTACAACTTAAATAGGTTGATCTGGGGCCTCGGATAATAAAAAGAATGGCTAACAAGAGGATAACAGTTTGACTGTCATTTCTACAAATGTATAAACATTTTGGTGTACATTAAGGCACCACAACTATTAAACTTTGACTTCTCAAAAACACTGTCTTGGGATAATTTTTTCTTATACAACTTCTCAAGACTGTAGATGTGCTTCTATTAATGCCTGGCTTATTCAATAACCAACAGATTCTGAAGGACATTGTTAAAACATGTTTGAAGACGGCACAAGACAAGCAACAAAAATCTATCTCTTTCCCAGCCCTTGGAGCTGGAACATTACAGCATCCTATAAAAATGGTGGCAGCCACAATGATCAAATCTGTTATTGCCCATTTCAAGGACTACCCTAACAGCAGTTTGAAAAATGTTAGGTTTGTACTCTATCCTAAAGATTATGAAACAATCAAAGTAAGTACGACATACGAGAGATGTTATTTAATTAAATCTTGACTTAAAGCTTTCATGACTGCAGGAATTCATATTCTTTGGGTCTTTCGGTAAAGTCACGTAGATAGGTTCAAATAACCTATCTATGTTCAAAGAACCTATCCACCGAAAGACCCAAAGAATATGTTATTTAATTCCTACAAGTTATATAAAAATGTACAGTATTAATCTGTCACAACTTGCATTTGCAAAAGACAGTTACACATAAATAAAAATTCTGTGTTTTATTAAAAATATACTTTAGTTTGAGTCACAATTCTTGAATTTGATTATGCTGTGATGTTCAAAGTTGATTAACCTATAATTGTGACATTGTGTACTGTACATGCATTCATGTTTAACTTTCTATAGAGATTTGTCACAATCAAACAACTAGCCTTGTGGATAAAATACTGCACTCGGCTAATGTTTAATAGTTTTTCATGGAAACATTGTATATTTATATTGTATTTTCATAAGGAATTCCAAAAGAATTTCACAATGGAAAAGGACAACATCGAGAATATGCATGGAAATAAAACCTCTCTGTTACCTACACTTGGTAAGTTAAACATCTTGTTACGCATTTTTTTCCACATGATTCCTCAGGTTGATAAGCTTACTGTGGTAGTAGTACTATTTTGTGGCATGTCAGCAATAATGTCTGTGAAAGGACTCGCCTCCACTAACGAGACACAGAAGCCCCTCTTATCGCCGGCAATGTGGCGAATCAATATCATGGGTAATATGGATGCGCATAAGAAGACTTCTCCTCTATGGAATGTGTGCTCCTGGCACTAGTGTAGATGAACGTCACCCCATGTTTGAGGAGGTGGAGTTGTTAACACTTTGCAGTTAGCAGTTGATAGATTGACTATAACCAGAGAAGAGGTAGTGGAGGCTCTGGGGAGCATGAAACATCAAAAGGCAGTGGGGCCAGATGTGTTTACATTAATGGGATAAAGGGGTGTTGAAATACTGATGGAGCTGTTTGGGAAAATCTGTATGGAGAAGAAAATGCCGGATGCGCGGAGAGAAGAGTATATTGCTTCCCATCTGTAAATGGAAAGGTGATATATAAGAGGGTGGGAACTTCAGAGGAATAGCATTGATGAGTCACACTTTGAAACTGAGGGAGCTGGTGGATATTGGCGAGACTCAGTTTGGATTCGGACAGGGAAGGTCAACAATGGATGCCATCTTGGCACTGAGAGTATTGATGGAGAAGTTCAGAGAGAAGAAACGGGACCCGCATATGGTGTTTATTCGTCTTGAGAAAGCGTACGACAGGGTGCCTAGAGAGCTCATCTGGTGGTCTATGAGAAGAAGAGGTATTCTTGAGGTATATGTCTGGCTGATCCAGGATATGTGAATGGGGCAGGGAAAATGCATGTGCGAAGCAGCTGTGCGATCTGAGAGCTTTCAAATCAAAGCGGGAGTGAAGCAAGGTTCCGCCCTGAGCCCCTTCCTGTTCATCCTGGTGCTGGACACACTGATGAGACATTCAAAGGGAGCCCCCCTGGTGTATGCTGTTTGCAGACGACTTTGTGCTAGGCGGTGAAAGCAGAGGGGTTGTGGAAGATGATTTGAAGATCTGGGTGCAAAAGATTGAAGGGAATGGGTTGAGGATCAGTCGGACAAAGACTGAGTTTATGGTGGCAAATTTCAGTGGAAATAATGCAGAAGGAGGATTTCAAATTGGAAGTGACCAGTTAATGAAGACGAACGAGTTTAAGTACCTGGGTGCAACGATGTGTGCTGATGGATCACTTGAAGGAGAGATGAGAACAAGAACAAGGGCTGGATGGCTGAAATGGTTAGAGATGACTGGTGTGGTGTGTGATACGAGGGTCCCAGTTTGCTTGAAGGGAAAAGTGTATAGTGTAGTATATAGTGTAGTGTATAGTGTAGTTTATAGTGTAGTGCATAGTGTAGTGTATAGTGTAGTGTATAGTAAAATACGGTGGTGAGGCCGGTGTTGTTGTATGGGGCCGAGTGCTGGGGCACAAGAAAGAGGGAGGACCAAGCTATGTCAGTCACAGAGATGATGATGTTGCGGTGGATGGTGGGTTTATCAAGGAAAGGACAGGGTGAGAAATGAAGAAGTGAGAGGAAAACAGAGAAAAAACCCTACGGTACATATACGTGTGGATAATACCCAAATGGTTCACAAATCTATTTGCTGGACTACCATCTCTTAGCCACCTTACAGTCCATCACTTTTAAGACTTTCACACAAATCTGTACATGATCCACTAGAACTTACCTACAAAGCAGTGGATTACCGGTATGCCACTAATGCACAGTATTATACAAATTCACCCATTGTGCGTATGCCCAGAGTGGATATTTAATATAAATCGATTACACAGTCCTACAACCTTTACTTTATATGTTACCATTCATTCATTAAAATAAATGGCTACACTAAACGTAATTTAAATATTACCTGAGATTTTTTTTCGTCATCACATCCAAATATTACAATCGCAGTTTTATACATTCAGCAGTTCAACAGCTTTGTGTGTTTTTTTTTATCTTGCGTTTCTCTAACAAAGGAGCTGAGAAGAAGATTGGTTCAAGTCCAGTGACAGTGATACAGATGGCTGGTAATGCCAGTGATGTGGCTCAGGCAAAGGTGAAAATTGAGAATTTGCTTGAAGAATTTAACATGCAATCTGCAATACCAGGTAGGTAAAATCATGTATTTGTATTGCTATTTAATTTTCACTGTACTTGAACATATAAATAAAAACTAAACTAAACTTTAAAAAAATTGTACCATATAATGGCCACTGAGCTTTCTATCTCTTTTCCACAAGCGACCTGGCTACAAATGAAAGCTTAATGAAGTGGCTTATCATGTGGAAATTTATAGCAGCCAAATACTCTAAAGTGATCCATACACAAGGTGATCCATGTGTATGGATTACCTTTAAATTGTGATATATACCACAAATACCCTAATACAGTATTTTTGCATTGAAATAACAAAAAATGTACAGAAAATATATATAAACCATAATTTTTTACAACAATGCACGGGCAAATATCAACATAAATATATTGCTAATCTTGTTTCGATGGATATTGGTATGGATTTATGTACATAAATTCAATGTTTATTCAATTGCAGACATCTATATTCTGAGGTTTAGTAATTGGGATGACCACTTTAATGTATTTTACAAAGTCAATTGGAAGTCAAGGTGCTGATAACTTGGCCCGATGGAATATTTCCAATCCTATGATTCCATTGCTATGGATCTAGTGACAACCACAGTATTAATCCATAAGTACAGCATTTATTGAAAATGTGTCTGATTCGTAACATATGTATATAAACGTTATAAATTGTTGACTGTTAATTATGTCTTTTTGCGTAACGTCTCTCTCATAAAGGTGCAATTGTCACACAGCCTGTGATACAAGCAAGTGTGAATGCAATTCAGCAACCTCCTCATTCTGGTGGAGCTACCGGTGGCATGCCCCCCCAATTCGGTGCATTGAGCACAAGTCAGGCACCTTTTTCATCTGGTGGAGCTACCGGTGGAATGGCCTCCCCAATTGGTGCATTGAGCACAAGTCAGGCACCTTTTTCATCTGGTGGAGCTACCGGTGGAATTGCCTCCCCAATTGGTGCATTCAGCACAAGTCAGGCACCTTTTTCATCTGGTGGAGCTACTGGTGAAATGCCCTCCCCAAATGGTGACTTCAGCACAAGTCTGTCACCTTTTACATCTGGTGGAGCTACCGGAGGCATGTTCTCCCCAAACGGTGAACACAGCGGAAACCAGGAACCGTCTTCATTTGGTGGGGCTCACGGTGCTATGTCCTCCTCAAGAGGTGGCCATATGCTTTGTAAATAATTATTGTACATAAAATGTTTTACAATACAGACATACCTCTTATAGCGCTGCCTCTTACAACAATGTTTAACTTGAATGCTTAAATATATGTGCGGATCAGCCCATATCTGGAAGTAAGTGTGGCGTTGCCTATATATGGGCTTAAGCTGAGCCTAAATCGTGGTGCGTATTCTATCGATTGTGCTCATAGTCGATCCGACAGCCACGTTAGAGTATCGATTCATCGAGGGTTAATCATTGCATCAATTAATTTGTGATCTATGGATCGAGTAATCCCCTTGGTTAGTGTAGCTTCCTACGAAACGTTAGGGAGACGAGTTGATGTTACGCAAGCGCCGACCAAATGCATTTGAGTCCGTAACTTATCGTATGTTTTAATGTAATTTTCATTAAACGTTACATTTTTTATTTACAAAATGCCTTAATACATTTATCATGTGTACAGTATCATTATTAAGGCTATTACTGATATCCCAATGAAGCCCTGAAATATCGCATCTCTATTGGAACAATGTGACAGTGACCGACCTCCTGTAGCCCTGTTTCGTTTCGTGCTCCATTTACCAAGAACACATCCTGAACGATCTAAGCGATATTCCAGTATTGTAATCTATAAATGTTACATTTTACTGATAAAATCAGTCAAAATATTTTAAGGAGTTCTGTTCATCTTGAAAGTTTCAAGGCTGCAGTGGTAGTGTAAATAATGTAAATCATTGTACTCATTAAAAATACGTGACTGAAATTGTAAATTAAAAAAAACTAGAAAATCTAAATTACAGTAATTTTAAAATGTCATATTGTATTCTTACATTCCAAAATGTAAAGTGTATTTGTATTATTTATTACAGGTCAAGAATTTATCTTCTCTAATATGGGTTGTGATGAAGAAATAGAAGCAAAAGAACTAAAAGCATTGTCCCTTAATCCAAGAGAGTATAGGGTGTTCGAACATGCTTTGAAACACTCCACCTTAAATATTACATCAATTTCACAGGTACCCTTTTACATGACACAGTTTACCAAAGTTATGTTCAATTGCAACTAATACTGTACCAAATACACAATGATAATTATCATAAGTGACATGTACACTGGTGATTGTGCACAATACTGGTTAAAGCAACAACTTTTTTGGTACAATTTATGAGTATTGTATACTGTACAAAAAAAATCTATCCACTTCATAGAATAATGTATTGGACAATTAAAGAACAATGTGATATCAACAAAAGTTTGATGATTAAAATGAAATTCCTGAGTATGTAAAGTAAAAAAAACAGTGGAATTCAAAAATGTGATCCTTGTGATGTAGCAGGGTGGATCAGAGGTGAGAGTGCTGCATTGGTGCTGCTGAGATGGGTTGCAGTTCAGGTAGCATTTAATTAAACTTGGTTCACAAGTATAGTAAGCCGGTGGTCTCAGCCCTTTCACCCATGACGACACAAAAAAATCACATGGAATGTATTTTCCCTTAATTGGTTGGATTCTAACTCTCAAAATTTAAAATTCAAATGTCTTTGGAGTAGGTAGAGTCGAAAAGTTTGGCCTCTAGTGTAAATAAGAAGTCACTCGAAGAGATCTCAGAAACAGGGTGATGCACTGTTCTCAAGAGCTCCAAATGGATTATAATTCCTATATCAATGCCTAAAAATTAGATAAATGAATTAAATATGTAAATTATGTTAACTGTGATGTGTTATGGGTACTAGTCATGGATTACCGGTCAGTTGAAGTACTTTTTATAGAGGTGTGCTGTTTAAATGTTGGTGAGAAAGCAAATATCTGAAAAAATATACACATTAACTTCATGAGCGATACAGTGTTTTCGTTTTTGTTTTACAATATGTCCATACTATGAATGCACTTATATCAGCACACTTTGATTTTCCAGCATCAATTTTACATCGCAGCTGCATCTTCTGACATTTGTTTCAGTTTTGCAGATTTATATTTTAATGGAACGTACAATACCTGCACACTATTTAATTCATTCTTTGTGTCTAATTGTTAAAAGATCAAATTTGATGTGTAATGTATATACTGTCACAATAAACAAATATTAACATATGGCTACGCTATTACATTATAACTGTTTAAATTCATAGTATTATTTAATTTGATATTGGCATTTACAAAAAACCCACACTTTATATATCACATGTATGTATATTTATGTAAAGGTGGTGCCTCTTGACAACAAAGATCTTGAAAACAAATTTGGGGACAGACATACTTGGATATCGCAGCGTGATGGAAATCCCGTTACATGCAGAATCTTGTTCCAAGGCATCAATGAGAATGATAGCAAGAGCGTAGAGAAAAATGGCTTCAAGAGAGCACGTCCTGGAATAAATGGTGAGTGTGGATGGTTGGTTGCATTTATGAATGTTAATATAAACAATGCACTTTCTTGTGATGATTGTGAAAGTTATACAAATATACGCTTTCTATATGACTGTGCGTGTGTATGAAAACATCTAAGTTTAAAAGCGAAATGTATGGTTATTCCCTACTAGGGCACCGATACGGAAGAGGGATTTATTTCTACACAGATGTGCACACAGCACTGACGCATGGTGCTGATGGCGGTGCGAGGAAGGCTGATGCTGTGGTGGTGGCAAGAGTGATGACGGGCAAGCACTGCCTTGGACAGCAAGGCATGCTAGCCCCACCACCTATTCAACAATCAGATCCAACACATTTGCATGACAGCACTGTGGATAACCTCAGAAATCCCCAAGTTTTTGTGGTGTTTAACTCTCACCAGGCATATCCTATGTTTTATGTCACACTGAAGGATAACGTTTGAGAGCTTTTCCAATATGCCTGCTTATTGTCGCTGAACTTTGCCACAGCATTAGTTGCGATTCATAATCACTCACAATACATAATTACATATATGGGGTATTATCATCAATGACGCCCAGATACAATAACATATATAATCTGTGCAAAGATAATTTGATTTAAAAAATGCTGTATCATCTTGTAAGCAGGTTATGTGCAGTTTCATTGATATACCCTGTGAAACTATTTTCTAATTCGGTATATTGAAGATCTTAAATAATGTGCACGCATTTAAATACAGTAGAGACATTAAATTAACGTGTTTAGACAAGCTATAAGTAAAAATGTACAGTAGTTAGGTAACATTTAAATTGTGCATTAATCACACTTAATTAGTACACGTGTAAAGACGACTTAACACACTTTCTTGAGATGGTTTCTTTTATTGAAGATACGTTCACGTGAACATGAGTCTCCGTCGCATCTCCCTTATATACGGTCCGAGGACACGCCCCCATTCCTGAACCTTCTCACTGGTTCTAGACGCTCGTTCTACCAGCAGACTCTACCGTCCTCTTCCGTCACCTGGCCACGCTGCTATTCTCAATCATTCCCGTAGCCACCAGTCCCTTCGTACTGCAAGCTGACTCCCCTGCCATTACCTCCTGTGGCCACTAGTCCATTCGGACTGCAGGCTGACTCCCCTGTCATTACCTCCCGTGGCCACTAGTCCATTCACACTGCAGGCTGACTCCCCTGTCATTACCTCCTGTGGCCACTAGTCCATTCGCACTGTCGGCTGACTCCCGTTGCCATTACCTCCCGTGGCCACTAGTCCATTCACACTTTCAGCTGACTCCCCTGTCATTATCTCCCGTGGCCACTAGTCCAATCACACCGTAGGCTGAATCCTGTCATGACACATGTGTTTCCTCCAAAAATGTATGAGCTCAAAGTCCTTTACACGTTTTACCCATTTCGAAGTACGTGCACACGTGCAATCACACGAACAAATGACAGGTTTATTACCTAAAGGATTACTTTCAAGGAGCACTAAATGTTGTACTCACCCAGAATGCTATGTGAGTTAAACCAGGGCCTATGTGGTATTTTAGTAATTTTAGCTTTTTTCTGGATGCCATACATTCCTAATGTAGATTTAGTAAAATGTTTTAGTTTTGGCTGTTGGGCTCTTATTCTACAGAACTATACTGCATACGGTAAATTGTTAAATATATTGAATGTGGTTTCATTAAATCGTAGTTTTCCACTCAATCTTTACATTACTTCCCAGTACATTATACAAATGTTAATTGGGTAAAACTTTTATCGCATATGTTTGTTGGTTGGTAAACGTGTAAATGTACACTTTGGTAGATTGTGAGAAACCCTATCAGTAGTTGACAGGACATATAACTCAATGTTTGAAAACACTTTCTGGATTGTTCATGATTACTAGTCATACATGCGTGGCTTCATTGATTAAAATGAATTGTACCACTCGTGTAACATGAATCGTGCATGTAAGGGTAAAAAACCCCCAACACACTCGTGAGTAACACTGCCTTGAAAAGGAAAAGTAAAAACTGTAATGGGTGACATTTCGTGTAATGGCCATTGTTCAGAGCACTAGGCCAGAAAGGTAGGCCGTAGTTTCTGGCGAGTTAGACTCAACCTTTCTGGCCTCTCTCTCCGTGCTGTGCAGAAGCTCCATTCCTCAACACGTTGCCTATTATATACTTTCTATTTTTTTATGCAGTGCTTTTTTTCTTTATGAGTGCTGCTTTTTTATTTGTATACTTGTGCATCATTGCTAATGCAATACAGAATCACAAAATTAGTTTAATGTAAGAATCAGTTACCTATAAGAGTATATACAACATATGCAAATTATATGCTCCTGTTACATTTGTGGCAATTGAGAGAGCAGACATGGTGGTACCCACCTGCATTGCCAAATCAGGTTTCAATTCGCTTAAAATCCTCTGCATGTTAACAACTTCTGACCGATTGGTTAATTGACTAGGCTTGAGCTCTTACTCTAAATGTATACCACTTTTCTTGATTTAAACGTGCTATGAAATTATCGTTAATAATATCACCTCCATCTAACACTATCTCTCAAATACTCTGTCACATTCAAGTTACAATAGGTTATGGATTTTGAAATCACATTAGCTTGTGCGTACAAGTTTGTTCTTCAAACGGAGTTTAATCAGTGCTCAACATTTTCTTTTTCAATCAGTATGGAATTCTATTGATCAAACTGTATTTGTTTTTTTCCTAAAGTTGGGGTTTATATAATGAATATAGAAATGTATATAAAATAATTTTTTTGTTAAATATATTGCACGCTTCATATATTATTGGTGATTGTGTGATGATGATTACAACCATAATTTGGGAGGTGGAATGCATCGGTTACTGCTCGACTCCTGTATTGTGTGACCTATTAAAACAAAACATTATGTGATGGGTGCAGTTGTCAGTGTGCTTTACTACAAACCCAACCACTGTAAGGTATAACACAACGACTCTATTTGTTTTTTCATTCGTTTCCACCTTATACTTTTGTAAGTTAAACACGTAGAGTGCTTAACGAGCACGGTGTAATGTCTACTGTAATAAGGTGTGATGCTTGGAGAACTGTGACCATGAAGGATGTGGTAACAAAAGGTCAACTTGGACCACAGGAAACGAGCAAGTTCCTTTTTCGCGTTCATAGAACCCACCAGATGCACGAAACAATTAGGACAGTTGCACATACTCGCCAAACGAGCTAGAACTTGAGTCGACTTAAAGATATCAGCTTCGGTTATTTTGCCATGCCATTGGAACGAGGTGGCCCGGTGTGAAATCCCATTCGAGACTTAACCCAAAGGTAAGATCTTGGAAGTGGCGTGTGATGTGTCTCATCGGTCTTGTCAGTATGATAATTTGCAGAGGCGTCGGTGAAAGAAGCCCCCTGCTTAGTGATAGACTTCACATCCCTTTTGTCAAACTGCTGCTGGTTGACGGCCTTCTCTCAACGTGTCCGGGTATAGGGGTTGTCTGATCTTGCTTTACTGCTGGCCAGTTTGGGTTGATGTCGGGGCGACATAGGGCAGGACAGATTTGTATATACTTCCCCACTTAATAATAGTCGTGACCGGCATACGAACTTGGACCACTGGGTAAATTGTGCAGTACGGCTATGTATTTGTATGTTGAAATTATCTCGCACCGTACGCATCCATCCGGGCAGGGAAGGACAAACTAAAACACAACTCAGTTCTAAAGAAATAAAACTAACCTCTTCCCTCTTAAACCACCGCTTAAATATTGAGAAGACTTTTAGAGAGGCATGGTTTACTTCAGATTTTGAAACAAGTTACGATATTTAAGGGTCATTACGTGGGGTGCAGGGGCTGTCCAAACTATGTTGGACCCGTGGGACAAAAGCAAACCGGGCCCTGTCCATTCTCAGCATTGAAATCAACGCCACGTGTGCACTCCGGTCACTGTCACGGTACACGTGTCGTTACGCAACAACACATTGCGACATAATACTAAACATCTCATACATTAGTCAATCCCCTTACTGGACGACTTCACTGCATTGTTGTTGGTCAAGATTGTTTGGTGACCAGGGCGCGCAGGACAGGTTCAGATTTTTCTCGCCACTGACGTTAGCCGCGGCCGGGAATCGAGTGTCTTCATTGAAGTACAAAGTAGTGGTGGGTTTTTTTCTCCTTCTTTGGCACGTGGATTGCAACGTGAAGGTCGTGGAGAATGGAATTGAAAAACAGCATGCACGTGTACAGTCCCTGTTATCAACAATCCACTGCCTTTTCCAAAGAAATGGGTATTATTTGGCCACATCTGTACGTATGCTTCGATTGCCACGACGGTCATTTCGAATGTTGGTTGAAGGTCCCGGAGGGAGCATAGTAGTGTAGCACAACAGTGGATTTTTCTTCACCGCCCTCTGCTGACAACGTGACCCCACAGCAAACCTAATAGACCCGAAGCAAAACGTCCTGTCCCAAACTCTTCAAGTGTCCTCTTTCTAGGTTAAATGTTTAATAAGATTAAGGCTGGGTGGCGTGTGCTCTCGAACCCCGGTCAAGTGGGACCATAATTAAGTCGCGTACAGAACCGGGGGTGGCGATGCGTCGATTGAAATCGATGATAATTACGTTCACGTTGTGTGTGAGACGCGTGCGTGAAGAATCGGTGTGTACATTATTAATGTTTGCTGTACGTATGTACTGTGTATGCATAAGAGCGTTATATATATAAGCTAATTGTGCGACCAAAACAACTATATAAAAGAAAGAAAGATAACTCCATGCGATACAAACGACGTTTAGTCCTAAACGATTATTTAAAAGTATCGGGGTCCTGAATAGGCGACAATTTCGCGTCGTTATACCTCCAGTATCGATTCATGAATTCACATCTATTCACGGCTCAACAACACGTGCAGTATATCAAATCGAACGTGTATTAGTCGATTTCGTAGTGTAATTACCCATCTATGTACTGTTAATTGTATGCAAATGTAAAAAACTAAAACCATGCCGGAAATGGATAATGCAAATGAGTCGAATCATAGCAGAAAATGATCGAATTATCGATTGAATCGTGGCAATTCGTCGAATTGGGGGCGGGGGGGGGGGCATGTTACATTGTTAATTACAAATAAACCACAATGCCACAGATGTTCTTATCGCCGACTACAGCAGAGTTACCGCCTCTAACATCTAATGCACGGACCCGGCAGCCAGGACACTTGATACGCCTTGGCACTCTCGTGCCGTCACAATGTTGTGCTGTTTTGAATGTATGCAGCAGGGTACAGATATCGACTATCTACTCAATCGACAGTTGGATGACTCAATTAATGAAATGGTGGCCTGTGGATTATGAGCCTATACTTACAGTAACCTATACATGCATTATATACACTTGGCTGCGTTGGCCCATACTCTGGGGGGTCTGGTGGTGGTGGTAGCATGTAGATAAAAGTTCCGATTCCTCTTCTTTCGTAAGGCTTGATCATGGCAGATGCAGAGCAGTGACGTGAGGTGATGTCAATGGCTGGGGAGGCACTGGCTCGTGTCAGAGCCAGATTCACACACTGAGGCCTCACGGAGGGAGGCGTGGCCTCATTGAGGGGGCGTGTCCTCATTGAGGGGGGGCGTGTTAGACACGTCCGACCTCAGTGAGGCAGATGTGATAGCTGCCTCCCCTGGTGCTTTTTCATTGCAGTTTCATGACGAGACCAGCGAGCCTAAATATCTTCATACACATACGTGAAATAAGTTACCTGGAATATGGAAGGCAAGGACATGAAATGAAGGGGTCTACAAACATTACATTGGTGACATACTGAGATAGTAACAGGCACGCGCTTATTGCCCGCGTTCCATCCAGTTACTGAGGGGTTGCGCAATCAGAGGGGAGGCTGAGCTCGTCGCTGCCTCACCTCTCGTCTCTTCCTGTATTTGCAGCCGAGCTCAGCAAATTTGGCGATTTTGACCATAAAAATGCTTGGAATAGCACGGAAATGACATTTATAACACAGATCAGTGGAAACATCTTAATATTTATTTTATTTGACTATTCTTTTTTTTTACTTTTCGTACCAGCTATATTCATTGGAGTATGGCAGGTGAGGATCTGCCTCCCCTGTCTCCCCTGACTGCACGTCCCTGATGCAGAGCAACAACGACAATTCCAGATTCAGGTGGTCAAACGAGATAAACCGCGTCACGAACAGTGGAGTCAGTGCATCGTCGCTGTGTCGTCTCATTCGTATTTGTGGATGGGGCATTGCGTCGTTTTATGTTGATGCCGATGATGCCGTGATAAAGCAGCGCTTATATCTATGGGACCCTTTTTGGCAGTATCAAAATGATGAAAATTAAGAATAGGGTTTGCGGTTTCTCGCAATAAAAAGGAGGTATTAAGATGTTCAAACATCAAAGAGTTTAATTATGAATATCATCGGGAGTTGCCTGGGGCTTTTAACCGGATTTGTTGTTGGCTTTCACGCGGGGTTGGGTCGTGGGGGCCTTGGCGGGGTTGGTTTGGTGGTGGTGGGTCCACGGGGAAATACAGGGTGCTTCAAAAAAATGTTAACACTTATATGGGAATATCGTTTTTAATGGGAAAATAACGGATAATACACCGCAAATATAACAAATGTATGTTAATACTGTAGTTTCAAAAAGTCGAAGAGTCTCGTGTTCGCCATCAGTGATTTCCAGAGCCCGGAGCCACATTGTGGTATTGTTGCAAATTATCAGAAGTGTAACAAAAAAAATTAAAGCCCCCTGTATACCCCCCCCCTCCCCCCGCTTCTCATACTCAACAAGACGGGCGACCGGGGCAGCCCAGCCCAGCCCAGCCCCAACGCGCCTTGTGAGTCGCGAGTTGAGTTTCAGGCCCCCGCCTCTCGTCCCCGTGGTGGTGGTGGTGGGGGGTGTGGCTCTCAGGTGTTCCCAGCTCCAGTCCTCCTACCACAGGTGTGCGCGTCTTTCTCTCCCCTCCCTCCCTCCCTCCTCCTGCACTCGTATCGTCCCCCGCATCATCACCAACCTCTCCCCCTCCAAACGCATCTTGCAGTAGCAGCAGCAGCGACAACCAAACCACGCACGCACGCACGCAGACGGCTATGGCCGGCCGCTTGAAAGCGTGGTTCTGGAGCGAGAGCTTCTGGCTGCCGCACAACGTGAGCTGGGAGAACCTTCGCAACAGCGAGGCGGCCACCTTCCCGCAGGCGAGCGACCTTTACCTGGCGTTCCCCCTGGCGCTGGCTATTTTCGTGGTCCGACAGCTGTTTGAGAGGTGAGCACAAAAACAAGAAGAGGAGAGAGAGAGTCTATAGCCACAGTCGCGTTGGGGTTTTAATGATAATGATCGGTTGGGGCACCGCTTGACGGCAACCTGAGAGTTAAATACCCTCCGCCGATGTCTCTGTATAATATATTCGGGATGTAAAACTATATAATGGCCGGTAACCGAAATAAATTAAAAAAGCTAATTCGGTTAACGGGTTTGCTCCGCATATAGAAATGTCTGGAGCAATAAACGAAAATACTTTTGCCCCTTTGTTTTTGCTGAGAAAAAAATGCAGGGAGCAAGCGTGGGTGTGTGTACACTGGATTTGCAATCCAGAGGTCACCAGTTCGATTCCATCTCTTGAAACAAAGTGGGCCAAGTTTGTTTAATCCCTGTGGTGTGATGGTGGTGGGGTACAACGTGGGTATTCACATACCTGCAATGATGTCAGTTCAGTATTTTACAAGTGGGAAAGAGTAGGCCAAATACCCTATACAGGGGCTACCTAGAACTCCCTCTCATGGGATGCCCCTAACGCCAGCACGACTGCACCTTTACGTTTTACGAACGAAAGATAATGGGATACACGAACAAAGAGCTTACCCCGTGTAGCCTTTTACAGCAGACGATAGGAGACAATGTCGTTAGCGAGCACCTGGTTAGGACCATGCACGAGCCACATTTGTGTCTTCACTGCTGATGTTTACACACTGAACCACGTACATTACTCATGTTGAGGCTTGAGCTCAGGACCGGCTCCAATATATAGATCGTCTTTGGTGGCAGTCGCCACTGATGACAGCTGTGACTGGGAAATCGAACTCGTGCCCGCCGAGTTTGTCAGAGCGGTGTGCTCACAATTGTGCCACCGCTTCCACGCACACGCCTAAGTCTTATAACCCGATCCACTTTCTCCTGCAAACACTACAGTAATGTGTATCGAGTTTCGCCTTCATAATTAATTATCCCGTCAGACGACAGGGACAACATAAGCCAAAACTATGAAATAATAATTATCCCAAACCGGGGGCCCCCCCTTAAACTACTTGCGGGCTATGCACATTGTGGGGTTGTTTGCATAAGGTGGACGCTGCTTGGTTTTGTTGGGGCAAATTCCTTCATGACCGACTGACTCTCTTGTCTATAAAAATACCGGACTGTAATTCTGCTCACTGTTTCTGGAAAGCGTTTTGAGATGCGGTAACATTTGTACTTTCTAAATGAATATATAAACTCCACACGACTTGCTGTCTCTTTCAAAATAAAATGTCCCACTTCCTGCACAATGTCTTGAGAGATGCCGTCGAATTTAGACAATCTATAAATATAAATACAAATTGTATTGTAGTTTCGCTAATCAGTCATCGAACGAGATGATGATTGCTTGGTTTACAGCCCTTGGTAAATGAACTGCTGGACGAAGACCTCTCCACTGTCGTCTTGGCGGGTTTTTTTTTGTATACTCATACAGTACTTCACATTGTGGTCATTGCCGATTGGTGAACGGAGGACCCAAGACCGATCCACTACCCTCGGCACATCCCCAATGCACCTGGCACACCTCCACCGTCGCAAATTGCTGTTCAAATAGGGCCGGAGGGAAATCCACCTTTTGCCGCTTTTACACATCTACAACGTGGTAGCTCCCGACCCACTGTAATGTTCTCTTGTTTTGTGTACACACTGAATTACTTTATTTTTTCAAACCCCCGATCCCGAGCCTTGGGGAACAAGAAACAACGCCAATGCTTTATTTCTACTCTAAATGACTTTGGCTTAGTTCAAATAAACCGGACAAGTCCAGTTTGTAAGACAAAAAACTAAAATGCTACGTGTAGCTTACAACCAGTATGACTGTTGGGGCAAGTGCTGTTTTCTGGCACTTATTAGGACTAGAACGACATACAGTACTCACCACTGATATTAGCCGTGGATGGCTTTGCAAACCACCGTGCCACCGCATACACATGCACAACAAACCAGACTAACGTATGCTTTACTACAATAATCAAAATGCCGAATATCATCAAAATTCTGAATATTATCAAAATTCTGAACATCATCAAAATGCTTAATCAAAATGCTGAGTATTTTGTTTCAAATTTTTGAGGGGACAATTGCAGAAATGCAGTTCGCCTGCTATACCTGCTGTTTAGGCGCATTCGTATGCTGCTTTTCAATATAAAAAGCATATCAAAGCATATCATCACGTTTCGATCGCAGGCGAACTGCATTTCTGCAGTTCGCCTGCTGTACCTGCTGTATTTTTTCACCTGAAGACGATTGCTTGTGTTGCGATCGAAACGTGATGATATGCTTTGATATGCGAAACGTGATGATATGCTTTGATATGCTTTTTATATTGAAAAGCAGCATACGAATGCGCCTAAAGTAGAGTGGCTTAATTCGAATATATTCCTTGCAATAAAATGGTTTCCAAACACTAACATTGACGGATAATTATGGAAAATCTCAAAAGTGTGTAAAAAAGCGTGGATAGAGGCATGCTTATAATTACTTAGAGAGAGAAGAGAAAGACATTGACTATTCATAAGAGTGGACTTCGTCAGGACACGAATGGCTCGTGGTTGAGACTAACAACAATTGTTTTGTCCTTCCCCTCCCGCACCTCCGATTAGCACGGTTGGCTACGTACGGTGCGAAAGAAGTTAAATGTCCAACAGAGTGATAGCCGCGGGACAGAACGCGCCCGAGAATGTCTGCCCGCGGAGTTCGGGCAATGACGTAGGCTCGTGTGCACGTTTAATTGCAGGATCGTGAGAGAAAGAGTGGTGGGGGGCTTGGGGAGGCCTTCATCCGCAAATGAGTAACCTGCATGGATACATATTGTCGTGGTACTGTAGTTCACGTAAACTGTGCAGTCGGCACACATGCATGCAACCATCATGTGATGTTTTCACAGGTTTCTCTGCGTTTTCCATTTAAATTATGCAGTAAACTATATATAGTATTGTCTCTACAGATCTGAGGCAAGAAAAAAACAATATTTATACACCACTGTCCCTGTAGGTTTATATTTAAAAAACCTGCCTTGGGCACTACTGTAATGTCCCTAACCCTCATCTTAAACTGCAATCCTAAACCCTACACGAAAACTAGAGAAGTGGCATCACTTAATATTTTATCAACTGAAATCTAAAGAAGCAGGACTTGGAAATGGTCATTAATGGGTAAGTGCAACTCAAGGTAGGTCTTTGTGCTTAAATCTGGGATGTGGTTAGATTAAAATGTGAGCACAGCATTGTTAGAGATTCAATGTCGTTACTCCCTTAATCATTTTGTCTGAGCCGTCGCCTTCCCACAATTCACGGATTACTTTGTTGTTAGTTTTCATGTTGAGCATAAGCTTCTATCTGTATTAGGCTTTCCGACTATAGTACGCATAGTTTATCTGCAGCGCAGAAATCAAAACCATCTCCTGTTGTGTATTATTGAGGCTCTAGTATCATACTGCCAAACACATTTGATGGCTAAGACAACCCTGTACAACCATAGGGACATCGGGCCATCTGGTGTGCACTGCTGACCCGAAAATTTGGAAAATGCTGACTCCTTATGTTCTCGGACCAAAAATACTTTTAGCAGCAATTATAAGCAATAGGTGATGGCTACTGCCTATTGATGAAACAATCCATGCTGCTGCCCTACCGGCTTTGAACGGGGAGTGCCTTTGTAGACTCCCTAAAGACACACCCACATGCCCACCAAAGTATGTACGAGCGGCTTGACTTTCTGGTTTTGCTGCGTTCTGTGATGCTTCGTCAATGCATTAATGTAGTCGTATATTGGCTGCTCATGTTCAGCGAACATCGTCAGTAGCCAGTACACACTGGAGTGGAATTTCAAGCTGGGATTTAAGTCGGTATTTAGAGAGCGACAGGTCTCCAAATATTGAATTCAAAGGTTAAAGCCCTCGGCAGGGTTTGTTGGCTCCAATTTCCCCTCTTGCTTTCGTTAAATAAACACTGCCTATTGGACATGTAACAATTCACCCCAGCAGTATTCACATTTTATTTTATGAATCGTAAATTAATATTAATACGCATGATTGAGCGTAATGATTTAATTTATCAATGAATCATTGCATGCATACTACCAATTGAGGTTGGGGAAATTAACAGCGCTTAGTTAAATTGGCTCGCGCAGAAATGTAGAATTTGAATTGGTAGCTCAAGGATTGACACAAAAGGACGCACATCTTTTGTCAATGCCTTGTATTGCAGAGGCAACGGCCACTACTGCTGAGTGTGACACGAATTACATATGTACAACAATGCTCGATACAGTACCGTACATACTTTATACTGCATAATGCTGTATTGTATCTTGACATGTAGCACATTGATTGCTAGTTGACTTGTTCATTCCATCTCATTGATCGTCACGGCTGACATTAATGTGCGGTGACTGAGAACCAATGATGCCTCTATGCAGATGCCTTGTCAGCTTTTTGATGACAAGAACATGAGGTTGACACAGTAATGATAATGAAGTGTGGGAGGTGGATTTTAGATATGCTACTGCTTTAATAAAGTGCTGTTCTGAAAAATTGATAATAAAGTATGGGACTACATTGTAATGTACAGCACACAGGAGGCATATTATTTTAACGCTTTTGGTAATATACAAAGTCTTTAAACTCGGCGAGAGACGCTCCAGGAAGTGTTAGTTTGAGTTGGGGGAGGGTGTTAACTACGGTTAGTTAAACATTACTGTTCTGCCTTTGTGCAAGTATTGCTCACAATGACTCGGTATTCTATTGCTGTGCCCAATTTCACAGCTACTTTAACACACCTTTGTAGAGTTAATAAAACCCCATAGGCATTGCACACAGCACAATATATTTTTGATTGATGATTCACCACTCAATGACATACACTATAGAGTACAGCACTCGAATTGGTCACATTATCGATGTTTTTGTATACTCTCTTTATAAAATATGTATTTATTTAGGTGCTTTCCTTAGTTACAAACATAACTCA